GTGAACTGGTCTGTGCCCTCCCCCTGATCCAGGGTCATTTCGCCTACGGATTCTGGATTTACGCCGCAAATCCGCCCATTTCTAGAGGTAGGATGAGAGAGCCACAAGCCACCAAAATCTTCCAGATCTAGATCGTCCTTTAGCCTCCACGATTCCATAGGAGTCAGGTCCTTTGCTTGGAACAATAGCTTATTATATAGTAAGGCATAGGCTTATTAATATTCAGAAACCACTAAGTCGGAGATCTGCGACATTTGTAATTCCACCCCGCGATATTCCACTGTTTGCCCGTCTAAGAACTACCGAGCTTAGTGTTTTGCAATTATAGCCTTTCTAACCTTAAACAAGTATAGTCTCTACTATAGAATATGCCCAAATAGCGTCTTAGCCAACTACTAGAAGAACTTCTTATAGATTTTGGTGAAAAAGACGGGGATTTGATCTTCGTCGTCTTGCTCCTAGAAACAAGCATAGTCAAAGAGCACAAGCTAAGCAGTCCAAGTCAGAGCTAATAAGTGGCTATTGAAATTCCCCGGCTCCTCCCACAATCCTCGGCCCTTCCCACGGACCTTCCTACTAAGCATAGCGCAGAAACTTAAGACTAGTGACTTGAATAGCACGCTGCTAATAGTCTGGCAGATCAGGGCTAAGTACAATCGCCGAATAGCATGCTTAAGAGCTAGCATAGCCTCTTCCTCATCCTCGAGAGCTAAGGCCTCTATGATCTCGCCTATAGCTTGGATTTGTGAAGCAATTGAAACTTTGTGTTTTTAAGTAGTCTAGCGAATTATATATTATAAATTATATACATTTCTAACAACCCTACAAGTCTATACTCAAGAACGGCGGCGTTTAAACACAAGACCTTTTTTGGAGTCTAATATAACGTCTAGTTCGTCTCTAAAACGTACTAGTTTCTGAGAGTACTAGCGTAAAGACTCCCTTTTTTGCATGTCTTGTAAATAGATATTAAATTTATTGCTTTTAGTTATTTGACTTTGAATTGGCAATTCACCGAGGACTTTGCGTTTGAGTAGCGCCTGATGATTAACCAAGGATTTAGTGGGCTATCTAAGGTCGGATGTCTGTGAAACCGTGGGTTGTATCTGAGCTAGCCTCTAAAAGCCAGAAAACCCTAGGTATGTATGCTACTCTCTGCTAATCTGCCGGTACTCTGCACGTGCAGAGGCAACGTGACTAGGTGCTTCTTCAATCCTTCTAGCATAGATTATACTAGCTATATTAGCCGCATATGCAGCCTGTGTGTTATTCTAGGTTCCGGGAGCGTCTGCTCTATAGTCCTTCCGAAACTTAGCTTGCTATAGATGCCGGCGAGAGATAGCAATCGTTGCGTGCCGCCAAAGAAGGATATTTGCATCGGTATTAAGATGTTGCTTGAACTACTATGCGAGGACGTTCGTTAGGCGACTACTTAGCCACAGCTCGCTATGAGTTCCCTTCTTAATCGCCTAGAGGAAAGTTAGTGTGCTAGGGCTTTCGTTTAGAGCAAGCATGCATAGCTACTCGCAGAATGGCTAGACGATCCAGGCGTAGTAGACTAAGAGCTTACTTATTGCCTCGGGCAGATACTAGTGGATGATTTTAGTTGACCCCGAGACGCTATAGCCCTTGTGGTAGAAGGTAACAAAGCCAACAAGGCCATTCTCTATAAAGATATTCCGCTGTGGCCTATGGACAGTATTATGTAGCTACAGGCTAAGAAGCTTAGTTCCCTGTGCAAGTTAGCCCCCCAGGATGTGGATAAGGAGGAGTAATAGCTTAAGGAAAGTGCTGGCTTGCTTTAGGTATTGCTTAGTAGCCTTACGCCGCCACACGGCCTTTGTACCCTTGATCAGGAACTCTTGCTGTAGCCAACTCTCGTCTAGCACACGATTAAACAGCCATCGATCATATCCTTAGAGGTGGTCATTCCGCGGGTCGTCCAGGAAGCACCAGCCGGGCTTGCTATTAGCCGGATCGTCCTTAAGTCGGAAAAGATTAACTAGTAGAACAACCTCGTCTCGCTCTTCGTCTGGATGTACACGTAGCAGCTCCTCTAGGAGCGACTGTGCAACGGCTGTCTAGGTCGCCAGGAACTTCTTTAAGTCGGTCATCCCTAGCTCCAGGCCCTTATAGCTAAAGTGCTCGCCGTCGTCGCTCCAGGAGATATATCCTAGAGAGGTAGTGATCTCATTAATCTGTTTTCCAAAGCTACGTAGCTTTTGTGCCTAGTTCACAGGGGAATGCGTGCTATATACCATAAAGCGCTCTTGCATAACATTTAATATATTAGCTACATGTGGAACCTCACTTCGATCTACTACAAGCACTACCCTTTGAATAACAAGGAGCTAGGCTATCTTGATAAAGGCAGAGAGGTATGGGGTATAATGTAGAGAATCACTAAATGTGATACTCTAATTGACTAATAATCTAGGATCTCTGATGCCGAGAACCGCCATAAAGACGACGACGATACTGTCGTAAATTGTGTCGAACAAAGCATAGTCTAGCAATGAGATACATAGTTGGATTGTAGTATAATCGAGACTTTGCTAAAGCTATACTACCGCTAGACTAGTGCTTCGCTGTTCCTAGGCAAGCTCGGCCGTAGCTTGCATTACTCGGTCGAGGGCTATTACCTGACCATCGGTTAGACGATATGAGAGCTCAGGGCCTTGGTTCCGCCAAACGCGCCGATAAACGAAGCTCAGCAGTTGCTTCCACACCTTTTTGTACGTAGTATAGGTGCCCTCTTAAAGCTTGTGTACTAATGAGAAGTTAGTAGTCCGGCGGGTAAGGAAGCTACTAACACGTTACTAATCAAAGATGTTAATCCGGTCGGTTTGGAGTAATTCACGGGCTTGTTCAATAAGACGGTCAAAGGATTCAAGTACGAGGACGAGGTGATCATCTGGCTAATCGGGGTCGAATAGGGGGTGAGGCGATGGTAGATTAAGGAGGCGTGCGATGCAACTCAAGTTATAACCCTAGAAGTACCGCTCCTATTACGTTAGGTCGAGCTATGGAGAGACCTTAGTCTTGTGGCGCAAGGTGATATCAGGCTTAGGTGCTTGGAGCTTCTGAGCAAGGGTCTGCTCCACTTGTTCTCGGAGGCTAAGGGGTGGTTTCTCGAGAGCTTCGACAAGCTATGCTGGTGCTGGATTAGAGCCAGGCTTGCTATTATTAACGAGAAAGTAGCGAGTATAGCTTGTTATGTAGAAAGTCTAGCAGACAACGGGGAAATAAGCAGCTATACTAAGTGGGAAGCGTGATTTGGATGGCCGGTCTGCAAAACCTTTACTTAGACTCTATTAATGGGCCTCTTTCAAGTAGTTGATCAGAATCTGCTCGCCCCGGATTACATACGGCTAATTAGTAGGGCAGAACTTACAGCAATAAGCGTCGTTATAGATCTGTAAATGTGGGATAGGCGGGGTGTTAGTCGGGATATGGAGCCGCTTTACTTCCCGAGCAGGGAGGAGAGAGTCCGGGGTAAAGAGACGGGCGTATTCCTGGACCTTGCCGAGAGGGATAGTAGCCTTGTGATAGTCGTACAAGTGGCCTGGAACGGCTCTAGACTAGATTGCATATTTGTAGCTCGTACAAATCAAGACGTTATAGGTTGGATTAAAAGAGAGAAGATCCATTATTATAAATTAAAAATTCTATGCAAATTAGACGAGAGGCGCCGTCAGGTCTAGCACGACTTATTATTAAAGGATCGATACAAAAGCAAGCAGGCAAGGAGGAGTAAGACGCGTCGACGTCCCTGTGCGCGTACACGGTGGTCCGTGTAGCCAGTTCTACCCCCCCTGCATCCCCAATTAGGTGAGGATGAAGTCGGCAGAAAGTCGTCGCGACCGCCTTCCATGTCGGGCCTAGCCCCCTTTTGGGTCGAAGTGAGATGTGGTATATACCCTCGGATATAGAAAAGGAGATCGCCAAGGTCAAGGCCGACGGCAAAGTATCCAGAAAGTCGGTTGCCTCCACAAATACCTTTCATGTCCGTACTGACGGTTCTCTAGCATTCTCAATCGTAGCTCCGTCACCCACACAAGCCTTCATCCCGTTCAAACCCATGCAGAGAGAGTCAATCACATCCTCGGATTGGACAAGGCACCAGGTCGAGCAGGCGGGGAACAAAACAATGCCAGCATGGCAAAGCGTATTCTGGGTGAGGTGTCTGCGAACACCACCATCAGAGACTGCTCTGAAACTCTGGAACATACGCTGGGCTTCCGCTGATATGTTCAGTGGGTATCTACCAGAATATCGCTGATGGTAACATGGTCATATTGCTCTTTTTGGAAGCCGTAGGTGTAACCATGACGGTGCATTTTCATCGATGCTAGCTATGTGACGGACAAACTGGGTGGCGGTGGGTGCAGAGCAGATTGCAATCAATAGCTATATTGAGGTACATAATAACACATCCCCGTCAAGACAATAACGATGTGTTCTAGTACATACGTGAACACCTGCTATTTATGAACTGGCCCCCCGCCATTCATGAATGGCGAAGTGTTTATACAGCACTCCAGTATCTCAGCACCTCAATACACCAACAAGGCATAGTACGTATGATGAGGTGGTGGAGTGCAGTAGTGCTGGAGTGCTGAAGTGCAGAGGCGGTGTAATCAAGGCCTTATTCTCGTCCTGTTTATCAGTGGCGCTGTACTACTGAATTTGCCTTATTGTGGATAATCTACAGCTGAATGCCCAACATTCACTGAAGTGGTAGGATTCCGTTTTGGGAAGCTGCGCTGGCAGAGGCGCGACTTCCTCGTCAGGTCACTCTCGCAACATATATTTCTCTGAGCTATCTCGACTTCCAACTATTTACAACAAACTTTTCCAAGATCGCACCGAGGTTTGCAGACGCACCGAAGATCTCAGACACATCGAAGTCTGAACATTCCGACAAGATGGGGAAAGATGTGGATGCTTTGATCCGCGAGCGCATGAAGCAATGCAAGGTAGTGTATCGAGGGCCCAAGGGCGACACCTCTGCCCCAACATCGCCTTCCCTTAAGGACATCGAAGTCCTCATCGCTAAAGTCGTCGATAAAACATGCGATAAGATCACAGAAACCTGCGGTGGACTTCCCAGCCAGGTGAAGGAGTTGGAAGTGCAAGTGGCCGAAGCAAACAGGAACATTACTGCGGTGCGTACATGTAACGCGGAAAGCGGCTTAGTGATGTCCAGTACTGACTCTCCCGCCCAAATAGCTTACCGCACGCATCAATCAACTGGAATTAATCGCGATCAACGAGCGGAAGCTTGCGGATGCACTCAAAACAGAACGAGACGCTCTGTGGAAAGATACCAAGGCAATCGTGTCTTCCAAGAAGGATTTCCAGGACCTGGACCAATTTCTGAAGGCCTGGAAGAAGGACATCCCATCCAGGAAAGATATAGACGATATCAAAAGATTGCTAGAGGAATTGAAGGATGCGAACTTGAGTCAAGACGTTGAAGACGTCAAGCAGTCATTCCAACTCTGGGAGATGCAGATGCCATCGAAGGATGACATGCAGGAGCTCAAGGACCTTCTTGAGCAACTCAGAGACAATCAGTTGTCGAAAGCGGATCTCGCAGATATCATCACAATCGTCCAAGAAGATTTGGTCACATTCAAGAAAGACATGGAGCAGACCACGTCAAGCAAGGATGAGTCAATACCCTTGCTAGATCAAATGAAGAGTTGTTTTGCATCGAAGGAGGATGTGGCTGCATCACTTCAGAGTGTGAAAGAATCGATGTTGGTCAAAAGCGATATCTCAGGTTTGGTTGAAGCTGCTCTGAGCACAACACTCTCCAAGAACGAGGCCGCAGGTATGTTTGCGACCTCCAAGTTAAACCTGGACACAGCAGCTACGAATATCATCTCCTCTATGCTCTCTAAAGCGGACATCGAGACGGTGGTCAAAGACTCCACCAACTCCATGGTATCAAAGGTAGACAAGCTTTCCACGCTATCAAAAGCAGACATCGTCACTGCCATTCAAGGGTCCAAGTTCTCGACAGTGACGAGAGCAGACATCGACACTGCCATCCAGCAAGCCAAGCTTTCAACGCTGTCAAAATCAGATGTTGAGACTGTGGTCAAGGAGTCTGCTAGCATTATGCTCTCCAAGACAGATGTTGAGACTGTAGTCAGGGACTCTGCTCGCGCGATGCTCTCGAAGGTGGATGTGGATACCGCAATTGAAGAGGCCAGTCTCTCAACGCTATCAAGGGCGATGTTGAGACTGTGGTCAAGAGCTCTGTCACAACCATGCCCTCGAAGGCAGACATTGATACGGCGATTCAGAACGCCAATCTTTCAAAGCTGTCTAAGACAGATCTCAATGCGGTAATCCAGGAAGCAAAGGTCTTCACGCTATCGAAGACCGATATCGTAAGCGCTTTTGAGCATGCGAGGCTATCCACCTTGACCGAAACCGATGTCGCAGCGGTATTGTTAGCCTCCAACATCTCAACGGTATCAAGGGCAGACATCAGCGCAGTGGTGGAGGAGAACAACCAGCGTCTCCTGTCGAAGGTAGATATGCAGTCTGTACTCGACAATGGAAATACCTCTTTAGTATCTCGTATCGGAAGTGCTCTCGAAAAATACATTGGCAATTTCGCAACCAAGGCCGATAGTTCCATGCTCCAAGACGAGGTCAAAGCCGCTGTAGGGAGGATCAACATGTTATCTCACGCAGTGACAAGTGCCAGTGATGAGACCTTGGCAGTAGGTTGGAACGTTAGACTTGTTCTCAGCAATGTCTCCAGGATCTTGCCTCGGACCAGAAACATCGAAAAGGATATCACACTCCAACGGAATATCTGCAACGCCATTTCTGTATCCCTTGGTAAGCATGAAACAAGTCTCTTGGCCTTGAGGCGTCACGCAAATGCACATTCCAAACAGCTCAATGGTTCACTCTGCCTCTCCATGATGGCTTCTGCTGTATACACGTCCCTGACCAAGAGTTTGGAAGACTTGAAGCAGCAGATCGGTGATGTCTGTGAGTCGGAATTGGCTTGGAGACAGCATTGCGAGATCGAGAACACCACTGGTGCTGAAGAATCTCTCGGTGTACAGCTCTGGAAGAAGCCGTCACTCGCACATCATTTGTGTGGGATGACCATGCGCCTATCCAACATGACCCTCTCCACCCCCACTCCAATGGGTTTGAGGATCGATATGATGGGAGAGACCTTGACACGGATGCATGAATCTATTGGGCAATTGGTAACATCATCACAAAACATCCATGGGAAGCTTGATGTTGTGTCGAAGCAGAATGAGGATGGGTTCAATGACCTCATACCAAGTGTGGGCCGTGTCAGTGGTGACCTGATTGTGGTTCGGGAAAGAGTCCGCCAGGTAGTTGAGAAGAGTGAGGAGACGAAGTCTTCAGTAGCGGGAATCAAATCCTCCTGTAACAGCATTGGCACATCACTACACGATGTCGAGGCCAAAGTTACCAGCACACATTCCCACCTCAAAGACCTCGATGTTGCCGGGTTCAACGAGACATTGTATGAACATCGTCATAATCCTGATCAGGATCCGCTTGGCACGTTGAAAACAGCCCTCATCTCCGAAATTGCGAGTATGTTGGATTCCAAGCTAAAGTTCGGTAATGATAAGCTCAAGAATCTACATCAGAGTTTCTCCGAGCTGCCTACCAAGGCGTGCCTTCGGGAGACAGTATAAGATGGAGTCGACGTGATCAGTGGAACTATTGATCAACATAGTACTCGAGACGCTGTCGAGGAAATGTGTAAGGCGATGACGCATACCGTCGAGCAGAGACAAGGCTTCTTGGCATCTAGGAGTGGCCAGGTCAACTCGACGAGTCGACCTGCATCTCCTTCTAAGGATGCTGGAAGGGAACGTCGATCTCCAAGTATTGCCAAATCGTCTCAACCAGGCTCGACCATTGGGGAGCCAGCCAGTGCCATGGATATCATCATGAGCTTTGTGGAGAGTCGTGGAGACCCTGCCATCACCATGGAAGAATTTACCAGAGCATTAAAGGTTTGCGTTGGTGAAGATGTGCCCACGTCGACCCTTCAGAGGCTCCAATCTGAACTCCACATTACACATGAGCACCTTGAGCGATATCAAAAATTCCCATCGGCAGATTTGATCATCAAGGCAGCCAAAGTGCTTGGGGATGCGGTCAAGGCACATGGAGAGAGACTCCTGCAAGATAGACCTGCTCTTAATTCACCTGTAATTCTCGATGAAAACTCCGACATCTCGCCTGTGGGAGGAGTGCTCAAATCCGGCATTCTCCCTTCCAGACAGAGTGTCACCACCGCATGTGACGAGTCAGTCGGCAGCAGTATGCCTCCTCGTCCCCAGGTCATCGATGAGAATCAGAGCACCGATTCGCAGGGCAATGTGATGAAAGGAGCTGAGAGTCGTCAAAGTCATGTCACACCGACTCGTACTCGACGCACGCCTGGCCCTCTACCTACCCATACCAAAACACAGCTTCGAGGGAATGAGCAATCTGCAACAACTCTCGATCTCGAGTCTACAAAGAGACCCCTATCCAGTGGCAACGATTCTTCAGTCCGGAAGAAAGCCAAGATATATGGTTCCAATCCATCAACGGGAGACTACAGCGAGCGTACGTCACATAGTGATGGCTCTGACAGTGAGCAGGACATACTGGCATCCCAAGGTGACTTGGATACCAGCGGAACGTCCTATTCTACTGCCTTCCCGACGCCTTCTACGCAACATACATCCTCTCCTTCACAACATAGAGATGAAGGTTCTACTTATGCGAAGGGTGGCCAAAAATGGGTGGAGATTGACATTGGAGCTCCCGCTAGGCTCGGCAAGGGTATGGATGCCAAGTTGAAGAACGCCAGCCTATCGGAGCCCCTGAAGCAGATGATACATGGCACGGATAAGAAGAAGAAGGGTTGGAGAGAAAAACTCTCGGTCGGTAATCAAGACATAGTGAGACTTTGCGTCTTGTCCAGCATCGACCCCGATAAAGAGTGGTTGGAATCAGTGGGACTAGAACCTGCAACGGGTATGACAGGCTTGCATACGTGGTTCGAAAAGAATTGGACGAATCAGGACGAGCCATGTCCACAATGCCTACACAGAATTGACGCCGGTGGAGTCAGGATTGTCTGTATGTACTTCATAGACAAGGAGCGTATCATGGCCTGTATCTAGTGTTTTATTCGGGCGTATATTTTCAGCTTTAGGTGCAGGATTTTGGCCGCTGTCGGAAGGAGAAATTTGTAGCATAGCAACAATCAAGGCTCTGGTAGATTCACTGATTAAAGTGGCTTTCAACTTCCCAAATCGGTCTAGCGTCTCCTTGTCGTCTATAAAATATCCCAGAGGTTACGGCTCTGAGGAACTTTTCGTTCTTCCTTTCCATACTCCCCTACCGAGGTTTCTCACCATCCTCCAACCGAACTTTGCAACCTACTGCACCCTGTCATTTCCTTCAACTTCATCACCATACTGAAGCACAATCTGTCATTGAGACAATGGTAACGTTGATCCCCTTTCTGAAGGCGAATAATGCTGACTTGTGTAGGCGGGTGTGTTTGGTATTGACAGGGCAAAAGCCGTCGCCAAGCGTGTGGTCAAGCGCAAATGGGATTTCGGTGCAGATACCTAGGTAGGAGTTGACAAGAGATGAGTAACTTCATTCATCATGTGGTTTCCAGCCACTCGGGTGTATCCACCAACCAATCACCACCGGTCAATTGGGCCCATGACGACCTGACCTCGAGATTCAATCTCGTTATCGGAGAAGTGGAGAAGATTTATGGTGATGACTTCCCAAGACAACGCAGAGATGACATGCTGTTTTGGAATGTACTGGGAGCCATTGAAATCGAGGAGCGCAAAGCTCGTGTCGATGCAAATCTCCGCGGAACAGCCTCTACGGGCATCAAGGTCGAGTCTACGGGCATCAAGACCGAAGCCGAAGAAGTCTCAACATCAGGTCGGTAGAAAGCTGCTGCAGCAGTTGGAGGCGTCAGAGGGACCATTGGCAATTCAGCCGGAAGAAGTGTCGCAGGTGAGTACATGCTACCCAACAATTAAAGATTGGATACTGACTTTGCTAAAGGGCCATCGAACACTCGAAGAGTCAAGATCGATGAAGAAGAGCGCAAATACCAGCCAGTCAGCATTTCACCTCCCGCTCAAAATTCCACACGCAGAGAGCATGCAAGTGGTCGAGGTGAGCTTTCACCCTTGTGGGGTCTTTGTGTGATCTGTATTAATTCGAAGACAGGTATGCCTGCCGCTGCCCACTCTGCAGGTAGAGGTCGTTTGTCACAAGCTGGCATCGGAGCTTCTGCTGCCCATATGCGCAGTCGATCTTCGATCTTTTAAATAGCTGCTACAGGCCTTAAATTCGCTGGTCCCTAGCCAACTAAGCCTTCTTCAGTCTTTTTGCCCCTTTTTTTCGTTCTCTTTAGTCCTTCTCCAAATCCCTTACAGCTCATCTAATAAATCATACTCCTTCGTCGGCTTCTCATGTTTAGATTTGCTATTACGCAAGCAGCTTGGGCCTCCGACAATGCTAGTGGGTTAGAGCGATTGCTTCGTGAACCGAGAACTTTGTTGATTCGCTATCAAACCGTTTCGCCGACGTAAACATAAAGAGGTGGGATTTGATAATTCTGCCTTCGAAATCGTCGGCACGATGCACCAAAATTAAAACTTTGATCAAAGGCTAGGTACGAGATTGTTCCAAAAAAAAAAAAAAATTTCATTTATTAAAGCTGTCTCGACTGTACAAGGGGAACTATGCCATACTCTGGAAACGAGGGCGTCAACTTGACGCTGAGAGGGCGACTCATGGCGGCGATACCCAGATATAAGATCGGCTTTCAACATTTTAGGGTCTGAGCATTGCAAGTGGTGTTGATGTTTCGGACAGTTACTCTCTTTATAATTGTCCTTCGATCGAGTGTCCATGCCACTATTCAGGCACACCATACAGGTCCACCTAAGTCCGGGATCTCTTGCCACAGCCTTATTTTTTGGTTTGGGTGATACGTTGTGAAGGGCAAGGCTCCAAGAAAGCACCGAATTGGCTGCCAGACTTTTAAAGGCTGCTTCAATGTACTACTACCTTGCTAGACAGTGTCACCACCGGCTTATCAACTGACCAATGCGATTCCTGCGCTTCCATTAGAGCCAAGATCCCTTCCCTATTTCTCTTCTTCTCCTCGAGTCGTTCAAGTTCAGTCCGATTCTCTTGCAACCTCCGTAACAACTTGCTTTTACTACGCCTGTGGTCTTCTAAAGCGGACAATACCTTCGCCCGCCCTTTGATATGATCACAAATCTCCTTCCTTGATCTATCGTAGCCATCGTCCGAACCCACCTCAATTTGCTCGCCTCTCTCCTTCCGCTGTTCTATTGTTTCCTGCGCAATATCTAGCTGGGGCCCTACTGTCTTCAATTGTTGGCATGCCGCTTCAAGCTCTGTAATTTGCGCCTTCATACGACCATCCTCACACCGATTATGAGCTGGCTTTTGCTCCGAGGGCTCTAGCTCCTCTGCATGCTTGGTGGCTTCGATAATTCTCAATTGCATCTCTCGGTTGAAACGATACTATAGACATTCAATCGCTGCCTTTCCTCTATAACTATTTCTTACGGTGTAATCATCCAGAGGAATGGAACAAAGAATATTAAGAACGTGTAGAATTTCTTTTTCACGAATCGATATTTTTGCTTTTATCAAAGCTAGTTCTATGACTTGTATCACATTCGCAAAAGAGACTTACTTCATCCAACAACCCCATTTTGACAAGCATGATTGATTTCCGGTCTATAATGTACCCCGATCCCAAGGTCACATTTGCCCCTATCAGAAGAATTGGTTCTTCGGCCTTGGAAGCCCCAAATGTTCCCTCAACGTACTCCCCTCATACTCCTCTCGAAAGATTCCCCGCTTCTGCAGCTCTGGCACCAACCTCTCCGTCACATCGTCCAATCCCTGAGGAAGGAACGGCAGAGCGATCGTAAAACCATCACACGCCTCTTCACTCAACCACTTCTCCATATCATCAGCAATACTTTCCGGAGTCCCCACGAATGCCAGGCCAGCATAGCCACCGTAGCGCTGAGCAAGCTGTCTGACCGTCAGTCCTTCCTCTGTCAGCCTTAAAACTGCCGCACGACTAGTCTTGCTTGCATTCGTTTCCGGTAGGTCTTTTGGTAATGGCCCATCTGGCTCAAATCCAGATGCATCAGTACCGAGCGCTATAGACAACGACGAGATGGCACTATCATAGTGCACCAAACTGTCAAGCTGAAGGCGTTTATTCACCGCTTCTTCAATCGAGTCACCTATGACAATGAACGCTGCTGGTAGAATCTTCAGATGATTCCGATCTCTACCAGCAGTCTCTGCACGCCCTTTGATATCTGCATACAGTGCTTTTGCTGATTCCAAATCTTTTGGTGAGCAGAATACAGCCTCTGCTGTTTCCGCTGCCAGCTGTCTCCCAGGATCTGACTGACCAGCTTGAACGATAACCGGCCAACCCTGAACTGGTCGAGCAATATTCAGCGGCCCCTTCACCTGCAACTCATCGCCCTTGTGGTTCAGGACATGCATCTTCACTGGATCCAAGAAAGTGCCACTCTTCTGGTCTCGAACAAAAGCATCATCAGCGAAGCTATCCCACAACCCAGTTACCACATCGTAAAACTCGCGAGCACGCTTGTAACGGTCACCATGCTGCATATGCTCATCCTGACCGAAATTCTTGGCCGATTCTGGGTTTCCTGTAGTGACAATATTCCAAGCTGCTCTGCCATTACTCAGGTGGTCCAGAGAGGCAAAACGGCGTGCAATATGGTATGGCTCATCATAAGTGGTTGATGCTGTCGCTGCAAGTCCGATCTTCTCTGTGACTTGTGAAAGAGCCGAGAGCAACGTGAATGGCTCGAAAGAAGTTACAGTATGACTGCGCTTCAGTGCTTCAACAGGCATGTTGAGCACAGCGAGGTGATCGGCCATAAAGAATGCATCGAATTTGGCTGCTTCAAGCTTCTTGATAAAGGACTTGAGGTGAGCAAGATTGAAATTCGCATCAGGATAAGAGCCGGGATACCGCCAAGCACCGGTGTGTAGAGAGACTGGTCTCATGAATGCCGTGAGATGTAATTTCTTGGATGGGAAATCAGTCGTAGTTCCGTCCGTCCTGCTCTTTTTCGCTCCGTTCGTTCCATTCGTAGCATTGCTGCTGTCGCCATCATGCTGTCGCTTGGTCATTTTCGATGAGTTGAATGATAAGATATCGAAAGCTGAAGACGAGAGGCATTGAAAAGTATGAGAAATGTCGATCACTAATATAATGGTTGTGATGACAAATACGTCAATCACGACATCGATGGCGCGCGGCTAATAGCATGTGAACGAAGGCTTACAGACTTGTCCATTGTTCGGGGTGGAAACACAATATTGTCTGAGTATAATGCTGATGGGGTTGAAATTTACTGTCGTATCTCAATTCTACCTCTTTGCTCGAGGTTACATCTCTGCCCCCATCTACTCAATCAGGTTCAACCAATTCAAGACCATCATTGCCTTGACCAGATTTCCCCTCATATCCAGATGGACACCATCATACTTATTACTCTGAATACTCATGTTCCAAGTCCCCAAATGCTCGATCCCTCTCTTTGCCGCTTCGATTCCTACGGCCTCCTCAAACAACATCAGCGCCTTGTTCCCCTGTGTCACAATCCACTCATCTGGCTTCTCCTTCCCAGAAGCATTGGGAGTGATGAATAATCCATGCCACTCTCTCCCGATCGTCCCGGATACGACACGCAACACAGCGTCCAACCAATTTACAGTTTTCTGTAAGTCGAGATTGCTCCACAAGCCATGACCAAACAGGAACACAATTTCCTTTTCTCCTTGATCACCGATGCTGTCCTCCAACTGTTTAATCTCATGCTCTGGTACCGGGAATCTCACGATCTCTTCCACTGCATTCGATTAGCTCGGCTCCACCAATGGCGAATGACTTACTGATGACATTAATTGGGTCATTACATGCCAGGCTCTCTGGATCATGAGTCAACACGTCTGCCGTCTTGTAGATTCCTTGAACGGAACATGCTTTGACATTGAATTGTTCATTGCAGAAACACTCCTTCCTACTCATGATTAGAGAATGAAAGCAAGTAAGCTCGATGCCATACCTTTCTTGCAAGGAGAAGTTCCAATCTGTGACAGCACCATAACCAAGGTCTTTCCGGATCAAGATGTTGAGGCTCCCAATTATGTGTCTCAGCATGGAATCACCCACCAACACAACCTTATCAAACCTTCCCAGTATCTCGCAAATCTCGTCGGTGGTGAACCATCGCATATCACATTCCCGAGGCATATATGGAGCATCGTGGCCAATCCTCCCACCGGAAGACATTGCAGCCAGCATGGAGCTTCGGTCCTTGCAAAGCGGACTGAACGGAGCATGAAGATCCAGAGACGAAACATTGCATGTATTCCGGAATTTGTATGATTGGAAGGTATCGATTAGATCAGGGGCGCGATATCTTCCCGCTTCAGGTGGCTGGAAAGCAGCTTGAGGAACAACGGTTACATTGGAGATGTCTTGATCGACGTGAATGGGCTGTCTGTGTCAGTACTGAGCCCAATGGGTGCCTTCTGAACTCACTAATCCTCCAGACCTTGGAATCCAGTCACGCACGAGAATGAAGCTTCCAAAAACCACAAGCGCTATGCCGATCCTGAAAGGTGAGAATCGCAGACCAGAGAACCGAGCTGGACGAGAGACTCTAGCCCATTTGAAGTTCGTACTTGGCGGGGTTTCTGGACTCGGAGTTGTAAAAGGATCGTCAAGCAATCGAGGTCTTTCCCACATTGTGACAGGAAGGCAAGTGCTCGAACGGGAAAGAAATCGATGGCAACCGGAGGGTAGGCACTTATAAACGAGTGGTAGACGTTCGGAATAGGTGGCAGAAAAAAGGAGAATTCTGGAGAGAGAAGCAGTTGAAGATTTGGTGACGATGCAAAGACCAGAAACGGGAAGTGGTCTCAAACGAGAAGGAGCGACCGACAGCGTGTCTTCAACAAGAATACGATTTCCTCCTAGATTAAGAACACTGCTGAAAATCTATCGGCACTCTACTTACACCAAACTCCATGATACGCGATAGACCAATTCACTTCAGCAGGCCCAGTGGATATAAAGCCGCCTTCGCAACATCGATCGCCCATCCAATCCAGCCCCTGGTTCGCTCAACAGAATTCAGCATACCCACAAATCGCCGGGTGAATGCATCTGTTGTTTGAGTCAGAGAAGAAACTTGATGCGGACGGGACATCACTCACCAACTTCGACAAAGTCATCAGCATACGCTTCCCACACCGCAACCTCCTTTCCGCCCTTCGTGTTCTGTGGGACCAGCTGCCATTCATCATCAATCATGACTTTTGGTCCAATGGCCAATGCACGGCCAGCAATTCGAGAATCAGCCATCAATCGAGTCCCTGCATCAACAACATCTTCAGGCTTGCCCATTGCCCCACCTGCCAACAATAGTCGTCCAGCAGCTGGGATAATTGGAGTATCGATGAAATATGGGCACAACACTAGATCAATGTTAACATTGATACATGCCAGAGTAGCAGGGAATACATACAGTTGACTCGAACACCATGAATGAAAGAGGAACTTCGAAGTGATCTCTGGAAATCAGTCAGCGTAAGTAAAACGACAATGTGAGTCCACATACAAACAATCCAAGCACAGCATGTTTGCTCGTCCCATACTGTATTTGGTGAGGAATAGGACAAAGAGATGCAATCGATCCAATCAACAGAATATGTCTGTCCCGAGTATATGGCCCAGGTGGGAGCTTGGAAGGGCTTGGCTTTGTCGATTTATCGTTTCGAGGAAGCCAGAACATAGCCAGATGGGTAGTGTATAGGACGCCAATGATATTCACATCAATCGTTTTGAAGACTGGCTCCGGTGGTTCCTTTACATCCAGCCCTTTCGGATCATCGACAGTTGATCCAACATCTGTTATGCCGGCATTGGCCACCACAGCATCAATCCCACCATGAGGACTGAGCTTGATGGCAGTACGGAAGAGATCCACCTGCGATTGCCAATTCGTCACATCACAGTAGACGAAGTGATGGTGTTCGCTGCCGGACTCCTTTCGCATCTCCTCCACCAATTCCTTCCCCTTTTCTCTGTTCACATCAGCAACAAACACATTTGCTCCATTGAGTGCCCATTTCTTGGCGAATCCAGCTCCAAAGCCCGAGGCTCCTCCTGTAATTATGATTGTCTTTCCTGCAACCCATGCCGGATCGTACGGCTCGGTGGTGTCAACTGGAGGAGATTGTCTAACCATCTCCACGACATTGTTGTGGTCCTTAGCCATTTCGGTTGATGGAGGATTGGTGGAAGGTTGGGAGAAGGCAGAATCTGCGAGAGAAATTAGTGATCACTGACAGAAAACGTTGTAGATTTTGATTACTATGTCTGCAGAAGATTTCAGGATTAGTCGCAAAGAGTCCAAGCTGAAGCACAGACAGCCTCGTCAGTGTGAATCACGGAAAAGATCAAAAGCTGTAGATTAGAGTTGGAGGGCGATGGGAGCCATATTTACTCTGTTCGACAAACTAGCCCACCGGTAGTTGGAATTGCCAATGGGAAGTTGTGGTTGGGAGCTCTGTCGGTGGGAGTGGAAGCTGTTGAGGGTTCGCCGAGGCTGAAAATATCGGGCCCTGAAAATACGGGGATGCGCTAGTCTAAGTGGGGAGAGCGAAAGTGGGGCCGAGGATGAAAAGGGGAAAAGAAGCAAGCGAGAACAAGAGCTTGTGACAAGGTTCGACATTCAGAATTGATGCTGTAAAACGATAACAAGTCATATCATCCTTGGTAATAGTTCCACGTCGTCAGTCTGGAAGGACTGGGAAAATGCAGAGAGCTATGCTTTTATCATGAGAATCAACATACTTGGGTGGTGATTTCATGGTGGAGTGATAACTGGCACTTGCTCTCGCTCTCGGTATCCACACTCTCCATTGCCTGTCCCATTCAGCAGCATCTTCCCCAAAAGCTAATATCGAGGTCCCCTGATGTGCTGCCGAGGTTCAAGTAAGCAGCCAGTCTTGAGACGTTGAAGCTCGTTCGAGGATGTGGAATGACCATGGCGTGATGCTAGCGGCTGGGACAACAGCTTGCTTTCTCATATTAAAACTAGCATACTCCTTCTGATCTCAAGGATTTCGGCTTCGTTCATACACTCAGAAGATTATACATCATTCTGAGCCATAAGCGCTAAAACTCTGTCAACATGCAAAGCAAACACAAGCACAGCATATTTCGCAGATCTTGGTGGACCCAGATTCCCTCAGAGGAGATACTACCTCTATGTACCTGAGCCAAGATGTTTGCACCAGAGCGTATACATCCACCTTGACCAATCATTCTGCTACAGGCAATGAAAGTACCTTTGCTTGACACATGGGCAATTAGCCACTTGTCAGATGATCTCTCTTCACTTCTCCGGATGTTAGATTGCTCCTACAATCCTGGGCCTCAGAGACACCAAAGACTCACAAAGACTCAGAGTGTCAGCAAAAGTTGGACACCTGTGTTGCACGTGCTTCCGGGAAAGAGTTTATCCCCAGTTGCCGATTTTGCCCCACCGAAGCTCTCTGCCGATCGTCTGAACTACAAAGTTCCACCAGATCTTAAATGTTGCAAGGACAATTGCTACAATCTGCGGTATCCCTTTTCTCTCTTCCACTGTTTCCCTCGTTTCTCTGTATATTCTCTCGTCACAGAAGCCTTCCTTTAAGCTGCTCCTCTACCTAATCTCCCAGATTTCCACCAGCAGCAATGTCAGGACCAATTCGCAAAGGACTCACGAACATCCTCAAGAAAGAACCTACCGATATCGTCATCCTCTCCTCTCTCCGAACGCCAATCACACGATCCTACAAAGGTCATCTCAAAGATGCCTACCCTGAAGAGCTTCTCGCGACTGTTCTGAAAGCCACCCTCGCAGCGAACCCCAACCTCGATCCCGCGTTAATACAAGATGTAGGCGTTGGAGTTGTTCTCTCTGAACTTGGCGGATCGAAAGCGGGTCGAATGGCAATGAATCATATAGGCATACCTACAACGACATCTTTCTACACCGTCAATCGAGCCTGCAGTTCCGGCTTGAGTGCCATCACGAACGTCTCGCACCAAATCGCAACAGGCATGATCGACATAGGCATTGGAGGAGGTATGGAGAGCATGACACGGAATTACGGATCGAGGGCAATCCCAACAGTCCTGTGGCCAGAATTGAAAGAAAGTGAAGTCCGTGATGCGAGGGATTGCATTATGCCCATGGGATTGACCAGCGAAAATGTCGCGGAAAGGTACGGTGTCAGTAGAGCTGACCAGGACGCATTCGCAGTAATGTCGCATCAACGAGCTGCCAAAGCTCAAGCGGAAGGACTCTTCGACATGGAAATTGTACCTGTGCATACGAGATACCAAGAAGTTGACAAGAAGGGAGAGAAGGTAGGAGGAGAGAAGGAGGTCACAGTCACAAAAGATGATGGTATCAGAACGAATGCCAGTTTGGAAGGAATGCAGAAACTAAAGCCGGCTTTCAAGGAGAATGGAACGTCAACAGCAGGAAACTCGTCTCAAATTTCTGATGGTGCCGCTGCTACCCTTCTGATGCGACGAAGCACAGCAACGGAACTCGGATTGACGTCCTCAATTATTGGGAAATGGGCAGGGACCCAAGTTGCTGGCTGTAGGCCAGATGAGATGGGAATTGGCCCCGCTATTGCTATCCCGAAACTTTTGGAGTATACTGGCTTGAAGACGGAAGATGTTGGATTATGGGAGATCAATGAAGCATTTGCAAGTCAAGCCATCTATTGTTTGAGACAGCTGGGTCTTGAGAAGCAGCTCGAGGAGGCAAGAGTCAATCCCAAAGGTGGTGCCATTGCATTGGGTCACCCATTGGGAGCAACTGGTGCGAGGATGTTGGCTGGTCTTTTGCCCGAGATGGAAAGGCAAGGTTTGCAGACCGGAGTTGTGTCAATGTGCATTGGTACTGGAATGGGCATGGCTGGTTTGTTTGTACGAGAATAAAAGCAATTGAGACTTCTGTATTTCACAATTTAGAGATTGAAGACGTGAGAAGTGCTTGTGCGCAATTTATGCTCCGTACTGCGTTGATGTTCAGCCCGTGAGCATCTCGGCCCCCGACCCCATTTCTGAATACACCACTTGCAAAGGCACCATCCCATACAATTACATCCTCGGATCTATTACATTACAGCCCCGTCGTCACAGGACTTTCTCGTCCAACCACTTCAGGCCATGCTCATCTAGAGCTTTCCTCTCAACAAATTCGAGATCATTTCTCTCCCAGTAACCCAAGTCGTCCTCCACAAGGTAGGAATATCCAGGGTACTGGTAAGACCGTCTGCAAATCCGAAGAACAACATGGGTGGGATCCATCCTCTAGCATACTCAAGGGCAAAGCAGGCTTCGTCCATTTTATACTGTTTGACGGTACCGCGACGAAGATGGTGGACACTTCCTTGGGGATAGATTTCTGGCTCGAAGTCTCCTGGCGTGTAAGCGAGCTGAGTGCCACGGATGATGTGGAAGTAATCATCTGCAGTGTGGCGACCGCTGTGTCCTTCCGTGCCAACGGTGGTTCCTATCAACATGTCAGAAAAATACCATGTAGATGGAAAGGATTGTACGAACCAAAGATTATCAAGTACTCGGTAATGCCTGAGGTCAGGTTAGTGAGAAGATTCGGGGAAGGGAGAGGGGGTAATCATGTGACATGAATTTCACTTGGAGATGCACCGGCGGGAGTGAACTTACTTGCATGAATGATATACATGGCACCCATGGCTCCTCCAGCATTGTTGAAGATCCATTCCTGGTCCAAATTGATGTACCCTCCAGGAAACTTGCCATGAAGTTCATCTGCGATGTAGGTGACTACTGAACGAGTATCGTTTCCATGAGCTGCGATAGCACGCAAGGACAGATCGTGTAATTCAGGAGGTGAGAGGATGTAAAACCAGTCAAGATGTGAGTCTAGATAATAGTAGACAACTGAAAGCAGCGCAACGACAACGGCAAGGATTGAAAGGCTCTGTGACCAGGTACGACCGTCTGTGGGAGGGGCTTTAGAAGCCTTGCCAGGCGCCATTGTAAATCGGGATCAAAAGAAAAGAAAATCGAGGTCGTTCAAGGAGTGTGGTTTGAGGCGCTGGAACAATAGGGGGGACTTTGAGCTTAAAAACATTTTGGTTGTATCGGCAACTCAGAGCTGTGCTTCCGGCGCTAGCCTTCTCGTACGATTATTGCACGTGATACTCGCTGCATTGAGCCCGTACTTCCAAAGTTTAATTGTGAATTGCTTGGAGAGAGATGATAGATAGCTGTCCGTTTCTCTATCGGCCAGATGCTTGTGTAGGGGAATCAGTTTTATATACTCAACCGTTGTTCTGGGACAGGGCTGACAAGGCTGATAAACCCAGGTCACCGTAGCTAGCGTATAGAAGTTCGAGATCTTCGACCAACGACAACTTTTCCAATACTTCTTCTCATTCCACGATTCAGACCACAGTCGCCAATATGTCCATGTTCCGGGCGAAAAAGCTGGACCTTGGCTGTTTTGTCAACATCAAGGTCATCAGAGACCATACGAAGAGAAAAGTTTTCGCAGAGCACGAGACAGAAAGGTGTGTCTTCTAACAAGTCCAGCTCCCGAGCATCTGCGAATGGACATGGCAGTCCAATTGTGCTGCTTAAGGCAGATCTGGATCCATTTGAATCGTACTGACTGCTTGGAAATAGACAGGCTCTGCGATACATAATTCGAAATCTCAGTCTCCCCGCTCGAACACGCGCCCAGGCTGCGTTGCAGTTGACGTCGATGCATTGCTATACTCGACCAACACAGATTCGAAATCGTTGCATTGAGGGTGGGAAAGGCCGAGGTGTGCTGAGGGATTTTAAGATGACAAGGGTAGGTTGGATTGCAGACAATAGAAATTGGGCTCTAGCTAATGAGGCTTTCTCACAGTACAACTTCCGAATGAACGCCCTTGCGGGCTCCCTACCTGGTGTCAAGAAAGCCAGTTGGTAATGGGAGATACTTTGTTTGGGATAATGGTGGATTGTGTACGATAAGATGTCCAGGCCTGAGGGTGGTTTCTTAGGGTTTCGCCCCCGATGACCATCAGGCAGAGCTTCATGAGCTCCTGCGGAGCACACAAGATGAAGGAACGTGTAGAATACAAGGTCGAAAAAATGGCGTTACGAGGTATTATGAACACAGGTCGTCGGAGCTCGGTGACGCATAATTTGAGCCCCACTTCCTGAAGCAGCCAAAGTATCAATGATTATAGCAAGTTTGTACACTTTCTAGCGTGATTCTGGAACTCCAAGTCTTGATCCGAATCTGTTTGTCTGTTTAATTCTACTTGTCATTGAAGCCATGCAACTATCCGAGTGCAAATACCTCAGCTTCTCGTCCTCTCCGCTTGCTTTCGCTGATGAGATTGGAATCTGCTGTCGTTCCTCTTTACTTGTGAAGCCTCATTTTCGTTCTTTTCTGCCAAGAAACGTCGTTCAATGATTGATGCTCCCGTTCTTCATCGAGTTCAGAATTGCCCAAATGATACCCGTTTGCACGCACAGTCTCTAAGCTCAAGCAATTAGTCACTTCAATTGTATCCTCGCAAGCTTCCTACACTTCTGTCCCCATATCGGGAAAGAACCGCTCCATTCACCTCCAATCAAGTCGCTTGCCGAGGATAAATAAGCCATCTCGAGCTCGTCAAATTTCTCCCAGCTGCAACCACAAAAGATCTGCTTCGTCACAAAACGCAAACAGAACGTTCAGTACGACAACACTTCCTTAATTCCCACCTACTCTCACACATCGTCACCATGTTCCGCCGTCTCTCTTCAGGCCTCCCCAAAAATCCGATCTTCCCTCATGATCTCAAGGGCCTGGGGTAAGCTCACCTTCATCTTGAGCGAATCATATTAACTCTCCTAGATACTTCGTCAACAAGAACGACGAGATTCGAAGCATTGAAGATCCAAAGGCCTACTTCAAGTTCTTCATTACCAGAAATGATCGCCACAACTGCGTCCAGCGCGAGGCAATGAATGGTGAGCACAATCTAGAACTTCTCGGACACGCTGATACTAGAATAGAAGCTATTCGAAACCTCATTGCTGATCGTCTTCAAAAGCTCGGCCTCGAAAAGATCCGACTTCCTCTTGGTGCCGAAGCCAATGAGCCAAACCTCCCAATCTTCATATCTTCCAACATCCAAGACAAGAAGCGAGTTATCATCGTCTTCAATGAGAGTTCCCAGGACCTCGGCGTCTTTGCTCATCGTATCATTGGTGGCAAAGGAGGTGTTTCTGAAGGCTCGGCACTCAATCTTGTCAAGTACATCCAGTCCCAAGCTACCTCGCCAGACAACAATGACCCTCCGGGAATCATCCTTGCGAATATGGGTCAATTGAGATGGTGGCGTCGTGGAAAGAAGGCTGTCACCCTGACTTCCTGGAATGCGTTACCTCAGGACAGTGCAGTTGAGCAGGCTTTCCGCTTCGATGAGGTCAAGAACACTATTCCCTTTAACCGAACAACCTACGAGCATGTTGAATATGTGTTCAACGAGGTTGTCGAGAAGCTTGTTGCTGCCGATGCTCAACTGAATGTCATTGGAGTGTCCGAAGGAGCCGTCCAGGTTGAGACTTTCTTGGAAAAGCCAAAAAACTTCAACAAGTGGGGAAAGAGAGTTTCTGCACTCGCTGTCATCGCTACCTACTTCCTCGGCCATGAGATCCAAAACCAAGAATTTGCGAAGTGGTTTATCAACGTAAGCTCCACATATACTGTCCATAGAGATGATGCTGATCTGAAACTTTAGCATGGACGTGGCTACCTTGTCTCCAACGAACCAGGTGGTGTCTTCCTTGCAGACTACAATGGTCGAAAGCGTATTCCAGCTTACGGATGTCCGGTCTTCAGTCTCGGTGAGCCTTACTATGCAGAGACTCTGCTTCCCAAAGGCTACAAGACCGTCGTAGATTGGTTCCAAGAAGTGGCTTCTGATCGTGACTACGCCAATCCCAAGTTCGACCGTTACGATTTTGGTGGAAGTGACAATGAAGAGGAAGCTGGGGAGGACGATGCTGCATGGAATACGCAGGAAAAGCTCGGTACTATCAAGGATGAAGAGAGGATCGTTGAGGTCGAGTAGGGTGGTAGCAAGGAGACTGCGAAGTAGATCTGAGCACATGATGCGAAAGACTTAAGTTGCTACCGAGACCGACACAGGATTAGAAGATGATAACAGCAATGGTATCATAAGCTTATGGCTCCATGCACGTCCTCTCGTTTTCTCTCCAGCATAGTCCCCAGTCTGTTTACAAGTACATTGCGCTATTTCACTACTACCAATGTCCTTAGTGAATGAATATGTTTTTAATTGAGACGAACATTTACCAAGCACCGTCTCTGAAATCTTGCCTAAATCACCAAAAGGCACTCTTTCTCTCCACGCCTAAGTTGCTTCAACTTTCAATCAGAGTTTTACCAATTTTACCATAGAAAAGGCTGGAATAGACTGGGACAGTTGCAAGGTCTGAAATACTCAAGTTCTTGGGGATGAATTAATGCGAAGTCTTGTTATGATCTAAAAGCTTATAGATTCACAGGCGTCTATCGTTCCTGTATTATGGATCGCGAATATTGCTTTGATGAGAGATAGAGAGCTGCAGCGCCTGCATGAAAGGTGGGTTTTACCGTCCGCAGAGTCATGAGCGCTGGTGTGAGGTCGAACAAGGGAATGCAATGAAGTACAGGGAGAGAGCTTTGATCATCATGCATTCTGATCAAGATGAATCTAGACGAGAGTTTTGGCATGAGTTGTGACTTATATTGCACCAGTTAACAGCGCCCGATAACAGCCAAATCATACAGTCAAGAAATTGCTGCTTCCAGCAGACTTCCCAGGAGTAGCAAGAATCTCTGCAGACCTCCGCATTCGCTCCTTGATAACTTGTTCCTCGCTCTCCCACCTTCCAATGCCATCCTTCTGTTCAATTCCAAATGCAAGCCAGCTTCCCGCATTCGCTGCTTGCTTTTCCTTTTCTTCCTTAGCCATCTTTGTAACCATTGTCATCCAATTACCCAATCCCACTGCGAGACATTGCTTGCAAGTAATCTTTGCATCCTTTCCAATTCCTTTCCGTCGCAATTCTTCTTCCGCAATATCTACAGCTTCTCGTGTCCACGCCAGTCCATCTTCTCTGCTTGTACGGCTTTGCTTCGAAGCATACAAAATCTCCCCAATGTAGGTCATGATCCCAGCTTCCTCGCAGCGTTCTTTGGGTCCCCGCAGAGGTGCTGCGGTTCCATCATCAGGAGGCGGAGGATATGCAGGTGCCACGATTGCTGAGCGAACGAGCGAAGTTGCGGCCTTCCATATCCCATCATTCTCCTCATCGGGTATCAAAGTCGATCGCATGGTTGCTGGTACGTCTTGTAGAGTTCTTCGAGCTCGAAGGACGGAGATAAATATCGGGAGTGCCTCCGATAGACGCTTATTCAGAGCATGGTGAACAGCTAGGGCCGTGGTAGCTGAGAGTATGTTGGCACTCGGATTTCGAATTTCGGGGTGTAGAATGGCGGTGGAATCGACGACATCGGCACTGCTTGAAGTTGCAATGTCCAATGCCCATTGGTATATCTGCGAAGCGGCTTCGGGCGTTTGCTTGTAATCCAGCCATGATCCACATGCCAATGCTGCATCTACCCTCTGCTTCTCAGTGAAGCCATGTGTTGTCAAGATTTTCATATAATAGGTATCTGGTGATTCAAATGCGGGTTCGCAATCTTCTTCTCTGGGTGGTGATTTTGCACCTGGAGGAACAGGTCTGGGATTCGGATTCGAGGGCCCAATAACAACACTCGCTGGGAAGGCGACATTCCGAGTCCTGTCCCTAACCCAACCATCCAAATGCTCAGCTGCTCGTGCAGCTCCCATCATAATTTCGTAGTATCCCCGTCTCCATGATTCGGGCTTCATCGAGATATCATAGCCAGTCTTTCCTACACCAGCGACCAAAATACCGCCCTCAACCACATCATCCAATCCAGCTCCGTCAATGTTTGGATCTTCCAACCTCTTCAGCAACCGCCGGTATGCTTCTCCAGTTCGAGCCCAATCGACCAGATTATTGCCATCATCATCATGGTCTTCGTTCCATCTCGCACTTCTGTAATCTTTCCTTGTCACCCATGACCATTCGTGTGGTGACGGGAATTTCCTTTCCAACCACTCTTGCTGCACCCCGAAAGCAATCACCAGAAGGAGAAATGACCCTGTCCATATCACCGCTGTATATTTGCCCGCTTTCCGTACTTCATCTTTGATCCATTGTTTTCGTTCCGTGGTCAGGAACCGGGCGATGGGGCGTCGGTTTGGAGAGGAAAGGAATGGGAGCTGTGGTCGAGATTTAGATATGAGGGTATTCTGTGTGAAGGGGCGCAATGAGTTTGGAGGTCGAAAAGGTCGTAAGAATAGTATCCTCCGGATGGGGAGTCTAGGGCGCATTTTAGACAATGATTGGGAGATCTGGTGGATGTTGACTCGAGAGCTCACTCTGTCGAAAGGTTCAAGCTCGTTGATGTCTGAGGCAGCCACATGTATTCAGGCATCAATCTCTGAAATCACGCCGCAACATGGATTGCTTCCTGCAATGTTCAAGATATTTCTTCAATTTTGCAAGATATGTTTACTTTGGATTGGCGATATCGAGGTGCGAGTAGCAACAAGCGGGAACACTCACATAGTCACTTAGCTCAATGAGCCGCAAACGCCGCCTGGCTCTACCTAAGTGCCGCGAACATTAATGCCAGCACAGTAAGAGAGAGTTCAAACTGGGCGCCACGGAATATGTAATCTCCAATGTGCTTCATTGGATATCTATCAATTTTCACTGGCAATGTGCCCAAAGTTGTCATTAGCAAAATGAACAATAAGAGAGAGAGAGAGAGAGCAAAGTAGTCCCAAAAAGTGCGTGGGTCCAGATGAGCTGGGTCAGCTACTGTTGCACATCATGGAAGACGGAAGAGTTCTCCCTCAGGTCCAACATAGAGGTCGACTATGTCAAAGCCCATGCTACTAACAAACATCAGTCACGAGCTCCGTGGGAGATGCGACACAGTACACAGTTACTCTACGTATTCTATAGATGGAGTAGGACAAGCTCCCATAGTACTGTACATGTCTTCTCAGTAGCAGCAGTGAGCAGTGGAGGTGTGGAGAATCCACGGCTTCGACCGACCTGTCTTTCGAAGCCATTAAGCTATATCCCGGTTCATTCAAGGAAGGCGGTCTAGTGCTTGGTCGAGTAAGAGAGACACGCTCGAGTAAGAGAAGCTGGCATGCGTTGATTCGTGATAATAAGTTGGTAACTTCGCATCTGGGGAGACGTGCTTCCAACGCGAAGTCAGTGACAGCGATTTTAGTGATGTTAGTGGTGCTATCTTAGGGGTCTAAGCGGCTTCTTCGGCTGAAGCTCGGGCTAAGCTAATCTGACCCAATGTCTGTCAGCGACTTCTTCTCTTTGGCGTCAGAGATCAGAGCCTGATACCGCATAATACAAGCTACTTGCAAACGCCATCCAGAGAGTCCCTGTGATGTCCCGTCAGTATCGGATTGGGCCCGGCTGAGCATTCCGGTGATCGTCGGGCGCTTGAGCAACCTTGTAACAGCATTCGACCTCGATGCAACTTGTTCTCCTTACACGAACACTTTCTTGTCGTACGAAGGCAAACCTCTTCGCTTCGATACATTGTCCTCAGAATATAGCACCCAAAGCTACCACCCAGAAGCATCTGCGAATCTCTTACGCCATGTCTGAGCCGCACTCAAAGTTCAAGCTGATCCGCGCGCCTCAGCCTTACCCCACCACGCAACCGATTGTCTTCCTCTCAGGGACAATACATTACAGCTCTGCCACTGACTGGCGAGGCCATGTCTCTTCCTCTCTATCGCACCTCCCGATTACGGTCCTGAACCCTCACCGGGCAGATTGGGACTCAAGCTGGAAGGAGGATATCAAGTTCCAGCCTTTCAAAGATCAAGTCAACTGGGAATTGGCGGGCATGGAAGCCGCAGATATGTTGGCGGTATATTTCGGGACGAATACCGAAGCTCCCATCACGCTGATGGAGCTGGGCCTCGCTGCAAGAGAGAAAGGAAAGAAGTGTGTGGTTGCATGTGTTGATGGCTACAAGAAGAAGGGGAACGTCCAAGTGGTTTGCGAGAGATATGCCATTGAAGTGGTTAGCAACGAAGAGGAGTTGGGTAAAGCAGTCCTGGTGAAACTCAAGGAGCTAGGTGTCGAAGGAGCTTGAGTGTGGGAAACCCCTTCCAAAGTCAGTCTCCTCGCTCAGCAAAGTCTATTCAAGTCGTTATAGTTCGCTCAATCATCAATTTCGTCACCAACAAACGGCTCGGCAGAATCTCTGGTTCCCAGTGGCTCTTATGCAGGTCCCATCAAGGTCAAGCCATCGAGATTAGAATATTATCTTATGTTCGGATTTTTCTAGTACGTCCTGCTATCTGCTCAACTTCGGACCGCCACTCCAACGGCCTTTCTTCATCTTGCAATAAAAGACTTGAATAGGAAGCGTTGATATTTCCTTCGCCACAGGTATTGTTTCTTTGGGCTTCTGAAGGAGCTACCTTTCAAGCGATTCAGAAACGATCTCGAGAGCCTGCTTCGGCCGACATATCTACTAGCGAAACAACCTATCGCAGATTTTCACATGTGTTTGACTGGCGTGTTGAGAAGAAACACCGGAACGTTTGAGTGTAATTCGTCCTCAAATCTGTACACGTATTGAATGCTTCTTTGCCTCCTTCGTGTCCCTTGCCATAGCCGAAGCTTTCCGGCTGGCATCCGACTTTTCTTTTGTCTCTAGAAGCTCTTCGATGTATGGCCAACATGGATCTTTGTTTGCCAAAATTGAACCGGCAAGAAAGCAGGATTTTCAGTCGTACGTGCCAGCATCTTGAAAGCAACGAGTGAAACTTTTCACTTCGAGCAAAAAGAGAACTGGAATCTCAAAGCCATTAGAGCGAGGCTTTGCAACAAACAAAATATCTCCATGCTTATTGCTTCTTGATCCAGCAATTGTTCAAAGCCTGCTTTCTTCTTCCCATCAGAAGTAAATTCTAGCCTTGGATTTCGAGCAATTCAGATTTGAGAATTCACAATGCTGAGAAAATCAGAAACAAAGATCGAGCACCATCGATCTAGGCGTCCGAGTGGAAGCCACATCCTAGCTCCGTGCATTCCCTCCTGCAAGCCACACTCCATTCACATGCATTGTGCCAAAATATGACTTGTCGAGAACGACAAGTCGAACTCCCTATATTGGCATATGCTTAAGCTTACTCTTTTCTCGAGAAGCAATTATTTATTACCCCTCGGCACTGCAACATCATCAGCGAATTCCCATCATTTACAGCAGGAATAGAAACTCAATATTCCTCTATTCCTTTAATGCGATGGCAAGATTTCTAATGCTAGCAAACCAGGCTTATGCAGTGAAATCCGAACCAGTGAAGCTCCTGCGGGGCGGGTATTGCGGGGTATCCTTACTTTCTTTTTGTTGGTGCAAGGAAGAATTGTTTGTCGTTGCCCGCCATGGCGTTTTTGTGAACGCGGTAATCTGGTGAGTGAGCCGAGAAATGGACGGCGATGAATCTGACCTATCGACTCTCGTTTCACAAAGAATTGTCTCTATTCCTCACATCCAGAACAATCAACCTCATTCGGTTTGGTTCAGCAGGGCTTCGAAACCCTGGAGTTTGTTTTCCAGAACTTTTCACATTCCTTTCTTTCGAGTTCTCCTTGACTTCTTCAAATTCTACTTCATCAATCGAAGACCCGCGATCGTGGTACTGATATGGCAAGCGTAGCTCACTCATTGGGGCACCTACGCCCGTCCTCGAGTGGGTGGAATGCCATCAATCACATTTCGGCTCCCTCGAATAGTGTGAGTTTATCCCCCGATCGAGTTGGCCTGGGCACCCAATCATCAGAGAGTCCTTTCTGGGAGACTCCCCAAGCTACAACACCAATTTCTCCGGCTTCAGAAGGCATCAAGCGAGCGGGGACATGGCTCGAAAGCATGGCAAAGCGGCGAGAAGCTGCTCAAGCAACGGTGAAGAGATCCAGCAAGAGCGTGGAGCCCCGTTCGGCGAGGAAATCGCCTTCAAGAGGTTTTGCAATTAACACAATCACACAGCAGCCATGAGCAAATCCCACAGACGATACTGGAAACAAGAATTATCCCCAACACTCCTTCTTCCAAAAGAACACTCACCACTACGTCTCGGACGATAGTGACTCCTCGGAGTAATGCCCGAGCAGTGATCTCGAACAACCGCAGGCGCGACTCGTCAAGTCCATCTCCTACTGGGCTGAGTGCAAGAGGCGTCTCAAACCCCTTTCAGATATTGTCCCCGGCATCGACAGTCGAGTCACCACCAAGCTCTGAAGAGATCGAAATCGAAGACAGCTGTGCTTCAAGCACGGAAGATCTTTCGCCCGACGAGGGCGAAGTGTACGAAGTCGCACGCATATTAGAGGAGAGAACACGTCGCGGTATGCAGGAGTTCCTGGTGGAATGGGTGAATTACGAGGAGTTCAATTGGATCCCTCAGCAGGATTGCTTTTGCGAAGATCTTATTGAAAATTTCAGGGCAACTCAACGGATAAGAATGGCAGAAAGATCGCACAGCTCACGATATTCGGAGCCCGATTCGAGTCAGCAGAGACAGTTGAGAGCCCAGCGTAGGGCAGAGAAGATCCCCCAAGTCGAGACGAAGGAAGCTTTCATCCGACGGGTCTATGCTGGAAGAGATCCCAGAACTGGACAATTCCGGAAGAAACAAGCTGCAAATCGTATGTCGTCTGAGAGATCTGAAATGGACCAAGGGAGGCCATTGGCAGCACAATTGAACAGCACTATACCTTCTGCGTCAGGAAACACTGCACGCTTCTCGACGAGGCCTACTACACCAACGCCAGCTGCAGTGGTGGTATCTACTCAACGTGATGCGACAACTGGAGAGATTGTTTGGCTGCGATCCACAGCGGAAGATGATCCTTCGCCGGTGTCGATGATCTCCAATCGAAGTTCTACAAGGAGACTTGCGGATATACCTTGCAGCAAAAAGAGGATCATGGAAGGAGGAAGAAGACTTCAAGTGGCAGGAGGCAGAGGGCAAGAGGGAAGAATGCAGAAGAGGAAGAAGGTCTCTGGCGGCTCACAACAGAGAGACCGGCAGCCAGGTTGCTGCTCGATGGAGCCATTCAAGTCTGCATTGGCAGATGAGAGGATGAGGGGTGCAGTGTCAGAAGCTCCGAAGCAGAATCGTAGACCGATTCACATTCGTTTTGACGACGACGCCTTGCCGATTCTTCCACTACCACCACCTCCTTCTCAGTCATCCCAGCCCAGTCACGATTACACACCGAATATTTCTTGCGGCGAGGCTCTGAGAAGAGCAAGGACCGAAGAGAAGAAAGCAGTTGTGCCGAGCTTGTTGAGGCACGAATTTAGTGGCAGTATGAGCTACAAACACGCCGAGGCGCTGATCAACCAGACTCGGCGGTCACCTGAACGTGCTTTTGGATTCTCTCTGCCTTCCAACAGCGTTCTTCTTTCCATCGAAAGAGACGATGACTGATTCGGGACCGGGCTCATTACTTGGCTGACCTTGACGGTATGATCGGCTCATCCCGAAACACTCGCCAAGTTCTCGGCATCGTCACTTTGGATGCAGACACTCACAACTTCACAAGTGGTCGTAACCTTGGAAATTCGGTTGGATTGAATTACAATGGAATGTTCAATAGCAAGTGTCATTATTCTAAGAATTTACAGCAGTCACCGAAACCGTTGTCTGCCACCACCCCATAACAACACCGGATCTTTCGCCGAGAGACGGGAATGAGCTCAACCCATCGATGCCTACACTTAAGATCTATTCGATGAATCTTCGGCTCTTGGCCTTGCCACCAGTCTTAGCATTTCCTCCGTTGTTCGCATTGGCGGCATTGCCGTTGGTGTTTCCTCCCGCAGCAGCTCCCACGGTGAACTTCTGACAATCATCTTGAGCACCCCGCTGAGCCACAGGCATAAGAACAGGTTGATGATTGCTTGAGCTGGTCATGCTACACACTCTGTAGTTACCAGCAGGAAGTCCTCCCGTAACCGTCGCGCTTAGAAGTCCCTTGTTGTTCCCAGCGTCGTTGACGCCCTTGAAGAAGACGAATGCTGTTGGGTCAGGTGCTGTTGTAGGCTGAAGACTGTTGCCCAGATCCTGGACCGTCAAATGTGTGTGGCCGATAACCTGACCGTTGGAAGCCAAGTCTTGAGGCGCGCTATAGTATGTAGCTGCGGCGTTGGTGAAGGAACCGGCTGTGAGACCTTTGGTTTGGATGGAGATTGTGAAGTCCTTGTTGGCGGCAATGTTCTCTCCGGGCTTTGGGGAGGTGATTATGCCTGATATCATATTTGCTGTGGAAGGAATCTTGCCCATAACTGTGTATCTGTTAGATAAAGCTCAAGTAGGAGGGAAAAGTCACATACCAATGCCATTACACGATCCTTGCTTCACTTGCAACCCATTAGTCAGTGTCTGACCGCTACAGAAGTTGATGAAGTTGGCAGTGTCTCTGATGATTGTGAGCAAATTATCATATATATCGAGGTCCAATACTCACGTCGCTGAAGCGGCTTGACCATCTGCTGGAGTCTGATTTCCGTCCGAGGCACTTCCAGTCTGGACCGCTTTCGCGTTCAAGCAAGTTGCTGCAGCAGCTGCATTGTTGTTTCCGCCATTTCCACCTCCGTTGTTTGCTTTCGAAGCAGCAGCACTCGCACTGGCTTTGGCAGCAGCCGCCGAGGCAGCAGCAGCAGCTCCATTGTTTCCGCCATTCCCTCCCTTGTTCCCTCCATTATTAGCCGCGTTGTTGTTCCCACCAAATCCGTTCTGACGGGCTACCAGACCATATCCAACCTCTGGGATAATGGACGACTCGCATGCAAGCGCTAGCGTTAGGGCGATAATAGTCTTTTGAAGTAACATGGTGAAAGAATGGAAACTCGTTGATCTACAATCGAGAATGTAAAAGATTCCAAGCCTAGAATTGAAGGAGTGGAATACACTACAGATCCAGTGCAGCTGAAGATTAAAGAAAGTAAGGTTACGTTCACGTTATGAAGAAAATAAGACGATAACGGAACAAAGAGAAACTCTTGCCAAGGGCAGCACCCGGGTCTATATACCGTCTCCATCATCTGGTGCACCGTCCGAACACGATACCATCTTGGCGTGGCAGGTTGTCCAGCCGAGTCTTGACTCGACTCTTGCACAGCTTGTCCAGATTTGTTTGGACCATACAAAAAAAGTTCTGCCTTGTTCCTGCATGGAAACTAGATGGGATGGCAGGGCATGCCGAGAGCCAAGGTGCAAGAGCGATGCTTCATATGATGTCGCTTAGGGTCGTTTCGTCTTGTGGCTTGACATTTGACTTCATCTCATTGATGGGATTGAACAGTTATGGTGGGGATAAGATGGAGCAGGGAAGGACAGCCGAGTAATTGAATGATAGATAACCTTAACGAGACCTCTTGGTTGTCTCATTAGTATGGAGCCCATCAGCAAATTGGAAAGATGGAATCAACAGATTCAAACTGATCCGCCTGGCCTAGAGAGGAGAAGGGGTCGACAGTAACGATCAAATACTTTTGGGATATCTATCCCCTTGCGACTGTGCAAAAATTCGCGCCGAGGATAAGATACACCGATTTTCCGGTATGCTGGTAAATTGCTGGTAGGCAGATGGTAAACACCACCTTTTTTCCTGACTTGGCTTGGTATGAAGGATGTAGGACCCATTTGGGTTCATTGACATCTCGGCAGTCTGGGATACTGGTGCAAGACTTGGCGGTCACACAAACGCACTGCAGCTGTGACCAGCAACTTTTTGTTTCCAAACGCCATGTGAGAGTTTTTCTGATTCGTGAAGATTTCATGAACAAGTCTTCCTCGATGTCATCGAAAGTGATTCCAAATTTTGAGCACTCACTCACTTGCCGTGCCAGGAGAGTGTGATCTCTAACATTGACTTCGAGGTCAGCCTTGCACTTGTCAAGGAGAATTTCGTCCGAGAAGACCCACTCGGGACAGAGATTCTGAAATCCTTGGCTCACATCCTTAAGTTTAATCATCCAGGATGTTCACGTCGGGAATGCCATCTGAATGCTAGCCGCCAAGCGCGCTATGAGGACCGCGCTCCACACTCAAAACGTTTCAACCTTCGGACGTGTCGCCCGAAAGATCAATCAAAGGAATTTAAACCGCCAAGCCGAAAATGGAAACGGCACACGTAACACTTGGCTGCTTCCTCAAGGCAAACACATTGATGCAATTGAAAGCTTCTGTTTATTAAAACTCTTCCGGAGTGCTAGTAGGTCCTCGAAGTCCTCGCCAAACGAAATTGTAAGATCTTACATTCAGGCGTCGTTTTGTGGGGGTGAATTCCATTTCAGTCAACCGAATGCATATGTGATTATGCCGAACGTTCTCCCAGATGAGCGCAAGTTGAACGCAAGTGAAATAACTTCGGTGACCTTGTAAAACTGCAGTGCTCCCGCATGCAAACTCATCACCTCACTCCCCATCACATCGAACGCCGCAACTTCTTGGCATAAATCATTCTCTCTTGACGGAAATTGATGTTGATCGTCTCGTCCAAGATCAGAGTTCCCCGGTGGACCTTCTCAAGTTTCTTCCAAGCCCGTAATGCTTTTGTCTTCCAGGCAGTGAATTGTTTCTTGCGATGCTCAAAAAATGCCTTCGTTAGCGATCGTGACGTATGGCGACCAATGACTTTCTGGAGCTGCCATCTTGCTTTCCCGGCTTTCAGATACCGCTTCCATGTTCGACGATGGATGATCTCTACGAGGTTTCGGTATCTGGTGATGAGGTTGAGTTCCTGGTGCAAGCTTCAGCTCTGCAACATAACTGGAGTGTGAGGTAGATACACACCTTGAAGGAAAGTGCACCACCATGTCTCTCAACTCTATAGATTTTCTTGATGTTCTTTGGAAACCAGCTGGGTAGCTCTTTCACGGATGGAAACCCGTTTTGTCTCTTGGACGTGACTTTCTCACTTTCAACTGCCACAACTTCTTCTTCTGTCTCGTCATCAGGAACAGAATCGTTCAGATATCTGATGGATCGTTCAACTGAACGAGCGCCGGCAGTTACAATGATTCCTTCAACATCGCCTTCATTTCCCTCAACGTCAGCGGACATATATCTCGCAACTTCGACTTCGCTCTCGTCCTCGGCAGTGACAAGTTGCATGGTGTTTGGGGTTGGTGATGAATCTCGATTCTTTGTACCGCAGCTCACTGATTGTGAGGAAGGGTCTGGAATCATATCGCGGATCTGATATGATAGATTCGAGGCAGTTACAGATCCTTGACGGTGGTGATTTTTGAACGGTGAGGGTGTGCGAAACTTGTATTCGAAAAATGAAGGTGACCGGGAAGCGCTTCAAAGTCGTTAAAGATTCAGAAGGATTATTGAGCAGTCAGAAAGATGTTTCTGACATCGTCAAAGCCAACGGAGAAAATTTGGAAAGCTGAATAGCTGAATATGAGAAAAGGCAATGTGGCTGGTAGGAAGTTGACTCTAGCGTTCGTCGTTCCTTGGGGTTTCAAGCCTGTGAATTGCTGAAGTGTGCCAATGCACGTGATGCAGGCAAGTAGGTACTTGGATCTGTGCTTCAGTTCCTTCTTGAGGATCTGAGAAGGAAATCAAGTGTTCCTGTTTGCTTGAATCCAAGGGAAAATGACAGGTCAGGATGTGACGATGCAATATGCTGAGCAGCCGCCCCGAACAAAGGCTGAGAGCAGGGTAGAGCTGCATTCCCAAGCCTCGAGCTCGAGGACAAGCATCATGGTATACACTGGGCTGTTGGAAGGATGCGTGTCTCTCTTTTTGCTTTTTTTGTGAAAAGCCGTCTAAATAAGAACCTGGAAGCGATTTACTTCACGGATCTTCTCCTGTTCGTGAACAGCGCCAGGCATTAACAATGATGCCTCATTTTGGACTACTCTTTGATCTCCTTGTCGCTCCAATTACTCCTCTATCAATTGACTCGATTAACATCCAGGAAGATCGACAGAGTCTTGCTCCATGGAGTGATCGTCCATCCTTACTCTTTGTTCTCCCTTTTGAACTCGTTTTAACGATGTACTTGTGTGGGTTTCCTCAAGTGCTTAGAAATCGGAAAGCTTCACCCCCTCTCACGACCTGCCCTCTGCCATGTAGGTAGCGGTGACGCAGAGGGATCTAATGACTTTAGAACCAATACCTCAAGGCCTTATATTCTATGTGAGCTGTAATTATTGTCTTCCTCAATTTCTACGGAATACTGACCACTTTGAACTAGATTCGAATCATGTCCATCCTTCATCTCCTTCTGCGAGACCCAGTTATCGATCGCCACACATACTGCACGAACAAGATGGCATTTGTCATGGATGTCAATTGTTTCACAGTTGGATCTGTGAGGGCTCGGCTCTCTGGGCGAAAAACGACTGCTGAATGAACAATCATTAGGCCCAATTCCGTGTGAGCAAAAGCCTGCGCGATCCTCCTCGGTGCCGGTACTGAAGCTCTCAACGACACGATGTGCAGCAGCATATATCTAAAAAGCTCTACATGGAATTCTTATGGTACACACACAGTGTGTTTCGGGAGTAGGACATCAGCAAGTTGAATTTCGTCCCATACTCTTTGCGCCGGCATTCTCTCAAATTGGGCTCGGCTTGCCATGGAAGTTGACTGCTGATCTTCCCGGCCGGCCGGCCTTTCGTGCAGCGAATCAGTTTCCGACGTTGTGGAAGCCGGGTTCTTTTCTCTGAAGTTGCTCTGGATGTCCTGCTGCTGGTTGATTTGGTATGGGGTACCAGCTCGTACGATCTACGTAGTATAGATTGGCTCTTGACAGCTGCAGTCAGTCATCTTGGAAGTTTTTCTCCATGACTCGCTATTGGGTAAGTTACAGGTTTCTCAAGTGCAATCTGAACATGGTCAGTAAATATACCTCCCAATACTTTTGTTCCGTCCTACCGAAATGCATTTCCATTTTTCCAACTCGATGTTTGTGACGAATGCGGTTTGCTCCCTCGAATCTTGTCGTCCCTGAAATGATAACATACAACGCCATTGGCACGGTATCTTTGTAAGCAGAAACATTCTCGCCTAGAAGCTGGTTTTCTCCTGGAGCTCATTCGTATAACCTCTTCGATATGGAGTTATTCCGACGCTCTGGATACGTCACCTTCATGCTCCGAAGAGATGACCAAAGAGCCCTTTGTGTGTCCTTTGTCACGATGCCCCAATGCTCCGTGTTACCGGGTGCCGAGCCTCTTTGCCAAACCCAGGTATTACTTGATATAGTCTCAATACATCAAGAGATCTGAAAAGCACTGACGTATCTTGTCTTGGGAGGAGATCAAATGACCCGACTGTCGGAAGATGGAGGAAAGCAGAGCCGAAGATGACAATCCAACTTCGAGAAGTCGATGATTCGGAACCACAAGTCTTGCTCATTGTCAACATTCACGATGTTAAGCTCTTCGAAGATGTTGCAGCCTTCAAGCCTTACCAAATTATACTGTGCTTCACATAGAGTATGACTGGCTTTCTCCTCACATTCACGCCGCAAGCTTCCACTCACATCTACAAACAATACCCCAACCAGGCGTGGAAACTCACAGCAAGAATTTTATTCTCAGGCTGTTCCAGAAACTGGAATCTCTTGCTGTGAGTATGCAATCTTTCTCTGCCCTTAGTCTCAACTAAACTAATCTCTTCAACACAGACATCAACCTCTCCGTCAATATCCCCCATCTGCATCAACACCAACAACATTCACCTCGACGATTCCTTCGGTCTTCTGCACAATGACGGATCCCACAGCCGTAGACTGGGCGAATTGGCGCAACTGGCCATGGCGTCCATGTTTCATGGTTGTCACTGCAATCTGGGTGACAACTGCCGTTCTTTCCATCGTCCCCGTCGTGTTGCTACTTCTCCTTCCTTCTCCAGCCATTGGAATCCCACCCACATGCTCCGGAATCAATCAGGTCTGCGGTGATTCTTCAATCTCTTTACAGCCTACACCAATTCTCGACAACATGCTTGTCTCGACTGGACGATAATAGACCCGCAATCTCTCAAACTCTGCCGACCTTGGATCATGACAAGTTTGGCATCCACACATTCCAGTCGAAACCCGTATAAAAATGCTAACCTACATCTAGGTTTCTGAATTCTCTACTTATTAAGGAGGAGTTTCTTCCTGCCTCGGCATTGAATGGCTACTGACGCGGAAGGAATTGTGAGACTCCGGCGCTCGGCTGCTTGTGATATACCTTCTACATTGCTTGCATTAGAAGCTCTCTACAAATGGTCGTTCATCGTTAGGGTTGATTCGATGCTAGGTGAACCAAACCAGCTGTATTCGTCAATTCAACTTGATCAAGACCAGAATGTTTCGTCATGTTGGTTGCGTTCAGAGATTCCTCCCACTGTCCGTGTCGACTGCTCAAGTCTGGCTAAGCGGTTGAAACACATCGAACTCCAAAGAAACGAACCCCAAATCTGCTTTTACAATGAATGCACCGGGTATCATGAGCCACTTTGTTCTTCTTATCTGTCACTTGAACTTAGTAAGCTTGCTTTTCGGAGATCTTGCCACACATGGACTAGAATATATTCAATTAACCGCAACCTTGTCACATCCGCCGTTTGCCTGAGACCTTTTCTTCCAAGTGGATTCTCGATGATTCATCACTTTTTTTTTGCATCTGTTAGTCTTCGTTCGCCATTATGCTCCTTCCACTTGTCCTCTACGCTGCGGCGGTCAGTTCCACAGACATCTTCAACTATGGCGCTTTTACCCAAACTGCAACGTACTCGATTGCCAACCAGCTTGGTTTCTTCGCTGCCTATGACTTGGATGTTGTCTATCACCAGGTTCCTAATTCCACTGCTGCGTACGCCTCTGTTCTCAGCGGAGAGTATGACCTACTCACTGGTACCATTGACAACGCCGTGAACTTGCGATTTAATTCTGGGAAGAACCTCACAGTGTTGGGACAGTTCGACCAGGGCCCTGATCTTGTTCTTGCGTCTATCCCAACCATCAGCAACATCTCGCAGCTTGTAGGAAAGCCGCTCATTGTGGATTCTCCTGTCAGCGGTTATGCTTATCTTCTGCGCAAGATTTTGAGCTCCTCTGGGCTCGCAAGCAGCGAATACTTCTTCCAGGTACGCTTCTTGGTTTTACACTTGCAGGAGAATTGTACGTTTTCAGGACTCATAAAAATTAGACTGTAGGTGGGACCAATCTCAGATATGCGGATTTGATCAGCGAGGGTTTGCCCAATGGATCTGCCGTCTATGCAACCATCGTCACGTATCCTTTCACAGCCTATGGAGAAGTCTTGCCAGTCCATCAGCAACCAAATATCCTCGCTCGCGTCTCCTCATTTGAGAATCCTGTATCTTCCTCCGCTTTTACTATCGCACAGTCTGCGCTTGACGATTATGGACAGTCTGATCTTCTGGTGCGCTTTATTAGCGCCATGTACGCTGCGAATTTGTACTTGAACCATCCCCGAAACCGAGAGTGCTCTACCAAGGCGATCCAGATTCAGCTCAATATCACAACTCCCACTGCTGCCCTCGAGTACCTCGCAGCCACCAACCTCACTTCTGGAGAGGTCAGTCCAGACAAGAAGTTTACGGTTAGTCAGGTGGGCTTGAAAAACATCATTGCCGTGAGAGAAGAATTCGGTGGATTCAGCGTGCCTTCGGATTTTGACTTTGTTGCCGCTACGGCTCCTGGCCCTGGCAAGCTAATTGACTATTCAGTTCGAGACAAGGCCGTTTCGGGGTTGAAAAGAGAGCTTTTGTCTGCTGGGTGCTGAGCATATGTCGGTTGTCCACTTCCTAGTCTGTCATTTTGTCCCTTCAAAGTCTTCCTGGTGTTGTAACATCTTTATGTATGCTGCCCCTTGGGCCGTAGATTGAGCAGGTACGGTCGACCTTTAGTACAAATGGGTAAAAAGAACGCAAATGCAGAAACGAGACGACTCCTGAGATGAAATCATGGTGGATGTGATGAGAGGATCGACAATGGCATTGAAATGTAAAGTCTGCAGTTGAAAGGCTACCATGAATTTACACAAACAAATCGCCAAGATGCATCTGCTAAGCATAGGCTTCATGGAGAGCATTCTTCGTCGTGTACAATAGACTAGACTTGCGCTGATAGTACGACTTCTTGGCAAATGATACATCATGATCCCACCTCTTACTCGAAGAAGCGTTGCTGTAGAGTATGACGCAATAGAGACTGGGGACATCATTTCATTTGTGCCCACAAACCAGCTCAATTTACGAAAAGACCACGACAATGAATCCGAGCGGGACGCGATCCGGTCTCAAGAATCATCACTTGATTGTGATGGCTACAAATGAGATTTGGGCAAGGATGTCGATCTAATTATCGGCTGGCGATGCGACATTTAGCGTTTGCAGAGGAATAAAACGCTGAATTGGGCTTGCAAGTCAAAGCTCACTGCGAGCAATGCCGAGATGTTGTACTGGATTCTCAAAGCTCACCTCATGACTTGATGATCGGAACGTAAACCATCACAAGGCAGAAGGAAGAGGTTAGTTGCAGGAACATAAAGGCGCGGGAAGGGGAGTTCGAGAATGGTGTGGCGGATGTCTAGGCACTTGCAGAATGGTAACCTCCGTACGGAGGTTACCCCGCGAAAATATACTTTCCCTTCACACTGCATCGCTCTAGTTGGAACGGTAATTGGAAGGGGAGTATCTCATGGTGGTACTTACAGATTGCTCGAACTCCTACGAGCCATCATGTCTTCATTGTCCTGCTCGAAACCCCACTATCGAGCCCCTTAGCCATAACTCCGGTGAAGATTAAGGTTAACTGGATCTGGCAGAACCCCAAGTAAGATACGCCATATGTCAGACATTTCTCCACCCTAATCGTTCTGCAGCTCTACCATCATGTCCGCAGACTCGACCTATGCATATATACCGCCCCTCGACGATCCAGCTCAAGATCCCGTTCCTGCCACAGTGCCGCGACTCCCGAATTCTGCTTACGAAGGTTTAGGGAGCTGCATCCATTGCCGCCGACGGAAGGTGAAATGCGATAAGAAGACACCATGTGCCAACTGCGTACGACTGGGCTTCCAGTGTGAACTCGCACCACGCAAACGAGCTCCGAGGCGACCTAGGAAAGAGGGAAATGGAGAGATTCAAAGTGCGAGAGAGGCCGAGCTCCTACAACGTTTAAATGCGCTGGAAGGTAGATACATCTACACCAAACCTATCAGGTTTTTGGCTGACATCTGGATAGGGGTAGTGAAGTCGTTGGGCGGACGAGCCAAAACCGAGAGCTCCAGATCTCAAGCAGATGCTGGCATCTCTGACATTACAAGAAGTGCAAGTTTGAAGCATGGATCCGATACTGGCAAGCATCAGGAGGACAAGCTCGAAAAGGATTTTGGTATATTGATGCTTTCAGACGAAGGGCAGAGTCGATATGTCAGCCGTAATTTCTTTGCCCGTCTTACAGAAGAGGTTGGTGCTCTTGTCCATAATCCAGTGGGTCGGGTGCTAATGCATCCAGGTGGACGATATCCGTCAGTTGGTGTATGAAGGCTCCCCGGAGGACGAGGAAACGGAATCACCTGGGACTGCCTCTTCTGTGGTCGAGGACGAACACCAAGGCTATGTGTTCGGATATAGCTCGTCAGCCATCAATTTGAGAGACCTTCATCCTCTTCCGTCACAACTTCCCTTGTACCTGAAGTTGTATGCTCAAAAGATCGATCCTGTCGTTAAGATGTTTCACATTCCGTCTCTGGAGAAACTTGTGGAGGAAGCTGTGGGTAGTTTGGACAACATTAGTCGCAGCAAAGAAGCTTTACTGTTCGGCTTGTACTTTTCAGTTATTATAAGGTAACCAGATTCCTACCTCACCTACACTTGTGCTGACTGCTTGTAGTATGTCTCCATTAGAAGTCAAGACAACTTTCGGTCTTGACAGAGCTGTAGCGATGAATCGCTTTTGCTTCGGTACTGAACAAGCTCTTGCTCGGGCTGGGTTTCTCGATACATCTGATCCCATGACACTTCAAGCTTTCGTGCTGTATCTGACCGTACTCCGAATCAAAGAAGATACTCGTAAAGGTTGGACATTGACTCGAGCAGCAATCGGCATTGGGCAGTCACTCGGTCTCCACCGTGATGGTACAGCATTTGATTTGCCTCCATTTGAGGTCGAAATGCGACGTCGCTTATGGTGGCAGCTTTTTATCCTCGACTTCAGGCTGTCAGAAAAACATGGAACAGAGCCAAGTATATCGGAAGGGTCATTCGATACCAAGCGGCCCTTGAATATAAACGACGCCGACATCTCTCCTGGCGATACAGATTTCCCCGAACCTAGAGTTGGTCTCACTGAAATGACTATAACACTCATTGGATATGAGATAGCTTTCGCTGCTCCTAATCTTCTCAAGTCACCAAAAGAAAGCGGTATTAGCGTTGCGGAAAAAGAGGAACGTATCAAACAGTACCGACAGCTTCTCGAAGAACGGTATATCAAGCACTGCACCGAGTTGACCCCAATTGCATGGATAGCTTCTATCTTGCCCAGACTGGTCATTGCCAAGGTGGAGACTATCTTTCTCCTTCCATACACTCGATCTATGAGCATGGATACTGGATCAAAAGAACTGAGCGACAAGATGTTTGTCACAAGCATTGAGGTTGTGGAGCTTCGACGAATGCTCGAGGCTGAGACAACCAAACACTGGCATTGGTACCTGGGCACCATCATCCAGTGGCATTCCATTGCATATCTGCTGAGTGAACTATGCGTTCGTGAGCCAGATGATAATGTAGCTCGTGCCTGGAACGTTTTGGACCTGATCTTCAAGGATTGGAGAAGTTTACAACAGCATGGAGCACCTGCTATTCTCCAGACGCCGATGAAGAAGCTGATAGCAAGGGCAAGGCATAAGCGAGCACTCGATCTTGAAGCTGCGAGAGCCGCTGAGGCCACGAGACTGAAAACCCCGTTACCAGAAGCTGGAGGCCGATCTCAATACTTTGATAATGTCGACCAGCAGTTCTTGGCTCCAACCACACTGGTCGAGCCGATGACCAATATTAGTACCACGTATCCAGAGGTTACAGCTCCGCAATCCTATCCAGATGAATGGGTGCAGCAACAGGTCGCCAACAATATTCCGACACCTTGGCTGCTTGAAGATACAGCGCTACAAGATCTGGGATTCAATCAGGCAGAGATCGGTCCCGATATGGACTGGGAACTGAATAACTGGATAGAGGATTTCACACCGCCTTACAGCGTATACGCATATCAATCTCTCGGTGGGTGGTAACGTAATTCTAGAACGACTTTTCCATATCCCTTGCATGCTTGATTTCTGTCCCTTCATAAGTATCCCTCATCGGTGCAAAATCTGGGTGTTCCTCTCTCATCGTCTTTGTAAATGCGTCGTGACTACCCTCCTCCACCCACCCAGTAACAAAAACATGTTCAAATTTCCCCTCCTCACAATCAATCCTCCACTCTTTCACCACCTTGAACGGCTTCGTCCCTTCATCAACCACGCTTGCTGACCTATGCACCACCTCCTGATACGTCTCCCTCGCGTCCCCTTTGATGAATAGCCTTGTAATTCCCAAAATCGGTGCCTCCAACGGCAACTCCTTCATACCTCCTTCTCCAATCTCAATGTGAATGATCCATTGGAATTCAAAAAGCTCGTTTTGTTCATCCAAGATCTCGGCTTTCTGAGGAGAAGCCAGGAATTCTTTGTGTCGAGCTAAAGAAGGCCAAACTCCAAGGATGTAGATCAGAGAAGGGTCTTCGATGCACCGGTAGAAGCGGGAGTTTGTATTCACTACTTTTTGGGCGAGGAGGGTTCGGGCCTTCTGGAGCGCTGAGAGAAAGACGGGGGATGTGTGAGGAAGGTTGGGGGAGGTTTTCAGGAGACAAATTTCGAGGATAGGCATTTTGGGTGGGCTTTGTGAAAGTGTATATACTGAGTTCGGACACTTTGATGGGTGTGTCTGACACTGAAGCCAGGAACAAACACGTAAGTGAGAGAGATTTTGATGAGGTCGGTTTCTAGTAGCGCTTATTCAGCTAACGATTAATCTTCACTAATCAAATTCCCCTCGCTCTTCCCATCCATTCATCATAGTCATCCACAGATCTTAGTCATAAGAAGTTAAATTTTGCCTTGAAATATATCTTCACTTTCAGAACAATCTTCAAGAGAGCATCTGGAAAGGTGGGGTACATCTAACACGTGTCGTACGACCCCACCTGCCACATCAGGATGCCGCCGGCCAGGCTAATCAGAAAAAGGCCGACGATTTTATTTCATGCTTCACTTCAACCATATTCATCCGATTCGATACCACAGCCACGCGTCGGATTGCCCTTCTCCCGAGATACAAGATTAAAATAAATAGATCATCTTGAGGGAAGTGGGTGTGGATGTGGCATGCGTGCGCGTGGCGCCGCTTTCCCGGTCGCTAGATATGGAAGCATTGAGGAGTCGATATCTTTCCCTTCATATATCATGAGATAATGTCTTTTACTCTAGCGGATTGCTACTACCAGCCTGCAATCTTATCATACTACTGCTGAGGTGCTCATTGATAATGCCTGCTGTCAATGAATCGAAGGCTTCATCGAAGGAGCGGATGTCCGAAGATACGATCACGGGAAGGACACCAGAAGTGGATGAAGTGAGTATCATGCTCAAGCTTGATTTGGAGCAAAATCTCACATTACTTTTAGCATGAATTTGACAGAGATTCTGCTCTTGGCGGCATAAGTTTGCAGTAGGGAGATTCCACTAGCCATCTTGAACCGAATCACCTGACTCTTTTCAAGAAGCTCAACACAGTCCGTGAACTCGAGCTTATATGAGCATGTTCAGGAGCATGGTCGCACTTATCATCGATATAAGCAGGGTCGTGAGTGAATATGACTGTTTCCTCGGACCTAAGGCTAACCTTACAGAATATCCTCTCCCAAATGATGATGTCGAGAAAGATAGATTAGTATGCATTCCCATTCTTAACTATTCTTAACTAACTTGTGATGGAATTTTCAACACGTCATGTTTAGACTCTTTCACAACAACAAGTTATTCCTTGCGCCTCTTCCAGAGAACACTCGGAAGGTCCTTGACCTCGCCACAGGGACAGGTATCTGGGCTACAGAATTCGGTGTGTCCTAATCCTGGCCCTACAATGAGTAACCTAAGCTGAGCTCTCCAGCGGATGAGCACCCTACATGTACGGTCGTTGGTACGGACTTGAGCCCAATACAACCTGACTAGTAAGCTCCCGGTAATGTCCCAGAGCATTTCAATTACTCACACCCTTAGCGTCCCTGAAAATTGCTCGTTCATTATCGACGACGCGGAAGATAACTGGGTGTTTCACCAACAATTTGACTACATCCATGCACGAGCTGTGGTCAGCTGCTTCAAGAATCCAAAAGCAGTCTTTCAAAGAGCTTTCGATGCTCTGGTCCCTGGAGGAATCCTCGAGCTCTACGACCCCGTATTTCCATTCCAATTCCTTGACCCTCCACCGCCAAACTCACCTCTTGCCGAATGGAACAAGCTCATTATCGAAGCTGCTGCGAAAGCCGGTCGGCCGTGGACGAATGGTGCAAAGTACAAGTCATGGCTACAAGAAATTGGCTTTGAAGGCGTAGTTGAGAATAGAGAACATTGTCCTCTAAGTCCGTGGGCGAAAGGTAAGAAGAGCAAATACATGTCATTGTGGTTGTCACATGATATGTTGATTGGAATTGAGGCATGGTCTCTTGCTTTATTCACACGGGTGCTGGGCTGGGAAAAGAGCAGATTGGATATCCTTCTGGAAGGAGTCAGAGAGGATATCAAGAACATAAAGATACATGCTTACCTCGTCACGTAAGTTGGCAATCTCCTCAAAGTGGGAACTCCTGCTGACATTTAACAGAGTCTCAGTTTATGGTAGGAAGCCTATGATTTGAATGCAAAGTTAATTGAATGTACGAATGCGAGCCAAGATTCTGCCTTTCTGTGAGTTTGGAGTCCCAGTGAACCACAACCAGACTTTCTTTAGCGAAAGGTAATTAGGTTATTCCATTCTCTATTCACGATTATGTTAGGGGTCAGCCTGTTATATTGTAGTCTCGGGCCTGCAGTGGAGCATCGTAGGGTCAAGAGAACACTGCGTGTACGACGGCTCGTCATCTCATACCACATGTCACGTAAGGATTCAAAGAATGAAAGGAATAAAGTGATTCAAACGATTGCTTGGATATGTTGGGTCTTTGTTGCATGAGATGTGCCATGCATTTCTTCTTGTCTGGGAATGCAAAAAGGGTGGCTGTAAAGACCACGACGGGGTATCAGGGCATGAAGCGCCTTTCCAAGATGCAACGGTAGCCATAGGGAGAGCGCCCAGGGGTATTTTGGATTAGATTTGGATCTCCGCGGGTGGATAGGCTACGCTTATGAGTTGGGTCACACCGGAGGCAAGCCTTCCACTACTGGATGTGCGAAGTGGGGTTTTGACAAGGCAAAGCGGATGGCACATGTCGCGGCCTCTGGGGATGCGAAGACATGAGAATCTTATTCTTTAGTTTAATGTGCGAATGTCCCATTTACTCAAAGTTCTTAACCAACATCGCTTCGTCAAGTCTCCATAGTCGATCAATTTGTTGCATTCATGACTCGAGACCCACGAATTATCAAACAGCCTCGTTACTCGCAACCGATTTGAGCTTCTGCTCCATGATCGATGCTCTCATAGCATCCATAGCTTCACGCTCCGCCTCCTTATGCTGCTCCTCGCACTTTCCCACCAGCTCACTCCCCTTCTCATTCAACATCATGGCCTCCTCCACTTTCCCCTGTCCCACCAACGCCTCCATCAAATGCCTCATACACCCCAACACTCTTGGATTACTCTCATGAAATCTCTCTTTCATCTCCGGCAACAAATCCGTCAACACGGGTTCTGCCTCTTCAAATTTCCCCTGCTTATTCAACGTGTAGCCTAGATTACTCTTCGCTCCCAGATTAGGTAAAACCTTTTTGTCAGAATCCAAAACAGTGTTCAATATCTCTTTCCATGATTTCTCAGACTCAGCAAAGGCGTCTCGCTTGAGTTGTGCGTAAGCGATGTTGTACTTTGTGGCGAGGATGTCGGCGTTTGGTTTCCCATTCGAAGCCGATACTTTTGCTTTGTAGCAATTAAAAAGTAGCTCTTCCGCGAGGGAGAACTCATTTTGTTGCAGGAGGGTTGTTCCTAAAGTCGAGACTGCGGAGAGCGAGGATGGGGAGTTGGGATCCTCGATTATAGCACCGAGAGCATCTGGAGAAAAGTGGTTCCTGAGGCAAGTGCGGAGGGTGGGGGTAAAAGTCGTCCAGAAGACTGGGGGAGAAATGATTTGTGCTGCCATGTTTTGATTTATATTGTGACGTTTGAGATTTGAAAAGGTCAGAATGGTGGGGCAACTCTCCTTTAAATGCATGCGGGGTTGGCGTTGCTCGCTTAGGGTCAAATACTGCTGCCTTGGTTGGTTTGGGTCGCATAAAGAAGACCACTTAGATTGGGATTTATTCATCTGCCTTGTCAAATAAGCTCACGGTAGGTAGATAAGGTCTTCTAAATGTATAGGATAATGCATGCAACTCCTCAAATGCTATCGCTGAAGCCAATTCCCAACTCCCGCTAATGCTGTGATAGAGAAAGAATATTTACAGGCAGAGAAATTGAATCCTCCGCTCCCTAAACTTCGCGCCTGTACATGGGCTGCCAAAAAAGATACTCTATGTAGATCAACGCGGTGCTCATTCCAAAGGGGTTCTCGATCTTGTGGTCGAGTTTTCCATATGGTTCCCTCATATTCATCACCCCTTCACACCCCTGTTATCTCCAATGTCTGTCTTCTGATCAGTCCTTAGCTAATCCGTCTTTGCTTTGCCCCTCCACAGAATTCCTGCAGTCCTTAAGATCATGACGGAAGAGCACTCTTCAAATATCCACTAACCACACTTAACCCGCCACTGGCAACAACCTCCTCTCCCGTCCCATTCTTCAGCCAACACCCCATGTTTCGACTCGGCATCTGCGGATCGAACATATACCAACTCGCGCCCACGCATCCAGTTGCAACCGCACAAGCATTCAGACAAGAATCAAAGGAGCTTTGTATCGAGTTCGAGAAATCGATGATTTGCCCCGAATCCGAGGACAGGATGGACGTTGAGCACACGGTGAGGAAAGTGGAGCCCGTTTGAGAGGTGTAAGTTGAGTTATTAATTAGAGGGCAGCCGGATGCGTCGATTATGGTTGTTGCTTGGGCGGGTGAGGAGGACGAAGTTGATGTTGATCTGGAGAATCAGCAATTTGACATTGTTCAGCACGAAATTCGGACAAACTCACTTGGATTTCTGGCCTGAGAGAACAGCACTCGCAACTCCGCCGCCAATACCTCCTCCTAGACAGAACGTAATAGCGACTAGGATGATTGTCGTCACGAGACCGAAAACTCTTCTCGAATGGACTTTTGGTTGATATGGCGCTGCATCATCTTGTATAATTTGCGGGACGAGAGTACTACTGCTATCTGGCTGTTTACTTTTTCGATCGCTGATTGAGCTCAGCCAACTGTGAGCGCGACTGTGTCCCGATAAATGCGTACTGGCCTGGTAGGTAGATGGTGAAAGGTTTGATAGAGATTCGGAATTGGTGGTGAGGAATTGTCCTGGAACAACTTCAGGAGCTTCGCTGGACACACGCGATGGCTGCATCGTGACACGACAATTTCAACCTCAATTGGAACATTGGCGCAGATTCAGAGAGTGGAGTTCCCTCCCAACAACTTCATGAGCTGAGCAGCCATAGTCGTGAGGATGGACTGCTCTAAATGAAGATGATAGAAGAAACAGTTTTTCATCCCATCTTTTCCCAGGAGGCGGAGTCGATCATCCAATATTTCTTGTGTAGTATTTATGCACCCAAAACAGACTTTATGCGGCAAATTGGCACGGATTCGGAGTTTCTAATTGGTGTTTTCGTGTTCAGAAAGAGAGTGCTGACGCTGTGCCGCACGAGGGTCAGGTACATTAAGGTACAAGCGCGATCAAGATTCTTGGCAGTCAGCTGGGTGGGGAAAAAGTCTTCGTCGGCAGACTGCGCCTGGGAAATGGATCGCCGTAGGGCTGTGTGGATGTGCGAGCCCCAAGCTGGTATCCAATGACAGTCGGCGTGTCGTACATTCAAACGTTTGAATTGAGAATCAAAAAATAGTTCTCGATCACAGAGACGTGGATCAGGATATCAATGCTTTCAAACCGACCATACATTAAGGTGATGAGATCGAGCTGAAAAACAAGAAACACGAACAGGGCTGACAAGAAAAACCTCCTGGTATCTCGCAAAGTATAGGTACGCTAGCAATCGAGAACGTTACTTTTGTAGACATGAAAGACATCAACATAACAATAAATCTTCAGACCGTGCCTCCAATACCATTATTTCTCTCCTCGCAACTCTTTACGACCTCTTCCAAGGCCCTGATAAATAACTTTCCATTGCTGAAGCCTGGCCCACTATCATCTAGCTCGGTTATGTCTACAATTCCGAGATTCGAGTCCATAACGCCGGTGAGGCAGTATATGCATTTTCGTAGTATTTGTTGTAAAGCTTGTATGCGGATTTTGAATTGAAGCTGTCGTTCTGCGCTATCGCCTGTTGGATCGGAATCTTGGAACTCTATGCCCAGCACGTTTGCTGCCTTCGCTGACAGAGGAGAAGAAGTCCAGTGAGGCGTGTCTCGTCGACGACCGGAAAACCGGTTGGTTCGTGCCTTCTGTGTGGGAGGGGAGAGGGAAGTGATGAATATATGTGCGATTATGTGTGCGTACAGGGCTGAACACATGAAATCCGACGTTGTGGGGAATATTCTGTGTAATGGTGAGAGATCTGGTGGGTATAGGCAGGATGGTGATGTGGAGATAGGCAAGCTTGAAGATCGTTTGCTTGGAGACGACCGATAAGGCGGCAGGCTGCCCGCTGTAGAGGAAGAGAAGTCCCTGCGATGAGATGAGGTGTTCTGACTTCTCGGTTGACCAGTTGGCTGGTATGATGGTGGGCGAGGGAAGTCTTGTCCGAAGGGAGACTTTAAGAGAGAGGTGCGCACTGTAATCATGGGAGGAGAAGTGGATTGTATGTTCCTTGTTCGAATTGCGGTGATGCAAGGACTATCGGGTAGGATTATTGCAGAGGGGAAGCTAGAAGTCAATGCTTCGAGGGAGCCGATGATGTCTGTTAGCAAAGGTTGAGACATGTTGGGATCAGATAATGGCCATTGGTCTCCGAGGTTATGAGTAGAGAAGTGCGTATTTTCACGCATCTTTGCTGGCTCTGTCGTGTCTGCTGATCGCATTGCAGGTGATCTATGTGGTGATTGAGGTGGGCTTGGCAATGAGAGGTCCAGGCGACGTTTTGATAGCACTAGAGTGTTCGTATTTGTCTCATGAACATCTGACGCCATCTGAGCATGGTGGTTCCAAGGCCCAGAAGGTGTAATGGGTGGGGTCCCCAATGTGGCCCAGAAGTTGTTTTCGGGCATTGATGTCCCCATTAGTGAGGATGATCTCGTCGGGATACGCAGTGAGAGATCAGATGGATGGTTGGGATTGACAGAAAGGTCAATTACTTGTGCTTTAGAGGGAGATAGGGCCGTGGCGCAAGCCTGAACTGTCAGCAGTGACTTTGTCCGAAATGCGTAACACTTACAAGTATTTCATCTTCATGATCAAAGCTGCTGCTAGTATCGCTAAGCCAACTCTCCACTGTACGTTCAGCAAACTGATTATCTTTGATATCGTCGGCCAGTGCCTCATCTACTGAACTATTCTTGCTCATCGGACTCCTAAGCCACACCGACTCATTTTCATACAAGGCTTCGCCGGAGCATTGGAAAGATAACTCGGACCACCGAGGTGTTGGATTCGTACTCGGTGCTTCCGAGACACACTTGACTGTGCAAGGAGTACCTTCAGTGTCATCCTAAGAATTATCAATAACCGCTTTGTGAAGGCAGGTATCTGTGGACTCACCTCTTCATCCTCGTTGTCTTCTATCTTGTCCCCCTTCAAGGCGACAAAGTCTTGAATAAGTTCATCTGCATCGCATATCGACCCTGGCTGTGAACAATTAAAGCACACATCATTCTCAGAAAAATAGGCACGACTAGGAACGGGAGATCCGGGTTCACTGTAGATTGGCGTATCCCGGTATTGTTGTGATCGTTTGCGTGACTTTAAAGAGTCTCTTGCACGGTCCCCAATGCTAGAGTATTCGATATCTTGAGAGATTATCCTTCTTCCAAACGTTGACCTCTTCGTAGGCTCAGGCGACGGCCAAGTATCGAATTCTGGTAATGTTGGTGACAATAGTTTGAGTGGCAACAGCGCCTTCATACCCGGTACTGATCTTTTGATAGCGCCAAGAGATAGTCGACTTGCAGAACTAGAACTTCGTTCCATTGACATCGTGGTGTTATCTTTTGAGTACATCTTAGCCCGATCGTGCAAAAGCTGAAGAGATATGCGTCGTGACGTTGAGCATGCACCCTCTAGAATGTTGGACAAAGGTGAATCATATGTATTGCGAAGCCCATGCGGCTGTGGAAACCCTGAAGAGTGGGAGTATTGGACATCCTGGCAACCAAGAGAAGGATCTAACGCCATGATGACCCTTGTCTCAAGAGATCGAGCCACTGAAGCCCGGTGTTTGTAGAATGACGAACGAAATACTCGCTTTGACAAGTGATAAGTGATATGGAAGGAAAAGAAGAGAGAGCGGAAGCAACGCGGCGCAACAGATTCTTGTATATTCAAATTACGGTGAGACGTCTTGATACCACTTTGATCATGAATAGTTCAGAGAATCGCTTTTGTGTCTGAAGGGAGAGGAAGAGCTGAATCTCTCTGGCACCCACAACACAAGTCACCTGCAGGCGTCGTGGTCCCAGTGTTTTGGTGTGGGTCAGATGTCAGCTCGTCAAGGACAGAAAAGCAAGGAGAGGCTTAACGTGGCTGCGAACTACGAACCACCAACAACATCCGATGACAGGAGATCGGTTGCGGGGGAGATCTGGCTGCAGGTTGCTGGATAGGTTTGTGACAGGATATTAAAGGCTTCCTTTTTGACCGCAGAGCACCTGTAAGGGGGTGGGAGCGCATCGGATGCACCCCTTGGCCACGACCGAAGAAGGCGTCGACGATAATTCCGTACGTCTGTCAGGTCTTAGGGAAGTCGTACAAATATTGTTCTCTGCGTGTTCTTTCTGAGGTATGATGGTTGCCCGGGGGAAGGCTGTTATGGTGCACTCAGAGAACGATATATCTTCAGAGATGACACACTAATGCGCACCCTCGTGAGAATTTTGATTAAGAAAGACACTTAGGCTCAGGGGCAGGGGCTTCAGGAGAGGATACGAAGGAGAATTGTTTTTTTTATCTCGGTCTCGGTGATGTTTGGGGACTGCCCCTGGTAAGTCGACGACTCGTGCCGCCGCTGCTGCAACAACTGTCCGTCGTAGGTAGGGCAGGATCAGGATCAAGATGAAAGAGAGTGTGTGAGCTGGATTCGAGTGTGAGAGCATGGGTAAAGGAGTATTGTTGAGGACGGATGAAAATAAATAAAATATGATTAGGGACAGAGTTGGAGCTTGCTCACCGTGAGGCCCAGATTGTCCGTCGATGATTGGGTCAACCCAGGAAAATTGTTTTGCCGAAAAAGCAACCAAAAAAAATCCGAAAATAAAAATGTTCCTAGCCATCATCGCATCCACCAACATCCCTCCACTCACCTCCATTACGACAATACCTCTTGAGATTCAATTCCAGCAACCTGGAAATACCACTCTCCACTCTCCGGCCCCTGCGAATCCCGACAAAAGAACATCGAGCGTCTCTCCCTACAGGAAATCCTCTCCCCAAGGCTCGACTTTGAGACAGGACCCTGCCTGTGCAAATCTACACAAATTCAATTTTGATCAAGGGATCGTATATGATATTTGACGGCTCATCTTTATCCTAGTGCGGCTTCTCCGAGACACTCCTGTGCCCCGGCTCTTCCTCCGAACCGTCGCATTCCATCACGTCCCGCTCTACAATACAATCATGTTGTCCGAAGCCTTCATCACGGCCATTCGAGCCCAACCGAAGACTGCGAACACGGCAATTGCGAAAGACATTGGCATCTACCTCCACGAACTACATCCTACACCCACAATCAGATCGTCTTTCAAGAAGAGTTCTGCGCCAGTGAATGCATTAGCAGTCAGCTCAACCCATATCTTTGCGGCCCAGGCGGACAAGGCAGTCGTTCATGTCTACTCGAGAGAGCGTGGAAACCAGGAAGCTCTCATCTCCTTTCCAGAGCGAATACATAGCTTGACTTTGATAGGAGACACCGTCCTGGCTCTTGGAACGGCAGAGGGACGGGTCATATTGTGGGAGGTATGTTAAATAACTGGCTGTGAGTCTCGGAATGGCATTGCTGACATCTTCAGGTCTGCACAGGTAGACAAGTCTCGACTCCTGCCGCGCATTTCCAATCGGTCTCGACTCTTGCTGCAACACAATCCCATCTGCTGAGCGGCTCCGAAGACTCCAACATCCATGTCTGGTCCCTGCCGCAGCTCTTATCCTTATCGTCCAAAGAAACGTCCGAGCCCCTTCGCAGCCTATCCAACCACCGTGCGGCCATAACGAATCTGGCTCTGGGCCACAGCGCAAGTACGACAAACATCTGTGTTTCAGCAAGTCGGGACAACACGGTTGTTGTTTGGAATTACCTCTCGGGAGATCTGCTTCGGACATTTCTCCTCCCTTCAACGCCTCTTTGCTTGGCTGTAGATCCGTGCGATCGGGCGGTGTATGTTGGCTTCGAAGATGGATCTGTACAATTGATCGAGTTCCTTCAATCCAATTCCGCGAATCACCCTCTCTACGATCCAAAGCTCCAGAATACACCAATGCAAAGCACTTTGGTTCCTTGGACGGCTCCAAGCGACGTTGGCTCAACACTCTGTATCGGGCTCAGCTACGATGGGACATGCTTGATATCTGGACATGCTTCCGGCAAGATTGCTTTTTGGGACACTGGCCGAAGATTGTTTTCTGCGGAGATTGCTGATCTAAACGCTCCTGTCACTAATCTCCTGATGCAGTCTCTCCTTCCCAAGAAATTGTCAACAAAGGCTGCAACAGTGGTCAAGCCGAGACTTGGTGAAGGTAATTATATCTTCACCGCCCAATTGACCGGTTCATTGGGTGTGAGTAAATTTGATCATGCCGTGAGTACTCCTGGATTTCCAGCAGAGATGCTTGAAGATGCGATATTAAGGTTCTCCCAATTCTCCCAACCCGCGGCTGCATCTTCAAGCGGACATGAACAGCTTCGCAAGGAGAACGAGGATCTATGGAAGATTATAAACGACCAGCGAGAGCTTCAGAAGAAGACTTGGGAAAAGTATACCAAGCTTAAAGCCAAGGAAGCTTAATTGCAGGTTCGTGTTTCAGGTTGCGCTTCATCCAGACTCGTTGGTGTTCCAAATGCATTTCCAGCCGCATTCAACCTCCACGCTCTAGAGTATGATGCCTTGATCTATTTTGGCTCAAAATGTCAGTGTACTGTAATCTTGGCAACGATAAGGTCGTTATCATTGCGCACCCACGCGGCACGCTCTAGATGCGATTGCTTTGCATCTCCAAGTGTCGCATAAGATCGACCCAACCGTGCGAAGCGAAAGCTTGCCTCATGATCCTGAAACCAGTACTTTGCTTGAAGGTGAGTTTTCGCCTAGGATCTTGTCCATGGCATAGCTTGACCATGACCTTCACAAACTCAAATGGTTTGAGAGCCGCCGGCGTTGTGGATGCTCAACCACTGAGGCCACGACTGCCGATTGATTGACGGTACGATCTGGTGGGAAGGACGAGCTCCGGCCGTCTCGCGCTTCATTTACCTTCCAGTATGTGGTTTCAGTTCAGACTTGTGGGGGCAGCACAGCCGTCGGAATCAATCTCATCCTCCATGGCCCTCATTACATATCAATGAGAGCTGCCATAATCTTGACAAGTCAGATGCTCTAGCCTAGCACCGGGAGGGAAAGTCAACATGCGGATCGATGCCGTTTTTCAGATTCTTGCTGCCCTGGTGGTAGCGACATCTGCATCTCCAATTACAACGACCTCGAAGCATGTGGTTCACGAACGAAGAACTGTACCTCCCGCAAATTGGAAGAGGCACACGCGGCTTCACCCCGAGTCTGTCTTTCCAATGCGAATTGGACTCGCCCAGCAGAATTTGCACCGTGCTGAGGAGTTCATAAACCAGGTTGCACATCCTGAATCTGCCGACTATGGCAAGCACTGGTCTGCTCACAAGGTAGCAGAGACTTTCGCACCTAGTCGCGACACTATTTCTGCTGTGAAAGAATGGCTCCACGAATCCGGCATCGCTATGGAGAGAGTCCGATTGACCCAGTCCAAGAATTGGTTGACGTTCAATGCAACAACGGACGAGGCGGAACGACTTCTGCAAACCGAGTATCATCTCTACAAATCGAACACTGGCCACATTCATGTTGCCTGCGACCAGTACAGCGTTCCCCAGCACCTCTCGGAACACATCGATATCATCACGCCGACCGTGCACTTCGATCGAAAGATTGATGGACCTCGTCGAACCTTGCACAAACACGAAGATTTGCTGCCACCTCCAATGCGTGAGCTGAACAAGCGTGCCCTAGAAAGAAGGGGTGGAATACTTGGTTCCGCTAATGATCAGTCAAACCCCAAACAAGGTCCTCAGGTTCTCAATGCCCTCATGACATTGGAGAACTGCGATACTATGATCACTCCACCATGTCTACAGGCTCTCTACAACGCTCCGCCAGGGAGCATGTCAATGAAGAACAATACCCTAGGAGTTGTCGAGTACACCCCCCAGGCATTCTTGCAAAGCGACTTGGACATGTATTTCAAGCAATTCGAGCCTCGCCTTGACGGAGTCTCTCCCAACACGAACCTCATCGACGGTGCTAGCATTCAAACGAAGAATCAGAGTTTCAGTTTCAACGGCGAGTCAGCTCTTGATCTGGAGTTCGCTATGACCCTGATCTTTCCACAACAAGTCACACTCTACCAAGTTGGAGATCTGGTAAATGGTGGTAGTTTCAATAACTTCCTTGATGCTATCGATGGAAGCTATTGCACATTCGAGGGTGGTGACTCCAAAGATCCTAGCGTCGACGGCCAGTATCCCGACTCCCTTCCCGGAGGCTTCACAGGTGCTCAGAATTGTGGAGGTTTCGCATCGACCAATGTCATCTCCACAAGTTATGGATCAAATGAAGCCGACTTGACCGCCAAATATGAGCAGCGACAATGTCTCGAGTACATGAAACTTGGCCTGCAAGGTGTTTCTATTCTATATTCGTCTGGGGACTTCGGTGTTGCTGGCAATGGTGGACAGTGTATCGACCCAGTCACTGGTGCTTACAACAATGGCACGAATGGTCTTTTCAACCCTTCGTTCCCAGGTACATGCCCGTACGTTACTTCAGTTGGCGCCACACAAATCGTGAATGGCTCAACAGTTCGCACACCAGAAAGTGCTTCTGAGCGAGTTATCTTTTCCGGTGGTGGCTTCTCAAACGTTTTCGCCATGCCCTCATACCAGCAGAAGGCTCAAGCAACCTACTTCGCCGAGCATGCTCCCGCTTTCGGCGCAGATCGATTCAACAACTCTCAGAAAGTCCGTGGATATCCTGACGTGTCAGCGAATGGTGTCAACTACGTTACAGCCGTCGACGGGAAGTTCTCCCTTGCATTCGGCACTAGCGCCAGTACTCCCACCTTTGCCAGCTTACTCAACATGATTAATGAGCAAAGACTTAATGCGAAGAAAGCATCAATCGGATTTGTTAACCCAGTCCTGTATGCCAATCCACAAGTTTTGAACGATGTAACGAATGGTGGGAATCAAGGGTGTGGAACAGCAGGATTCAATAGTACTGTTGGATGGGATCCGGTGACTGGGTTAGGCACCCCTAATTATCCTGCTATGTTGGATTTATTCATGGGCTTGCCTTAGACAGGTTTATGAGCTTTGCATGATGGAGTTTGGAGCTGGCTTTCCTCTTTTTGAGCGTAGAGGGTTGGTAGATTAATACAGCTATTCTTCTTGTACTACAAGAGTGATTGTTACGGATCACCTGGATCACTTGGTTGACACGTGATCACTTGGGTATGTGTTTTTAGCGCCAATACCCCCAGGCTTCCACGTGATCCCCCTTAGGGACGAATCAGGCTTAGAGCTTAAGCATGTTTCACTCTGGCGTATATAAGCTCTGACTCTCCCACTCCCTTCTTCTTTCCTTACCTTTAAATTCTAAGAGATAGCCAAATCGATTCTTCGTCTACGTACTGAGCTTCCCACCGTGCTGTCACAGTGATGTTCTGGCTTGGAGCTCAGACAGTGATGTGTCTTGTTGTGTGCTGCATCCCTTGCATTCCACGTCCTGCCTCGAATATCCTCATCCAATACCTCTAACATGATATCTCCACCTGCATCATGAGGTCGACCCTTCTATCTCGGGCGCTCAGCTCCTTAGATACCTGGGTAGGTACTCCAGCCAAGTGTTGACCTGGGGTTTCAAAGACAAACTGTCACGTGGTAAATACAAGGCCATCCAATTAGCGCTCGGTTGCGGTTCTTGTTGCATGTCGCATCAAATTCGAATTTCCTAATGTGGCGCTGTGAAAATGCAACGCCTCAAATCACAGCACCGCGGCACATTCAAAAGTGCCAAGAGGCTCTGCTCAAATCCTCTCAATTAGACACCCAGAACTATCGTCATCATATTCGTCCGATCAGATTCTGTATCTCATCATAACTTCGCCTCCTCTTTCTTCACCATCCTTATCCACAAAGAATCGGCCTTAGCCAGTACAGTCCCCTCCCCATCTCTAATCTCAGCATCCATCAAAAACTTCTTCCTCTTTGCATCTAGCGTGCCCCTACTCTTTGCAATCACCAACACCGTCTGCGGGGTGGCGATCGGCCTCAGATACTTGACGTTCATGTACGCCGTCACTGTATTAACACTCAACGGATCACCTGTGCTGTGGTTTTTGTTCACAGTGAGCAAGGTTCCGATCACATCGTCCATGAGTGTAGCGATTACGCCGCCGTGCAACATCGCTGGGCCACCGTTCATGCCGAGACCGAGGGTCATGAGGCTGCGGACTTCGGGGATCCATTGTGAGTCTGGGAGAGGGTGAGAGTGCAGGGACAGGCAGTGAGATATGGTGGAAGGGGTTTGGAATGTGGTTGCGAAGAGGGAATCTTCTGTGTTCGCTTTGAATTGGCGGGAGAAGGTTGGTGTGATGATGAATGCCGGCCCGGAGAGGATGGACATGCACCATGGGATGGAGCGGAAGTGAGGGAGATCTCGTTCTTCCATGGCTTGATTGTGCTTTATGATCTGAAGAATGGTTGCTCGGAACATTCACCAGTTGGGATGGATATCGAGGACTTGAAGCTTGAGATGAAAACGAAATGGCGGGCCTCGGCTCAGGACGAAAGAGGTGGGGGCCAAAACTGGTTAGCTTTGGGAACTCGCTAACCCTGACTCGCTTGGAAGGAGCGACGGGGGACAGCTTGCCTTGTCTTGTGAGGAAATCAGATGGGGAGCACTCGACGTTGCTATGAAAGAATCATCGAGTATTTTCATTATCACCCGCCACCATGGCCACCCATTCTCCCGAAGACAGCTCTGACGACGAAAAGCTCACCGCAGAGCTGGAGCAGTCGACGAGCATCCATTCCAATGACTTTCCAGAAGTCTTCGTCACCGTCCGCGAGCTTTCTTCCGACGAATGCAGCGACATCATTGTTACGCCGAATCCCGCGGGTTCAACATCCTTGATCATATCAATCGAACCACCTCCCGACGGCGGCGAGGAGGAATCCAAACCTCCAGAAGCGAACGGCTGGGTTTCGCTGCCCTTTCTCGTACGAGGTATCGAAGACCCAAAGGAACGAGTAGATCTGTTCGAGGTGTGGCGGTATATGATCACATCAGATGTTACCTCGGAGGTGAAGTCAAGACAAGATCAGATATGGAGGATGGAGATGGAGGAGAAATTGGAGTGGATGGCCATCGAAGATAGGTCCCTGTCAGACATGCTGGATTTGGTGCTGGCAATGGAGAGCAATGTATCTGCAAGAGATGCACTGATCTTAGTCTTCGAGGCTATTGCGCGTGTCGACAAAGACGAGTTGGATTGGATGAATCGACAACAGGTCGAAGCTGAAATAGAAGAAGACAACTCTAGGGAGATCCACGAGACTTCAGGTGTGGATAGTGCTGGCGAGGAAGCTTTTCCTGTACAAGAGACAGACGATGACGTATTCCAAGCAAGCTTGGAAAAGGAGATCCACGAGGCAGTTCTGTCCTTAGAAAGAGTAGCTTCAATTGCATCCGACATCGTGGAGGAAGAGAAGCTGGAAGTGAAAAATCTATCTAGCTCAGATGAACGACGGGAAGGAAGCGATAATTTGCGGATTCAATTGATGGTCAAGATATACCAGCAGGAAACCGGCAAGCTTGCAGACGTTGAAGAACAAGACGATGCCGCTGAGACGAAAGTGGGGAATCCTGTTGAAGCAACGCCACAACAGAACCTCCATGAGTCTCATGCTGTGGAATCCCCGAATGATCTCACTGATACAAGTCTTCGCGAAGTCGACAAAGCTAGGATCAACGATGATGCTCCAGAATCCGTCCAAGACGCTGTCACAAGATCGTTGAACGAAGTCCTCGAACTGGGAAACTCCGACGATAAGAGCATACATATCATTCACAAAGACGGCGGACATGCCAAAGAAACCCGACCTCATATCCAAAACGATTCAAACGAGAATATCAAGGGAGATTCCCCTGATAATGAAAAGGCCGAATTTGACATCTGTGACACGATTGACGAAGGTGGCTCAGAGAAACCTTTCGACCCAGACGAGACTTTGGAAGAGCTTGACAGTGATGAAGGAGAGAACACGACACATGTAGATACCAAATACACTCTCAGTGAGCACATCGAAGTTATACCTCCGGACGAGAAGGCCATGTCCACAGCCATTGAACAAGAGACAGATGGTCCTAGTCATCCAATTGGAGAAGAAGATGTTGAATCAGCCATGAAACCAGAGGAATTAGACGAATTGTTAGACGAATTGTTAGTTGAAGACAAGGAAGCATGTAGGGGTGAGATTGGCGAGAGTGTCGCGACCGTCCATGTTCAGTGCGATGAGACCTGCCAGGCTTTCATGTCCTTGCTCTCGACAATGGAGGAATTAGATCTCCCTCCAGATAAATTTTGCGGTCTTCTTGCACAAGTCTTTCCCACTGTCGCCGAAAGTAGAGCCCACGAGAGTACCGAGGTTCTCTCAAAATTGGGCAAGTCACCAGCGAAAGGGTGTCTACTGAAAGAGGAAACCAAAGAGTCAACGAAAATTCTCATCCAAAACTTCACTCAAAGCCTCGAAGACCTGTACGAACAAGTCAAGGCAGGCCTTGAGGAAAGGCACAGTAAAAGGTCACCGAGCGCAGACTACGAAGAAACGACTGGTTCATTCTTCACAGGCCTTTCAAGCTTGCTAAAGTTCGGGAAGCTTATCTTGCAAAAAGAAGGAAGTGGAGAGACTGGTGTTGAAACAATACGGTCCGACTTGAACTCAAATCAAGAAGTCGACAACCAGAACGACAAACCTTCAACCAAGAAGAAGAAACCAAATAACAGGAAGAGGAAGAAAAAGGCAAGGAATCAATCAGAGACATCAAGGCTACCTGCCGGTTTGGAGACGCTTCTCAAGACTCCAGATCAAACATCAACCATTCCAGAATCCCAGACAGTTCACAAAAAGCTCATTCCACTCGGCCGACCGATCCATTCAGATGAGTCATTTGGCTACAAGCTTTTCAGAGGCACGTTAAACAAATTGGTGCATCGACAATTGCCTGTCATTATTGGCCACGAAGCAAAAGTTACACGGGCAACATACCAGAGAGCGGCAACGCGGGCGCAAAGCGTACTTACGGAACTTGACCACGAGCTTGGGGTCGAGAGCGATGAAAAGAAACGACACCATGGAAAGTTTTGGGAGCTCTTAGACCATCACGTCTACTCCAAGGTGTATGAAGAACTTCTGGCAGGAAGTGTTTTCGTAAACATGGATAACGAAAATTGGCCAAACACCGACGCAGGCATCAAGAAGGAACCCAAGGACATTTTCCTGGAAGAGAAGAAGTCACTTCTTACAATCGGTGGACTTCTCGAAACTTCCCTCGAGCTTTTGTGTCTCAGTGAGCCATTGGGAGAATATGGAGGGACGAAAAGTCACTTGAATGACTGGATCGATCAGTACATTACGCCGCTACGGAAAGAAATCGAGGACGTACTTTGCAGGCTGACAATGAAGATGTGGCTGTATGGCGACGAGTATTGGGCATTTGTACTCAACAAGGATGGTGGAAACGAGTTCCTTGCAGATATAGCACGCCTTCCAGAGATATTCAAGAAAGCACAGAACATGACTATAAGCGCGCTCAAGGAAGCATGGCGTCAGCACGCTGCCACGAACAATTTCGACATAGCTACGAATACTTTCAAATTTCCAATTTCTACTCTAGTGCAGATTCGAACTATTGCCATAGTTCGAGGACTTCAATCCAAGGTAACCGATGAGCTTGAGAAGAAACTCAGTGACCACGATGCACTGGAGGAGGAGGAGGAGTTGACGGTTTTCGATATCGCGTCGTACCTCAAGATAGCCTTCCCCGGAGAAAAATGGACCTATGCCATGGTTCGACCTTGTGGTTTGAGCGATATGTTTCGAGCAACACGGGTATCAAGCGGACAGGATCAGTATAATTCATGCATTATCAAATGGGCGCCACCTTGTGTCCCGGGTCTCGGCACTGCTGGACCAGCACCCCACATCAGACAAGTAAAACTCTATCTTGATCTTTTGCGATGGAATAGCTAATTACCATTCTTAGGATATTGAAACTTTTGCATTAGAGACCTTTGGGAGTTTCCCTCTCAAGGAATCCGAAACCGATGAGCCTTGGGTCGCCGTACCTCGTCTCATTAAACGGAGCCGCAAGAACTCGGTGTTGATCATGCACGATGTAGGAGAGTTCACTACTTTATGGGAAGTTTTCACAACAATGGATACTCAACATTTTCAGAATCTCCAATTTGTAATAGTTGGAGCTCGCCTCGGAATGTGGTTCGCTAGTCTCCACGCAACACCTTTATCCCGAGCCAAGTTTTACAAAGTCGGTGCGAATACGAAGCATTCCGAGCTTACAGATCTGGTCCGTAAACATAAAGTGGTGCCAATCGAAGGCTACCTTCAAGCGCTTGGAATTTCGGATAGCCAAGAGCTCGGCAAAAGGATCGTCGATGATTTCGACAGAGAGCTCGGAGGCGACTTTATGGTCTTTGCCGTAGGTGATGCATCCCTCGAGACCGTGCTCGCCGGGAAATTGTTTGGTGCTTTTCCCCGCCTTGCGATCCTGGACTGGGATTTTTCTGGTCCAGGCCGAGGTATAAATGGGGACATGGCTCAATTACTTGCAGGAGTGCAGTCATTTTGGCTTTCCCAAATCCGGATGATCGAGGATGTGATCTTGGCAAGGGCAATGAAAGAATTCACTGTAGGCCTTTTAGAATATGTTGATAGTATGCGGAAGAAAGGGTCCACGCTCGTCATGGTGAAGAGCGCCCAACCTGAAGACTATGGTCCGAAGAAGAGGCGTCTACCCCCAAAGGTTGCAACAGTTCTGAGGTCAGCTTTCATCGCACACGGTAAGGAGCTGATTTGTTTAGCTTGGGGCTATGGTTACAGATGTATATGCTGCGGGGTGGATAAAAGAGAGTCATGTGAAGTGCGAAAACGCATAGTAGAGCACGCGGCTTGGTTCTTACGAATGGCGGGACGGAATGAAAATGAGTTTCAGGGTCAGAATTGGAAGCAGATCTGCTCTAACCCCCAAGCTAAACTCCTTCTCAATTTGGTGTTTAGCACCGTTTGACCGACTTGGAGAGAAGAAGAAATGCGAAATTGAAGGAAGAGGTTCGCGAAAAGCTCATTATGGGTTTGAGTGCAGCGGAGGTCTTGAGGTATGGCCTTGACTCAAGTCACTGAATGTATACTTATACACATGGAGTATCAGGATAGATTATGTAATTCCAACAATGCATTCGCTCGTGGATCAATGGCATTCAAAGCAAAGGTGACCCGGAGTCAAATCGAACCACGAATTTTCCGATAGCCTGCAAAACAATTAGCCTCATCTGAATATTCAGTTCTCAAGAATGAGAATTACACAACGGGACTGCTGCGAATTTATTCGGCGACTCACCTTCCCAGAAGAAATCTGCTCTGCAATCTCAGACAGTTCTTCCAACTTCGCCATATGCACCTTCGGCATGACCAATCCTCTCTGTACAAAGGTTAAAGCTTCCCGAATATCAAGTCTCGTTCCCACAGCCGATCCGATGATCCTGATTCCGAGATCGATGAAAGTGATAGGATGGAAAGTGACTGTTTGCGCTGGGGGAGGAATGCCTATGCACACCAAAGTTCCGAAAGGACCTAACATTGAGATCGCATCTTGATAGGCTTTTCCTGACCCCGCAGTCACCAGAACAGCTGCTGCTCCATGCCCACCGCTCTTCTCGCGAACAGTGGCAATTGTGTCTTTTCCACTTGTGACGTCGACGTAGACCTCAGCGCCCAGCTGCCTACAGTACTCCTCTTTCTCTTTTCCAGCATCAATAGCAATGACTCTATACCCCATCGCCTTTGCATACTGGATGCCCAAAGATCCAACACCGCCACCAGCTCCAGCAATAACAACCCACTGTCCAGGCGTCGCGCCACAGATCTTCAACCCCTTATAAATGGTCACACCACCACACAAAACCGGTGCAATAAGCTGATCCTCAACTTCCTCTGTGACAGGAGTGAGATACCGATACGGCACAACCGTGTACTCAGCAAACGTTCCATCCACCTTCCTACCTGTCATCTGCTCTAGACAGCGATTTTCCCCGTCAGGCAACAAACACATTTCGCACGTGCCGCACACATCTCGTTGCCACGCGACCCCAACCCGGGTCCCGATCTTGACTTGCGAGTCTGAGATGCCGGATCCGAGGGAGACAACTCGACCTACGCCTTCGTGGCCGAGGATGCTGGTACAGGGACCAAGTTCGCCGGCTGCGAGAGCGATGTCTGAACGGCAGACGCCTGTGCAGGAGATTTTGACGAGGACTTCTTGCGGGCCGGGGACGGGCAGAGGCGCGGTTGTGGTTTGGAAGTGGAATTTATGGGGTGAGGTGTCGTCTCGCTTGGGAATATTAGTGATTGATGCATGGTAAAGGGGTGAGAGGACAGGGAGGACTTACTACCCAGACAGCTACTTGGTGGTGAGTTGGGAGCGTCATGTTGCTTGATTGTTTGGATTTGTGTGGTACCGAGGATGCAGAGGAGGGAAAGGGAATACCAACTTGACCTTAAATTTCACGCCAAGAAATCCGCCAGCTGAAGGTCTAGTAGAAACCGAACAAACAGCATGTGAAGGGACAAATACTCCCGTTTCGTATCTCTTAGCTGGTTCTCAGCTCAGCTCCAAAATCGGGCTCGGTCCGACACTACTGCCGCTCCAGCTGTCAAGTCCAAGTCCTAGATATCCCGCTCCCCACCTACCCCGCCAACACTGTCGGGAAATCCCCCAAGCAAGGAGATTCGAAACCGCGGCATGAAAGATCGGGCCTTGAAACAGCCTGAGACCCCAACATGATAGGCCCCACATGGGATTAGTCCCGCAACCAATTGCTCCCCAGTTGGAGGCGAGGTTAAACTCAGATAAAGTTCAGTAGGGATGATAGGCATGATAGGGTCGTGGTGGGGGAATGCCGCTACGGGGATTTTATTTAGGGGGAAGAATGCTCGCTGGGGAGATGATACCTTGACTTCTTGTTGGTTTTGGAACTTGAAAGTGTATTTGCATCTTTGATTCATTTCCATTTTTTGACATATCAGTTGAAAGTTTCCAGAAAACAGTCAAGATGGGATCGATTGAAACAAAAGCGCCAGCAGCAGAACTGAGCTTCGAAAAGTTCCACAATGTCGTCGCGAAGGGCCTGAGAAGTAGTGAAAAGATGCACCATGGCGTCAATCCGTCCGATAAATCCGAATTATGGGATGTTCCTATCGCGACTGAGCGGGATCTCGATGAAGCTGTTGAGGTTGCGAGAGAAGCCTTCAAGAGTTGGTCAAAGACGACTTGGGCTGAGAGACAGCAAGTTTTGGCAAAAATGAGAGCCGAATTGCAAAAGCATGTTCCAGAAATGGCGAAACTGCTGTCGTTGGAAGGTGGGAAACCAGTAAGTTTGATTGTGATAGCATGCGAGTTGTGCTGAACGACGTGACAGATACAATTCGCAACCGGAGAGGTCATGGCGTCGATTGGTACTTTGGATTATCATGGTACGTTGTTGTTCTCATAATTGAGCTTTGGAAGTTAATGAAGAACAGCCAAGGCTCCATCACCAGGAGAGGAGATTCTCCAAGATGATGCCGACCTCAAACTCACGCTTCGTTACGTCCCTCTTGGTGTCGCAGCCGCAATTTGCCCATGGAACTTTCCCCTGGTCCTTGCAATGGGAAAGCTCTGCGCAGCTATTCTGACCGGAAACACGATCATCATCAAGCCTTCTCCGTTCACGCCCTACAGCGTCCTTAAATTTGCTGAGATGATCCAGCAATATGTACCTCCTGGAGTTGTGCAGGCATTAAACGGTGACGATCGAATGGGCCCAATGATGACTGAACATCCTGGAATCGACAAGATTAGTTTCACGGGCAGCATTACTACCGGAAAGAGAGTCATGATGGCTTCTGCGAAGACTTTGAAGCGCGTGACTCTTGAACTCGGAGGAAACAGCGCTTGCATCATTTGTCCCGATGTTGATATTGCAAAGGTTGCTCCTTTGGTTGCCCTTGGCGCCTTCTTCAATTCTGGACAGTTGTGTGTGGCAAGTAAGAGATTGTTTGTACATGAGAGCATCTACCAGGAAATGCTGCAGGAGTTGACCAAGGTGGTTAAGGGCTGGAAGGTTGGTGGAACTGCCGAAGAGGGTATCATGCTCGGTCCCGTGCAAAACGAGATGCAGTACAACATCGTGAAGGGGTTCTTCGAGGATTGCGCTGTCAATGGTTATGAATTTGCTCTTGGTGGTAAGGTTGGTGGTGAGGATGGGTTTGTCATCCAACCGGCGATCATCGACAATCCACCAAGCCATTCGAGAATTGTGACAGAAGAGCCATTTGGTGAGTGGAGGTCTTTGAAGAGCTTTAAATGCTTGCTAACAAGAGTAGGACCAATCGTACCCATGATGCCGTGGAGCACAGAGGAAGAACTAATACCCCGCGTCAACGACACAAGAACTGGTCTAGGAGGCTCGATATACTGTGCAGACATTGAAAGAGCAAACAAAATTGCCAGTCAAATCGAAGCTGGAACTGTCTGGATCAACAGTTTTGAACGACCACTCCCTCAAGCATTCTTTTCGGGACACAAGGAAAGTGGCCTTGGTGGAGAGCTTGGAAGACACGGTCTCCTTTCGTATATGAATCCTCAAGTCATTCATTTGTATAAGACGGATGTAGCAAAGTTGTGAAAAGGGTGTATATAGACCGAATTCAAAGAGCAAGGTGTGGTTGAGTTCTCAACGTAGGTTAGTGTCGCGCGATCACAACGCTTACAACTCGCGGTCTTCTAGAATGTTTGGATGCAATTCTTCAATACAGACTTACTACACAGTACACAGGTCCGTGCCGAGGGTATAGTCCCAACCACGAACGCCATTTATCCCATCCCTAACCTCAAAATTGGCCATGGTAAACTTTTGCCCAACCTGAACGCCATCTTGTAATGTACCCCGCAATCCGCCTGAATGATGGTTGCCAACCCGACTCTCAGTGTGCAGTCCTACTCCACCTTGATCCTCACAGCAGCCCTTCCGTCAGATCGGCGTCGTCTCTTCGAAGTCTTGTTTATTCGGATTGGAGGGCCGGGAAGTCGGGGTGCTTGGCGTACAAGAGAGGCAGCTTGTCTTCGTCGCAGTTCTAATTTTCGTATTGCCATGGCAAGTTCTTCAGCTCGACTCCGCTCGATCATTTCAGATCCGACGGGGAATTGACGATACAGAGCATTGGCGTCTCCCATAGGCAGGAAAGGGCACAACTTGAGAAGACCATAATAAAATCCTTCATGGACATAACGCTTCCGCTCCTCAGATGTCATACAACAACTTGTGTGCAGCATCAAAGGCAGAAGCAGACTCCTCCAGAAGGACTCCTCGCAGCTTAGCAGTTCGTTGACCAACGTGTCTGCAATGCGTTGGTATGTGAGCATGGTATTTCGACGTGTTTCCCAACAAGGAACGCTCTGCATGATCAGAGGGAGCTTGGAGAGAGAAGAAGCGATCTCGGATGCAGCACCATAAGACAGATGTGCGCCAGGAAGAGGACTTTGTGCCAAACCACCTCGATTTCTGCGATTGCCCCGCCATTCTTGACTCAGCTCTCGAACCATTGCTCGACACAGGTCGTGATGGTATTGGATATCAGCGAGAGCTACGTGCATCTGTCTTGATCGACGCTTGGATTCTGCTGATACGCGAGAAGCAACATTGCGAAAGGTGAGGACGGCGTCGACCAGCAATCTTTCCACCATTAGGATGTCGAGGGTGTCGACTGCATGGTTTATGTCTCCAGCGAATTTGTGTGTCTCGTCCCTGCACTTCCACAGTCTGCCACTTGTCTTCGAGAATGTCTCACAATGGACGGATACCAGCTTTCCAATATGGCGTTCATGATCGATGACCGCGCGAAGAAGTAATGCTCTGACTGAAACAACATCGATGCTTCCGACAATCGCCTCGACGTGTTTGCGAATTTCGGGAGGGACATCGTCTGGGAGGAGCGGAATGGGCTCGAAGTTGAAGTTTGCTGATCTCGTACTCGCATATCGTCTTTCGATGAAATGGTCGAAGTCGAAGCCGACAGATCCGAAGTCCATCATTTTGTGGAATGTAGATAGGTGGAAAGGTGGGAAGTTGAGACAAAAGTGTGAGACAGTCTCGCAGCAAACGCGAGGCTGTCGCACGTTCACGAGCCATTGGAGGGGTGCCAAGGCGCTAAGACGACCGCTAGCCCCTAACTGTATCTGCATTGCTTCAATGCTTCTCGATTCTCCTCGCCGGTGGACTCTTTGAAGTTCATGTCGCCCTTCAATCCACAAACTTCACTTCTTCATTCATCACAGCTCTCCGGCAACTCATTCAGGATTTCTCGCGCTCCGTATACGTTCTCGTTCCTCCACACCGTCATCAGCTTGAAATCCATCCGCCGTTATGAAAAATCACGGCTGCATGTGGACATATCAACAGTGGAAGAGACTTCGACAAGCCAGCTTCTACTTGTAATATGGCCTGGGAATATTATCATAATACGGCACCACAATCATGTTTGGATCATCCGTCGGGCTCACCATTGCCACAGTCCCTGAATGTGTTGGCTTGTCAGAAACGATGAGGTTGATGCAGGCAGGACCTTTGACTTCACTGAACCTCTTCACTGTGGCCTCGATATCCTCCAACTTGTCAATCATTGCACTCTCATTCCCAAAACCTCCTGCAATAACGTCGTACCTCGTCGTGGCACTCAAAGTGCTGACAGGGCGAGCTGGGTTCTTGTCCCCATACACCAATTCTTGACCATGAATCGACATTCCCCACACGTAATTGTTGACTACCACGGTCAAGATGTTGAGCTTATGTCGCGCATAAGTATCCAACTCTGAGAAGTGGAAGCCAGCGCTTCCATCACCTTGAATATTGATGATCTGTCTCGTAGGATCTGCTACAGCCGCTCCAAGGGAGTAACCGAATCCATTTCCTAGCATGCCAAGATAACCAGCTGAGAAGAATGACGAGGATGGTTGAGCAACTTCGAGGAGATCTGTGGTCCAGCTTCCCGCTTCTCCGCCGTCGATGGAGAGGATGCAGCCAGGTTCTAGGGCAGAAAGGACGGCTTTGAGAGCATGATATGGATGCATCTTGCTGTTGATGAGCTTCTGGTCTTTATCTGATGCAGAAGGAGTGTGCTTCAGGCTGGTTGCCAGTTCAACCCATTCCTCTGGTGTTTGAAAAGGATCAGACTTCACAGCAGCGTTGAACGATTGCAAGGCTTCAGTCATGTCGGATACGATACCAACGTCTACATGACATGACCTGCCAATCTCTGAGCCATCGATGTCGATTTGGATGAGTTTACACTCACGTTCTGGGATGATGATCCCAGAGCGACCTCCCATGAACATCCCAGTCCGCGCGCCAAGCATGAAGATTAGATCTGGTCGCGGTTTGCCCACATATGGTAGCTTGGCTAGATTTCCTGCAAGTCCAGCGTGGAGTGGATGATCCAACAGCAATGGACCAAATCCTTTCATGCTCTGAAAAATTGGCGTTTGTGTGGCCTCGGCCAGTTCCAGGAGCGATTTACTGGCTTCAGCCCCGCGACATCCCGTGCTGATAACAATGGCAGGTCTTTTGGCTGCTTTCCACAAAGCAAGTGCTTCGGTGACGGCTCGAGGACTTGGGGATGGCGGATATGCTTGCGGTGAACTGATTGAGCCCCATGAGATACTCTCTTGTCTGACAGGACTGAACAAGATCTCGATCGGAAAGTCAATCATCACAGGACCTGACTTTGCTTAGCCATAAAGTCTAACAGGATTAGGGCGACTGACCTGGCGTGCCAGAATTGGCAGTCCTGTATGCATGAGAAACGAGTCTTGGAATCTCTTCTGGGTGTGTGACACGGTGCGAGAACTTGGTTAGAGGCTTTGAAACGACGACTTGATCAAGGAAACCTTGAAGACAATTCGTCTCCGCATCTCGAAGTGGTGGTGAGCTTGTAATTACGAAAATTGGGCTTCGGTCTGCGATTGCTGTTGCTAAGCCTGGGAGAGAATTCGAAAACCTACGTGCATTAACTTGAGTTGAAGAGATATTTGCTTTCAAATGCCATACCCGCTGTTCGCCGTGACGAAGCACACTCCCACCTTGCCTTTGACTTTGGCGTAGCCCTCCGCTGCTTGAACAGCTACTGTTTCGTGTCGAGTATCAACGAGTCTAATTCCGCTGTGATCGCAGCCCATGAGGAAAGCGTCAAGATGTCCTCCATGGATGCCGAATGCAGTGTCGACACCTAACTGCTTCAGGCATTGTGCTAGGAGGTCTCCACCAGAGAGTTCACGATGCTGGGGCTGCTTCAATTGAAATCCTGGCATCCTTACAAATTTGCTCACTTGCGTATATTGTTTGTTAAACAATCGAAGCAGACGTTTGGGTGAAGGACTTGAGATTTCTGTCAGCATGTTAGGTAGATGATAAGAGCTGACATTCCCAACTGCGGGGTATTTACCGTGGCAAATTGAGGGGCAACTCGCTTAGCGAGAGCCCCTGAGTCAACACCAGAGGACTCAAGTCAAGTCATAATGCTCTGTTGGTCAAGGATTTAGACGCCAGTTGATATTTACGTTAGAGATAGCTCGGATGCGAATTTTTTGTGCGATCATAGTTGGTTGAGATGCCTATGCTGTGAGATTGCCCCGCACCTCACTTCCAGGAGCGTTAGCGAGTTCTCTCAAGACTTTGCGTGTATTGATACTATAACATGAAGACTTGGCGACTTGCCGTTCTGGTACAGTGAAAGATAAGTATCAATAGAGTCCGCACAGAGCTTTCAACTTCCACTCAACTCCCACCTCGACCCAAGGCAGGTCTCCCATTTCTTGCTTGATATGACCCCACGTCTCGACTTTTGGTTTCATGCATACACTCCTGAGGGATTTCCTGAACCACATGTACTATTTTTCTTCGGCGTATAAGCCGCCAAAGAAGAGAACCCATAGCAGCACACGAGTGGAATATTTGTGTTCTCCTGAAACATCCATCAGTCTCTCCATCGAGACTTTCAAATCGTGGATGAGCTCATTGTCCCATTCTGAAAAGCAATTTATCTCATTTGTCGTAGCCTCGATTGTGTGTAGATAGATCAATGAAGCCAGTAACCATGACTTGTGCAGATCTCGTTCCACCTCCTTGCTCTGCTGGTCAATATCTAATATCTTCAAGAAACGCTCAATCTTGACACTTGTTTCGTATCCAATGCGTTTCCTGTCTCGCGCAGTAGCACTTGAAGGCAGCGCTATAACAGAGTTGAAGTTATCTCGTAGTCTATGAAAGATATCATGCATCGAATCTTTAGAGATGTTAATTTCAGCAGGCACCAAGGCGACTATGCCATCATTTTGGTCACCAGTAGCCTGAAGTTCTGGCTTCTTTTCGATGAGCTCGTGTAGTTCTTGACTAGAATACCCGTGAGCAGTTTTCAGGGGCTGTGCCCAATGGCATGAATCATACAGAGGTAAGAGCATCCGGAGGAACCAGCTAGAGGGGAGAGCTTCGCCTCCCGTTTGCCCAAAATTGAAATGCGAGTAAAATAAGCACAATTTTATAATTTTCCAGAAACAATCTTTCCGTTGCGAAGCCGAATATCACTCCGTTAAACTCTTAAGACAAGGGTTGCGCGTGGGACTTCTTGTCGTTGAGTTCTGGTTGCGATGTAATTTTGGCCTTGGGGTGGAATGATATTTTCATTTGTCTAAAAGAGAAAGGAACCCGCTCGGATAGTTTTCCAAATATGGCCTTTCCATCCTAGTTCTCGACTCTTGCCGCTCTGGCGAGTCTTATTCACTTTGGCCTTGTTCCTTTTCCATTCGTGGGTATGGTCTTGACCAATCCTAAGGAATGAGTAGATATAAAAGTGGACAACTAGCTTAGTCACAATGGCTTGCTTACTACAGCTTGCGCATACCAATGATAAGAAAACGAACAGCACGGTAGCCTAACAAATATCAATTCCGCTTTTACGAAGAAGCCATTTTCTTTCACCGCGGCCGCTTGACTCGATTCTCACCTCACGTACAGGACTTGAAACACAATGCCTTTCACATAGAACTTGATAGTCAAAACTTGGAAGTTGTAAAGACGGAAAGAAAAATTGCTCATCACATTTCAAGTGTGTCTAGCGAAATGCACCTTTTCTGCTTTTTCATATTTACATTCATTCAACAGCAAGCCACTGACCTCCTACCCCGCCACCAAAACGAATGCCATAAACCAGGATACTCAAAGAAAGTATGAAGAGAACAACAACCTTTGGCCACACGGCTTCTGTCCCACTAGGCTCCATATATACAATCGTTGCGTGCAGCATGGAATAGCGTTTATGAGGCAGTGAAGGTAGAGTTGATTGGTCCAAACTTGATATTCGAATAGGTCACTGACGCACCGGGAGACTTGGATTCAACATCTGCGGGGACACCCGAAGTAACAGCGCAAGTACCACGAGCTGCACCTGGGTTGGTTGCCGTAGTTGGGTAGGTAGAGTCGAGCCAAAGCATATTGGCGTAATGATCATCCCACACGGACATGACAAGAGTCATTCCAGCAGACAAAGCCTTGCCCATATTTTCGAGACCTCCCTTAGTCTTAAAGCCGTAGTTGTCTCCGAAGGCGGCCTTTTGCTGATCGCAGAAGTCCGTGGTGATGGAATTTCCGGAAACATTGGCGATTTGAGACTGGGAGTTGGGGATCAGTTTGTTGTTTTGCACGTAGAATCGCTTGATCTCGGTAAGTGGGTCGCCGATAAATTGTGTCACGACCGTGAACTTCTTGGAAGTATCGACTGTCATGCCAGGTCCATAGAAGGTAGCATCTCCCATGCGGTAAGAGTTGAAATCACATCCGTCGGGATCGCAGCTACCAGCATATCTGGTTGCAGAGTATGTACCTCCGCAAGCATCGCCAGAGCACATCGTCTGCGTCAAGGCCTCGCAAGTGTGAGGTGTGACCGCTGCAGAGACTGAGTTGGCTTCCCAGATATCCATCTCTGGACAGCAAGAACCGTGGCCTCCGACACCAGCATTGGGGTCGTTGCTCGACGGCGTCCATCCTTCGACGTTGCCCTGATCCCATATTAGCTCTGCCATGTGCATCGGGTTTCAATAACTTACCATTCCGTTGATGAACTTCAGATCACGAGGACATTGCGAATCGCAGTATCCAACACCATACTTGGCACCCGCCTTGTTTGTAGAAAATCTCTTCATTCCACCATCCGCATCCATTGACACAAAGTACAGAGCACCATTGAGCCCGCAGGGGAGATTGGACACATCGACATCGAAGGTGAACTCCTTGTTCAACAATTGAAATTGTTGGTATGTCGTGTCGGTATCAAGAAGGTACATTCGGGATCCAATATTTGTAGCATATGTTCCCTTGGTGACGAACGTAAGCTTCAAAGAATTTCCGCTAACAGTGGCACCATAAGTGGCCTTGTAGTCGGCGCCCTCGAGTGCACAATTGGCTGCGCATTTAACGTTATCAGGGCACAAAGTCTTGTTCCAGTTGTTGTCCGTGTAGCAATTGGTGTAGCTGTTGGCGGTTTTGTCATGAACCCATCTCCAATTGGAGTCAATAACAACCTTCCCGTTCTTGGTTGTACAGCTTCCAGCCGCAGTACATGTCTGCCATGTCATTGTCGGATGGGTTTCTGTCTGCTGAGTGCCGGCTTGCTGGCCCCGCACAACTGCGGCAACCAGTGATGTAGCAAGAGCCAGACTGCGATACATTTTGGCGTCTTTTGTTGGCGTGTCGAAAAAAGTAGTTAAGGTTGAAGAGACAATGGTCTGAAGCTGACAAGATCGGCTCGAAAGCTTATATATGTCTTGGAAATGCTAGACTCGATTGCCTTTGCCTCACGAGATCGAATTGAGCGCTGGAGATCACGGAACGACGGCTATACCGTCCATACAGCCGTCAAAGTCCTTTTAAAGGTAGGAAGTAGAGTGCATTGGGGTCAAGCAGAGTGGTCCCAAATGAGATGAATCCAAGCAGACTTTACCATCTCGGCGAAACTAGTGCCGCGAGACACGAGCAAAGTGCCGTAAGCATTCTGTCTGTATGTAGCTGCGCATATTGCCTGTATGGGAGTGAAAGGAACGGTTCTCCGTTGGAGCAGATTTACGGCAAGGTCATTGATTTGTTTAATCGGATGACTTCGAAGAGGCGCCGATAGGACTGACCCCAAAGGAGAGTACCCGGGAAGAATGTAATTCCACCGAATAAGAGGAGAAGCGTGGAGGTAGCGATGCTCAAACAGATTGACACATGCCTACACGGCAATCATTCAGATGAAAGACAAGGATACAGTAGTAGATCGGAGATATAGGGTTTGCCAGCGATTGTAAATTGTGACCTGTTCCCCGCAATCACTATCCCCGGATCCATATGAAAGTTTTGATATCCTTGTATTGGATCTTGGCATTCCGCATTCTACAAGCGCTCGCTCGATATTTGTTCCTAGGTCCTTGAGATTGTTCGATCGATCATTAATATGGTAGGGTTATCATGTGGCGAGGCAGTGTTTGAAAAGGCTACGTTACTTTATAGCCGCCTGAAATATCGGAACAATTTGGAGTGATACGAGATTGTTTTCATTGAACTCGGGGATAATCGGTCCTTGCCGTCACATCCATTGCTGCACGTATAGAAAACTCAATGATGGGACTTTAAAATACTTGTCAAAGCTTTAGATCAAGAAAAAACATGGCCATTGTCAACGGGCTCCCAGGAAGGAATAAAATAGGGTTGAAGTCCTCCCTCTAAAGAATTCTACGATTTCCATAACCGTGGGCACTCCAAGAGAGGTGTCAGAGGACATCCAAGGACATCTTCAGGCTGAGATGACGTTGTGTACAAGGCCAGAAGTACCAGTACATCGTGTTTGAACCATTTTGGGATGCTGTCAGGCGCAACTTTGACCGAGTTGATGAGCAGTTGTGATAAATGTCCAGAGTCAGCTGAAGAATGGAGCAGGCATACTCTGACCACTTACCACTATAACATAGATTGCATAATCTATCTTAACAGATAGGGATACTGGCTATGCGCTCGGCACGGCTGTCCGTGCCTGTCCCGGGCTGCTTTTGTTGGCAGGGTTCGGAATGGCTTGCTTAAATGTTCCGAATCATTCTACGGAAGTGGTAACAGTTGAAAGAAGTGGGCAGTAACTCTCAGACTTTGAAGATTAAGTTTCGTCTAGTGTTAAGAAGCTTGAAGCTGAGTCTTGCTTCAAAGTTCAAAGAATAGCTATGTTGAATATTATAAATCCACCGTCAAGGCACCGCTCTGAATCTCATTGAAATGAGTTGCAGAAGCGATGCCATCACCTAAGCTTTGTTTGGTATAAAACCTGTCCCACGATATTGATGCGCTTTAAAAAGTCACACATCTTGTCATGAGATAGGTGAGATGTCGTTGAAGCAAACAAGGCGGGGTCGTGGATGGCTTGCTGGGTATTTGGAAGCGCGGCATATTTAGCGCAGTGTGGGGGACATTATTCCAGATTATGCAATAACCAAATCTTGCGCTGGGTACCGGGGTGCCAGAAGCAGGTCCAGGAATGCGGGGTGATGCGATGAAACTCCTCTTTCGTTTTCGTCTCACGGGAAACAGGCTCCTTTAGGTCGAGCTGTCTGTAGTCTTTCTCCATGTTCTTTTATGTGGCTATTCATCCCCACGCGAGAGACTGTTCGACGCAGCTGGCTATCGTCATATGATCAGTTGGATCGCTGACAATACAATAATCGTGTGTATCGTAAGGGTGATCGAATGTTCATCCCTCATGGCTACAGAACTCAAGTTGCATTCAAGTCCACAAATTAAATCCAATAAGATGCGAATGCCAAGTCGCCAGCGAACATTCCCGAGGCCCTACTGAGACGGAAAAACTGCAAAATTTTGCATAAATATCACAAGATTGAGAGGACCGTAAAGCGTATACATGTCCAGCTACGAAATAATCGTCCACTTGAAAGACCGTAAAGGTGATATACTTTCGTTCATTAGCGATGAACCGCGACTCATGAAGTATCTCCTGATAACGAATTCCCGAAGGTAACACCAGCCAATCTATTTCATACAAGCGGCTAAAACACACACTCATGCCTGTACGGCTGGGCCTCAAACTCGGGAGATGGTGGAGTGTGCGCTTTCTGGGCATCCGCAGGGAAACATGTGGTGGAGTGGGTCACCTGCAGAGAATGTTCCGGATTGTTTGAGACAGCTCTTTATAATAGGCCCGGAGCTTACCTCTGATTGGGTCGTGGAATCAATATCCTCAATTCAGCTCAAGTAAATCGTGGCATTGTTTTCATCGGAGGGACACCTTCCGCAATTCAAGGGCAGTGCACAACAGTCACTAAAACAGATTCTAGCAATGGATTCACAACTATGAAGAAATCACATAGAAGAATCGACGTGGGGATTTTGCGTAGACTACTGGTGTGGGAACAGAAGCCTTTCGAGGAACTTCCGCGCACGAGCAACCGGCGATACTTCCAGTAGGAAAGGAAACTCCCAATTATGATGGAATGCAGTGCTGTTCGTAGAGAACGAGATTATGAAGACATCCGACGAGTTCCGGGCTATCAGCATTCCCCTGCGATCATATCGACTCGCACAGGGCTCGCACGATTTCCAAGGAAGCATCGCTCTCACCCATATATAAATTCTCGCTACCCCGCTTGCAATTACTCTGCCTTCTGCCGCATATTAAGACTCCACGACTACCGAGAACAAGTCCTTGGAAAATGATCATCAACGCGGGAGAGAGATCGGTACGAGCTGGTACTCCGTCATACACCTTATTCAACGTGGGAAACATGTCGATGGTCCGTCCTCACCTGGAGGGGATCCACCGAGCCAAATTTGACGACAACCAAAGATGAAAACGTGATCGTGATATCAAAAGCAGATTCAAAAGCAGAGAATCACAAAGGCCATTGGGACTCCCCAATTCACTTCAAAGCAGATGCTGAGTTCCAACAGAAAGTCAACTTGACGACTTCGAGCAGCAGACAGTCTTCACGTGACATAACTACGGAGACATCAACCTTGGAAATTCGAAATTGCTCTACAGAAGGTGATTGAAGAAAGTTAGGTGACATTACTGCAAAGTATTACAACATTAAACCAAAATGGCAAGGATAACATTCTGAAGGAACATGTCCCTAAGGAGCTGCAGCTATTCAACTTGAGCTATCTTGAAGCCAGAGCGTACTGATACAACATCTCGTGTATCTTTTCAGCGTCCTAGCAAGCAAAGCAAGCTGACTGTGAAGATAAGTGCCGACATGGTCTCAATATTGCAGTGCATGCCGGCCTCCTGCCGGATTTCTTGCCAATCTGAGCATTCAAGCCGCGAGGGTTCAGCCATGATATCCAAAAGTCCAACTTCCCTCCCAGATGATTAACTTAATGCAGGAACACTTCTTCCAAAGCCACGGATCAAGGCCGTTGCACCGTAGATCTCCCGAAGTTGAGATATCCGGTATGGTTTTTTTTTGTCACTGGGAGAATCCCGATGTGCGGCGACGTGCAACAAGAATGAAAGGGGCGAATGCAATCTCATCTGCCACTTGGCGTGTCCTAATAGCAGTCCTTGAAAGAATACATGACAATCCCGCACCGAGGATCAGAGGAACAAATGCACCTGCAAACTCTCTGAACTGAGTCCACCACTAAATCTAACAGGCGACAAAAAAAATTCACGCCCAGCTAGCCACTGGCCAATGTCGAAGACATCATTTTTTTTTCTCGTTCTGCTCTATGCCCATGCAAGCAAACGGCAAGCCCAGCTTTCCAACCGAGATACCACCATGCCAACAAACATATTTCAGGCCAGCTAGGGAAACGATCTATAAATGCAAGAACGCACGCTAGCAAGTCTGTCTATATTTTTCTCCTCCCATCACAGCTTTACTCTTGCAGCAGATCAAGGCGCACTCAGATTACCCCGTACACCTCCCTTTCCACCAACTTCTCTACAAGTGACAGTGACGGCAAGATCTCCAGCAACGTTGATCATGACCTCTACCTTGCCACCCTTCTTCACGCCCTTCACGGCTGCCTCCGCAAGCACATTTCCTACTTTCCAGACTTTTTCTCTAACATCTTCTGGGTCATCATCGCTGTCATCCTCGTCTTCATCTTCTTCGCCGTCGTTCTTCTCGCCATTCGTCTTAGGTTTCGGCTCCGGCTTTGTGACTTTGATATGCGAACCACCTTCTACGATCTTAACCAAAACGTCACCACCGTCTTTGGGCGAATTGATGTGGATTGTACGTCTCGCGGGAACAGCGGTCTCTGCTGAAATGATAGGCGTGAAAACACCCCTCGACTCATCTCCAGTGATAGAGAGAACACCAATCGCGTTGCTGAGATGCTTAACCGTGGTCACAGCAGGATGAGTAGATTGCTCGATATCCTCCTTCTCGTATTCCTGGATCAAGCTTGCTTGTAGAGCAGCGCCTCTTGCTTGGAGCTCGGAGGGATTGATAGCTGTGGGTGTGGTAGAGGGGGCAAGGATGGTGGTGGATTCGGCGAAGATAGATCGCATGTTTGATGCAATCTTGGGAGTATGCGAGGTTCCTCCAGACAGAATGACTTCGTCAATCTCAAGGACATCGAGACCAGCCTTCTTCACAACACCTTCAATCAAGCGGTTGAAGCCATCGAAGATCTTGCGGGCAATGGTTTCGTAACGCAGTCTGTTTATTGTAGACGCGAAGTCGGCACCTTCTGCTAAACTTTCAACGCTGAAATTGGCATTAGTCCCAATGCTCAACGCCTTCTTAGTAGCCTCAGCCTCGAGCTTCAATTTTGCCAGACTGCGGTCATTTTCCCGAGGATCGGTTGTGTTCCACTTGATGAACTCTTTTGCAAAGTGATCCATGAGAACTTTATCCATTTGTACACCAGCGAATTCGTAATCGTGTGCAGTAGCTAGAATGGTGTACATTCCTCCTCGAGAAGCGATCACAGCAACGTCAGATCGAGTTCCTCCCAAGTCAGCAACAACGACAGTCTTGTCCGAAACCTTGCTCTCTGGTCGGGCATCGTATGCGAGAAGTGCGGCAATAGGTTCATGGATGAGTTGGAGGACTTCGAGACCAGCATCATTGGCTGCTTTCGTCAGGGCTTCTTTCTGCTTCTCGCTGAAGTCGGTTGGGACTGTGATGACAGCGGAATTGACTTGCTTGCCAGTGAAATCAGTCGCAGACTGGGCTAATCGCTTCAGGTTCCGAGTTGTTATCTCTGAGACAGTGACCGTTGATCGCTCGTCGCCCTCCTTGTCTTGAATCTCGAATGCGACTGTGGACTCGAACTCTTTGGGGTGGGCAGAGGCATGGCAGTGGCTTGGGTCTATCGACTTGAAGCTATCATAGGCATTAGTAAAATCTTCTAGGGCAGGGACAATGTCTTACTCTTTCCCCAGAAAGTCTCTGAAGTACGCGACAGTGTTTTTGCTATTTCTGATAAGCTGTTGCTTGGCTTGTTGACCATTGTATTCTTCGCCGTCAACGTAGGATAGAATGGAGGGAATCTGACGATCTGCAAATTATATTAGCATATTCTCACCCAAGCTACTCCGTTGGAAGGGTACAAACCTCCATCTTCGTTGGCAATAACTTCAGCCTTGTCCTCTGTAGTCGTATATGCGATGGAACTGTTCGAGTTGCCAAAGCTGATACCGATCGCATGTCGCTCTCCTGGTGCTGTACCAGTCGTTTGCCCTTCTGCAGCCATCTTGACAGACTTCAATCGGTCGTTAAGAGATTCAAGTGTGTTGAGCGGGTATGAACTCTCTTAAGTGTTCGTTGCTCAGAACTTTTTTTTCGCATTTCGAGGAAATTTCGTTAAGGTTAGCGCCAATTGGTGCCATTTTATTTTGGCCCCACTTTATTTCCACAAGGCTGATATTTTCTTCCAAGCTCAACATCAGCCTTCTCTTTCTCCAGTCATCAAACAGCAATGGCAACGGAAACTTTTGTCCTCCCAGGCGATACGATAGATGCTGGAGTACTCCCTTCTCACCCTACTCAACCACTCAAACTTGGTCCAGGCCTGCGACATATCCCCCCAAATACAATCACGTCGACGGTGGCTGGACAGCTCTGCACAGACAAGAGGAAAAATGCTGTATGGGTAGAATACAACGGCAGTCGGGTGGGTCTCCATACTGCTTGCCAATCCATTACTAATAGTTCTAGTATATTCCTACTGTTGGCGATCTCGTTATAGCTACAGTACAGAAATCGGGTCTCGACTACTTCTACGTTTCCCTCAGCGACTATACTTCCAATGCTGCACTGCCTCAGCTATCCTTCGAGGGTGCGACCAAGAAGACTAGGCCACAACTCAGTACTGGGGCCTTAGTCTATGCAAGAGTGACGTTGGCAAATAAGCACATGGATCCAGAGCTCGAATGTGTCTCTTCGCCAACAGGAAAGTCTGAAGGGCTGGGGCCACTGAACGGAGGGATGCTATTCTCAATTTCACTAGGGATGGCACGGAGGTTAATGCTTGCGAAGCCATCCGAACAAGGCGATCTGGTGCTCTTAGATGTGATAGGCGAAGGTGGGGTACCATTCGAGATCGCCGCAGGAAGGAATGGAAAAGTGTGGGTAGACAGCAAACACATCAAAACTACCTTGGCGATCGGTCATGCCATACAGGATACTGATACCAAGTCATTGTCCACGGAGGCTCAAAAGAAATTGGGAAAGAAGATAGCGAAAGACGTCAAGGACTTATGAACACTGGAGCCTGCATTGCATGGCGTTGCAAGGCGTTGGAAGGGCATAGGCGGCGTAGAATGGAGGGAGTATAATAAGGAATCCAAAAGTTTTCCAGATGGCACAATTTGAAAACCGCATCTAAGCTCCTAATTTCTGCCTGCGCCATCACTGATTCGGCATACATCTAGGCACTCGGAGCTCGCTCTTGACACCCCTCTTCAAATGCAGATCGTCGATTGCAAAGCAAGATAGTAATAGGATACTTACTTTCCGACATTTTGATGTTGAGAGCGGTCTCAATTCTCAACAATCTCTAAGGTGGCTTCCCACTCAGAGATCAGCTCTCTCAACAGTGCCGAGTGCACCTGAAAATGACCCAGAGTGTGATGTATGATGGCACGCTCCTCTACCAAGAATCTTATGCTGTGGGACTACCCCTCCTTCGAATGGCACTTGCAAAGCGACGGTCTCCTTATCAGATGGATAAGTGGTGTAATGCCCAATTCCTTTTATGTCATTGGCAACCAGAAGCCCGTTAACACCCTCCATAACCCAAGCCTCTTCGTCATTGTACGGAAACGTGATATGTGCAAGTCCTGAGAGCAGCATAAAGAACCTTGTTGACAGTCTCAGCATAAATGTATGGCGTGGCTGCTCGCCAGTTTCTGGGAAAGAACTTACATGGGAGCTGGAGGCTTGTGGATACCTTCCTCAGACCGAGGTGGAAGAACTACATATGTGATATTGGTTGTATGTCCGAGGAAGAGTGATTGTCCCACTGTCGGGTATGTCTTGAAAGGAGTAGAGAACTGCCAGCACTCTAGATATGCGTGGTCATTGTGGTCTGTTACAACAGCTGTAGTAGTAAGATACTGTGTTGCCTCATGGGCACGGATGGTGGATAGCAGGAGGAATGTGCAGAGCGTGTGCAGATACATATTGAGAAGCAAATGAGCTTTGTTCATTGATTGTCTTGAAGGAGAGGGATGAAGAAGATTCCTCGGTGAAAATGGTGTCCCCTTGAGCCAGAACTTGAACAAATAGGGCAATTACTAGAAGTCTAAAATGGCTTAGAACGAGTTTGTAGCCTTTTCCCCACTTCTGCAAGTCAGCTCTTTCTTCAGAGCGTACCTTGGTATTCGCATAGAAGCGTAATTTAAGTCATCGCAAGCATCAATCCCAGACCAATAAGGATCTTATATGATTCTATCTTTCGATACATAATAAGACAGGCTATAGAGTGGCTACGTGTAGAGTCTCAGGATTAGTAGTGCAGCACGAAATAATTCCGCAAGCAACAAGAACCTCCGCATTTGCCCCTTTTTAAGCGAACAGTTTGGCGTACTGTACGATCATGTCTGATCAAAGATTCTGTCTACTATTTTGTACAAAGGGGCAGTGGTGGCCGTATTGAAGATGGCAAACCACTTTAAATTCAGGCCGCGGAGTGTGTATATTCCTAAGCTTGTATGAAGGACGCTCCGGAGTGAGTATAGAATTGCAAAGTCAACAATCAATATGAACAGCTTGGAGAATTCTGAAGTGACTATTCACGGGTTCCAAATTCTTTCCGATCACTAATCTACAACAATTAGACAGTTTTGTGTCGCATTCAATGTTGGGACATTTACATAGGCTTCGTTCACGTGAAGTGTTGACGTCGATTTTGCTTCGTGTAAATACAAACAGGCCAAGCTGCAAACGAAAACTTTTCCCGCAGCCACAACTTTTCGAACATACAAGGCTTTCGAAGCGAATAGCTCTTTCCACCTCATATCAAACATTACCATTGTTTCTCTTCGTCTCGTCTCTCAGCAATCTCCGACTAGTGGAGCGCAGAGTCGCGCAGCCAGCTTTGTTTACTTTCGACCCGAAGGAGATATCAGCAATGAAAACGAATCTGTTTGAAGGCATGCCGACCTCAATTATTCCTGACTCCCAACAAGCCTCCCAATGAAATCCGTCGGTTACCCCTCTTCGGGCTGTCGCAGGGCATGGGCTGGAATGTTGTGGGCAACACGGTGCCACAGCCACCCACCTTCAGCCAACGTTATGAAAGGGGCTTTCAAAAGGTTCGTTACCTGACTCAATACAGCACCATATACCTACATCCCTACTTCTATGATGAATTGAAATACTGTATCAGATATAGCTGCTTGTCGGCCATGTTATCAACAAATCTCTTTCTGAAACAAGTCCTTCACTTCTGTTCGCATCTGCAAGACTTTCGATTGCTGACCACTTTTGTACTTTTAGGTTCGCAGCCTTACTACGACTGTTGTTTTATAATACAAGTTCCACGAAGCTTCGATGAAGGAAGATTCTTCCATATATGGACACTACAAATACTGCAGCATAACCACTTCGAAGGTTCAAGAGGTTAGATTCAGAAACTCCTACACACATCAAGATTATTGGTCTTCCCAAATTCGAATTATGCACTCGCCATACGGGACGCCATTCCTCTCGGTGCTCCCCATCGTGATTATATATATCCAATTGCGCGATATTCATGTCCCGCCAGAACCTTCAAACTCTGGTCCAGGAAATAAGCTGAATAGCTAAATGCTATATTCCATGCCTCGGGGGCTCTGCTTACTCTCGATGTATCAGAGAATTGAACAGTTCACGATTTTGTCCAATGCTCTTCCTGTTAAGGAGAGAAGAGCAGAAAGGTCTGTGGAATTCTTTCACCATTGGTTGACTCTCTCTGACGGTATGTACGCATTTCCCTCCACTGCTACCTACAGCAAAATGATGACTATTTGGTTTTTTAATCAATAATAGTTGCCCCCGCAACTTTGCTGAAACATTGACGCTCTGAATGCTTCCTTCTCCCATTTCTCACCTGCTTACCCAGTGGCATAATACGCTAACCATTCAACAGTCACAGGTGATGGCACTTTCCATCTAGATGGATCTTCAAGTACGAAATCTCTTCTCTTTCTTTATTGACATCGGGACAACATGATGATTCAATGGTGTTCGTTTTGACGCTGTGTGATTAGCACAGAATGAGATGCACAACTTCGAAGCATGGCCCAGGGCATTCGCTTTGTGGAGCATTCATCTTAGACTATAGTCTAAGATCAGAGGAGGCAGCTAACATATGAAGGTACGAGATCTCTTTTTATGCTTTGCTCAAGTTCATCATGATGACGAAAATCTGGATTCGTTCGAACACCAAAATGTGAACAAAGTATATGCTAGAAGTTCTGAGCATGGGCAACGCGTCCTTTTCAGTCTACCGAGTTGCTTCTGCGAAGCCTGCTGACTTCATGATCTTGTAGACCATTATCCAGACCGTCGTGCTTTGCAGCAGACTTCAATCCCACTCCTAATTGCCGACTTCCAGGCTGCTCTTCGGTAAGCTTCGATTTTCCATTCCGTGGGATTCTACAAGCCAGTATGATGAACAAAACGAATCCACAAGGCAGAAACTACAGTGTTGGTTACACGAGACCTGTTCTGATCACGGCAATTTTCTACACATCGCTTGAGCCGCTCCATTGACTCTTTGCTAATTTTGAGGATCTTTAGACTTTAAGCTAGGATCTCGAAATAATTAACGAGGCTCTAATGAGCCCTCATTTGGTGAGGTACTCCTATTTTCCTCATTTTCGTACTTCGTCATGATGACCAAATATTATTTCGGTTTAGTCTGAAAATACAGTGTAGAGCAATGTAGTGAGAGTCTGAGAATCAAACTTATCTTTTCGCCATTTTATCTCTAGGTACGGAGGACCACTAACAAGTAAAAGCAGATGGTAGCAGCTTGAGATCGGCAGAAGGAACGATAAGAGGACGCAATTTGTCGAACCCCAGTAACAACGGTGTTGACACCTGCCATATACATGTAAGCATCGTTGGTTCCCTTATTCTCTTCAAGCCCCCTATGATGAATGCATACTTCCAGAAACTATGCTGTTGGAATTACATTTCGCCATTATTACTCTGATTATGGGCTGAAGAAATCGCTACACAAAGTTCTGACTACTAGGAGAGCCCGGCTGACGCCCTAGAACCCCAGGAATGAGATGATTTGGCATCAACCTGCCTAGTGTGCCAACGCTCTCCACTAGTTTTATTACATTCGTACAAGGGGACAGGAATGAGTACGTGGACAACAGAATTTCTTGTCCTGGAGCTTACTATGATGAACATGTATTTTCTTAACCTACGATGGTGAACGATAATTGTCACTCTGAGGGCCTTTTCTCCTTCCTAGAGCATGTTGATATTGCCTGCACATCTGCTAACATGCTGAGCTCCTAGGGCAGCGAAACAAAGCCATGGCGAGCAGAAGAGATATCCTTTCACGGTTGTAGGACAGAAATCAATCTTCAACGTCGAGGTGAGTACTTTCACAACCTCGAGGATGGCCCAAAAGAGCAGAGGCAAAATCTACAAGTTAAGCATAGAGACAAGCGATGAAGGCAGCGTTAATGACTGAAAACGAACAACGTTGCAAGACCTGCTAAGCAATATCATTCACGAACTTGCAGCTCCTTTGCTCTATCAACTTAGACTGGGCCAGACTTCATGCTTACTCAAGCATGGGCTGGAGATCCTTTGGCCGAGACAAAGCCGGTGGGGACCGATGATATCCAGAAGGCATCTTCGAAATAACGGGTCATCGAAAGTCAGGTGCATGTGCATGTCCGAGGTCGGGATCGTGGCCAGGTACTTGCCTGCATGTGATGATGAATCTGGGGCTGAAGGGCTGAGCGAATATCTTGGTCAGGTGAGACATTTTGATAGCTAGGAATGAAGGTTCCTTGAAAAGTTGGTCGGGAAGTGAGACAATGAGGTGGTATTCGAGTGAGATAGGTCTTTCGTCCTTGAGGCGCTTGTACTCGGTTGTCGGAGGGTATTATCTGGAAGATAGAATCCGGTGAAGCAAAATACTGCTCTTCTTGGACTCCGGCATTTCCTATGGAATTCGCTCGTTACTCGTAGCCATCCAAACATATCAAGCTTCAATCACTGAAAACATCACGGACATCGGATTCGGAAGCAGCGGGCGGGAGGGGTTCTTCGTATGATACAATATGCCTTTCAACCAGCGTTCCCATCCCAACCACCCGTCTCCAAGTCTATGTGCCACGTATCATTCCTTCTCGCCGAACCTCGTCCCTCCTCTAGTGCTTGTCTGCTGGCTTGGCGGTCTTCGCGTTGGGGTTTCGGGGATCGTTCTTGAATTCATCGGCTGCAGTTGTATCAGTATCTGTACATAAGTATCAATTGGAGTGTGATCATCTTACAGGCCATCATAGCAGTAGCGGCTGAGTTGACACCGTAGAGAATGACAAGACCTGTTCCCATATTAGCACTGGCTCCGACTCTTCACCAGTCTTCCCAATCTGTCTGTAACTTCTTTCTGATTCGCTCGAGGGATGTTATGCGTACCAGCAATGTAGAATGGAGCCATTGGCTTAGCTGTTGAAATCTTCATTAGCATTTCTACTCCCCGAAAGCGTCCCATTCCCAATTGACCTACCGACAGGCGCCGGAAACTTCTTCCCTAAGAGAGACATCTTTGTATGTATGTGCGAAGACGAGACGATGTGGCTTCGTGATGGATTGAGGTGTTGTGGACGTCGTCGTTGAAGCTTGAATGAGATTGACCGAGCTGTTTTCTTTGAGCCTCATTCCCGGGGCTGTTGCCTGAGGTTGAAAGCAGAAGCCACTACTTTCTTCTTAGCCTAGCTGGGCTTCTTCCTTTGCCTGAGGCATCATGTAGAGACCCTTTTAGATTATTATAAAACGAAAACAATTCTTTATAGAACTTATAATCTTCGTAAACTAATCTATCCGCAGATCCGTCTCCAACCATCCTTGACTGATTATGGAGGTTCGAATGCCTTATTCCGTCTATGAGTCTGCGTCGTATCATTTCCCGTGCTTGTCATCCTGAAATGGTAGTAGCAGTCGGAGGTCCAAAGTTCTCGTCTGAATATGTCGTTTCATCTCATTCGTCTGGTGCGTGTCTGATAGGGAGGAGTTGAAGACTAGAAGAAGACGAAACACAGAGCGCCCAAGAGCGGTATATAGGGTTTTGCCGACCAAATTCGGACTTGCGCAACTTTACGTTCTTCCTTCACCTTAAGAGTTGAGTCACTCCAGTCTTGATCTCTAGCAACTTGGTGATGGAGCTACGTCGAGGTAGGCAACTCTTTCTCTGAAGAATCGTCTCGCGTTACAAGGGGAAAGTAATCAAGAGCTCCTGGAATCTCCAGCCGGTGTGGTTTGAATCTTCGTGTCCCCCACGATACTAGGAGACCTGTGAGCTCGCAACTTTGTTCTGTAGACAGAGGTACGTTCATCGACACGTCAACATCTCCTGGGCTGAGCGAAACCAGACATGCTCACTGGTGTCTGTCGAGTCGAACCATGCGAAGCACCTTACATACCAAGTTCATCTCATGCGGATCCTTCCGTTTGGCTCGTCGGGCTTCTTCCGTACATAGGAAGCGTGCTTCCTTGACCCCACGTTCCGAGGGCCGGCATACTACCCCGCCAAAGCTAGCTTCGCTGCAACATTGGTCTCGACCTTTTCAAACTCTTTCCATTCTCTGCAATTGTTGGTCATTTCCTTCAGTATTGTATCGTATCATATCTTCATGGAAAATAACAACCAGTTGATTTTGAAAGCACGGCCGGCTCTTACATCATCGACAGCTTCGCAAGGACACAATGGCCACGCATCATCTCGCAAGCTGGGCTTGCAGTCTTAAGTACTCAGACATGCCGCAGAATGTGATTCAAGCTGCAGTAAGAAGCTTCTACAACTGGGCAGGATGTGCCATCGGAGGAAGCAAACATCCTGCAACTACCATTGCAGTAAGTGTATGCTTTCGAACTGAACACAGTGACTAAAGATCACACAGCATAATTCTTTGTCGCCATTCTTTGGCCCTCCCACTGCTTCCTTACTCGGTCATCAGGGCAAGACAAAGATTGATGCTCAGCATGCAGCTCTATTGAACGGCATTGCATCTCACGTACACGACTATGACGATACCCATCTCGATACCATTATTCATCCCACTGGCCCAGTAGCAAGTGCATTATTGGCCGTAGCTGAATGGAAAGGGGGCTTCTCTGGCAAAGACTTCTTGTTGGCTTTGATAGTTGGCATTGAAGCAGAATGTAAAGTAGGATTAGCTGTTTGGCCAGAACACTATGATGTCGGATGGTAAGTGAGGAACAAAATGACAAGTAATATCGTCACTACATGCGATGTACTGACTCCATGTCAGGCATATCACCTCAACCACCGGATCAATCGGTGCTGCAGTTGCAGTTTCGAAACTTCTTGGACTTTCAATCTCTCAAACAACCAATGCAATAGGAGTGGCAGCAACGCAAGTCGTCGGGCTGCGAGAAATGTTCGGCTCTCATACCAAGTCATTTCATCCTGGCCGTGCAGCCCAAAGTGGTTTAATGGCAGCTGTTCTTGCTGAAGGGGGGTATACGAGTAGTGAGCAGGCCTTGGAAGCAAAGAGAGGGTGGGCGAATGTCGTTGGCGTGACGAAGCCTGGAATCGCAGCAGACCTCGACAAATGGCTCGGAATGAATGCGGAAGCGAGCGAACACGGCGTAGGTCTCTTCAGCGCAGGGGTTGGGAGATGGGAGATTTTGAGGAACAGCTTCAAGCCATTTCCCTGTGGTATCGTCATACACCCCATTATTGATGCCAGCACGCAAATACATGGCGATATGAAGACTCAAGGCTTAGATGCACAGAACATCAAGTCTGTCCATGCGAAAGTCCACCCTTTAGTACTCGAGCTTACGGGCAAACGAAAACCGAAGGACGGACTTGAAGGAAAGTTCAGTGTTTTCCATGGGGCTGCAATCGGTCTGATATACGGCAAGGGCACACCTTCGGAGTATGAAGATCATGTCGTTCAAGATGCAAAAGTTATTGCCATCCGGGACAAGGTCAATGCGGAATCTGACAAGAGTCTTGGCGCAGACGAGACGATCGTGGTGGCTACGATGAGTGATGGCAAGATTCTAGAGAGACATGTGAAACACGCAGTGGGAAGTCTGGAGGTTCCAATGGATGATGGGATGTTGCAAAGGAAGTTCGTGGACCAGTGTGCTGCTGTGCTGGGAGATAGGGTACAAGCTGCGAGCGAGATTTGTTGGGATATTGAATACGCCAAGGATGTGGCAGATGTTGCAAAATTACTCTGATCGTGACAAGGGCTGGCCTTGTAGTATAGCCCAAGCAAGAGATGCCCCACACATCAGTTTGAGAGCACGTACATTACTTGCGTGATTTCCTTTTTCTTCTCCTTGGGGCAAATCATTGTCTATCAGAGCCAATACTCCCTTTCATCCATGTTTCAGACGAGTATCATAGGAAGAAAACTTTCTTTAAAACTTTCTTATTATTGTTGATCTATTTTGGTGTCTTCGGCGATGGTACTCCGTATGTTGGAAATGATGCCCGAAACCCCTAAAATCTCCCGAACAAGGCTGCTGCGTGGGCTCTTGGGGTTCCCGGCGCTAGCTTTGTCCAGGGCCTCGAACGCTTGACTTCTGAAGCTGCCTCTCAACAAACTTCTCTTCCAATCAACGCGATAATTGAGATTCCGATTAAATTCTCGCAGTATGTCGACTATTATCGGTTCTCTCTCTCTCTATACATATATATATTGTATCTTCTCGAATCGAATATTGAAGCTGCTCAATGCTTCGCCTAGAGTTCATCCACGTCAGTAGCATATACCTATCGAATGAATTAGTATAGGGCGTATCAAAACCTAATTGTTACAATTCACGCTCACCTTATGCTATTATAAGCAGAAGGGACGAGGCACGCGTCTTTCATATCGTTCTCGATCTCCAATTCCAATCACTGTGTATTCCCTATCTTTGATCGTGGTTGCCGACAAAATAGAAGCAGTGGGCTCAACCCTAATCATTCGGTCTCTCTATTCCTCCATGCCCGAGAGATACCCTTCTATGATGACAACACATTCATAATGTCTCCAATGGCTTACCTGTCGTGCAAGCTTAAGAGGAGTGTTGCTTTCATCATCTTGCAGTAACATCCTCACGCCAGTTCAAGTCCAGTTGCATCATTGCGGAAAGTATTCTGCCTTTGTGCACAAGCTCTGGGACCAATGAACAAACGCTGATATCATCCGTTTCCCGATCTTTCTGGTTGTCAGCTAAAATTTCTTATGCGAAAGAGGCGCAGATCTCAGTCGGTGGTCATCGAGCATCGGCAGGGGACGGTGGGGTTGATGACGCCTTGTCACATTTCATTTTTTAATCACGGAACCCTTGGCTACCAACCGCTATTGTTGCTTTTGCGGATCTGGGCCATTTGGCGGGGAAAATGATCTCCACATTGGACCAAGAAGCACAAGTTAAGTTGTCGGTTCTATCTTTTTGCTTTTTGGTACTTGTCTCAGAATGGTGAATAATTTATCGCTATCAACAATTTTGGAAGTAAAGCGCTATTCAGTGTCAAGAAATAGCCCAGCTAGTTTACAAGGAATAGTAGTCATCTATCAGACATTGTAAATAATTTTCAAGGAGAATTCCCGTGACAGTCACAAATACTAATGTGTTTCCTTGCTACTTGCGTCTCGTTGCAAATATTGGAGTAATGGCAGGTCGGCAAGACCGCAATCTCAGATACAACTTGAAAGGAACGGCGTACCAACCCACTTCCCGAAAATTGTGTCTGCTATCCTCAGTGCGTTGATTGCTTATAATTGAACGCTTTCCCAGCATCGAATTGGACAACATTCGTGGCGCCTCCGGCGACCCGAATCTGGTTGGAAGTGTTGGATTTCGAGTTTAATAAACGTTAATATTAATTAAAAAAACGCAAAACTACGGTCATTAAATAATGCGTTATTTAAAAAAAATTGTTAAATTAATTAAAAAAAAAATTATAAAATTTTGTTTTTATAAGAAATTAGATTAATTTCAAATTTTATAATATACTATAATTTCATTTAAAAAAGTTCACCTTTTTATTAATATTATAAGACTTAAATATATATTCAATTTATAAGCAAACTATGCTTAGCTGCGAATGCTTAAAGTGAAAGAAATAAACTCGAATTCTATGGAAAAAGCCCGATGATCTCTAAAAATTCCATAGACCGGGTAAAATTCCATGGAATTGGATTCCGATGAACGGGGTGCAACAGGGCCCCAACTCAACGGCAATCTGCAGCACCCAAATGTCGACCATCAGGTACGTACATTCTGCTTTGAGCATTCCGTTTTAACTTTTCTAGATTATTATGGAACCTTACGATTACGTCTCGGCACTGCCCTCAAAAGGTCTAAGAAAGGGCTTGCTCGACGCCTTGAACAGCTGGTACTGCTTACCAGAGAAGCCACTCGCTGCTATTGAAAAAATAGTGGATACTCTTCACACCATTTCCTTGATGTAAGTTCAAGCCTTTAATAACGATTTTACGAGTACTAATACTCGAAGGTTGATATCGAGGATGGCAGCTCAGAGAGACGTGGAAAGCCTGCCTCTCATATCATTTTTGGTGCCAGCAAGACTATTAACTCTGCCGATTTCATGATGATAACTTGCCTCGAGAAAGTATCCCTTTTGGAAAACAAAGCCTGCTTGGCTGCTTATATTGGTTTGCCCTGCTCTCTTCAGACTTCTAGTAGATGCTGATACTGTCGGATAGAGGAGATGAAGGAGATATACGTTGGCCAGGGACTTGATCTTCACTGGACACATCACTCAACTCCGCCCACCAAGGATCAATACTTTCTAAGTATTAAGCAAAGTATGTATTCATTCCCGACTTATTAGATTGGAGATCTTCCCAAGGCAAGATTGCAACGTGACGGGAGCTGACGCTAATACAGAAACTGGAGGACTTCTTCGACTAATGGCTAGACTCATGCATGCCTGCTCCATTGACACTAGATCATCGAGCGCAATTGCAACCGATGCTTCCGATAGCTTAGCAAAGATCAATCAATTGATGATCATGATTGGTCGCTATTTCCAAATTCGTGATGACTACAAGGATGTTGTCTCCGCAAAAGTAAGCCCACCTCAGCATAATCCTTAAATTCATTCTGACAAACAACAGGATGATATAGTCTCTGGAATTCAAGCTGATCTCGACCAAGGCAATTTTATTCTTCCTCTCTTGCATCTCTTGTCCCAACAGAAAACTATCCACAGTACACAGCTACTCAGCCTCATTCAAGCTCGCGAAGAAGTCAAAGGAATGTCTCTTGCCATGAAGGGTCATATTTTGGATATGCTGGAGAATGCGGGAAGCTTGGAGTATACGAGAAAAGCATTGGAGAAGTTGTATGAGGAAATATTGGGGAAGTTGAAAGATATTGAGTCGGACTTTAGAGGTGAAAATGCGGAACTGAGGCACATCTTGGCTAAGATCAAGCTGTGACGGTAAAATGGGAATGCGCTCTGGTGGGAGTAGTCTTCCTAGAAGAACCATATGATATAGGTAGCTAGCGTGAGACTTTTAGAACAAATGTGGTTGATTATTCTTAAAGCCATTATGCCTAGAAGACCAGATCCTCACGAGGCAATGCCAATGAGTGAAATATAAGCCTGTGATAAGAAAAAGCCCGTCCTGATTATGCTGATAGTTCGATGCTCGAAATCGTGTTGGGTAGGTAATGCGGGCCGCTCGATTAGCCGAATTCGCTACCGTAAGCGAGCCTCCTCCTATTTTCTGGCCTTGAGCATGGTCTACCCAGGTGGCTTCGGAGATTGCACAACAAACATACCAAACCGGATCTGATTATTGATAGGATCAAGCGTTTGAACATGGTCTGTTTTAACTACCGCCAAGATTAAGATTTCACCACACCGACAGACAATCGATAAGCGCAAGTCGCAAAGTCAATCTTGACCTACAACGAAATCGAGTATATATGGGTTTGAAAATTGTATCTGTTTAGACTGGATTATCCGATACAGAAATTCTTTTAAATGCATAAAGAGGGGAGTTGGGCATCACTTTCGCCTATGATATTTGAAAGTCAACAACCAACCAGAAATCCGTGAAGTTAAGCATATATTTGTGTAGCCACTTTTGATAAGTTGTGTGTCTTGCTGGCATAATGACGTAAGTGAGAGAGTGGAGGCCACCCCGGTCTTACAAGAGCAGACATATTTAGATTGTTGATTCTGATTGAGTTATCATTAGCATTAAAGACGAGATACACGTCATAGCCGGGAGTTCCAAGTTAGGACATTAAACATTAGTGAATAGGTTGAATTAGCGTACAGTTCAGCCTAGTGGCTTCCGTAGGAGTTTTAGCGTGCCCATACAGCTGTATATAAACCTTTGATTTTCCACAGCTTCTAAAATTCCTTCCACCCTCAACCCAAACTTTCTTCGACCACTTTACAAAACTACCTTCCTCCACAACAGTTTCGATCCTCAACAACCTTCTTACATACAATCCTTAATAACAACCCTCAACTCACACGTAAGTTCCGCTCTCTCTTCTCTTTGCGCATCTTGAACAATCACCTAATATTACCCAAGCGCAACACCTACAACATGGCAGAACCTCTCCCGAACCTCAACCCTGCTGTCGAGGATGGCTTCGATAGCGATAATACCTCTTCTACCGTGACTACTCCCAGAGGCTCGACCCCAACCTCCCCTGTGCTCAAGCTTGCCGACGCTGCGGATCACTCCACTATTTCCCTCCCTGAATCAGTCAACAACCATGCCGAGCAAGGCGCAATGGAGGCCAACTCCATGCATAGCGCTATGACCCAAGGCACTTCAACCGAACACATTGCCTCGAAGGATGAACCTCGTACCATGAATAACAGTCTTGAGCGAGGTCTTTATATGCCTGGCTGGGGTACCGAGGAGGATTCAACCGCTGCTTCTCACAATGTGGAGGCGGAGTTACTAGCTGCGGCGGCCCAAGAGCAAGCATTTGCTATAAGCAGGTCTCTGATGGCTCACGAGCAAGCTATGCAACCTCATCCAATGGATCCTATTCAGCATCATCCGGCTCCAAACTGGGGTAGCATTCAAGTCAATTCTTATGAATCTGATGCGCCTACTGATGCTTCTTTCAGTGCACGCCAGCACGCTTCGTTGAACGAATTGGCCGTTGCATCTTCTGCTGATAAGGGAAATAATCGAGTTGAGGATCACTCTACCAAGAGTCTTTATGATGCTCTCAACACCGTCAGCATTGCTTGCTTTGGCTCACGTTCCAGCACAGATGCGGGCAGCGGGGATGCTCCTGTTTGCACCCGACCTACCTTCCACAACGACGAAGTCATTGTTTCAGCTCAGACCAAGCTCGCAAAGATCGTCAACACTCCATCTTCAAGTCGTCACTCATCTATGATGAACCAAGACGGTGCGTGCAGTAATGTAGAGAGCCGTGAAGGTCGGCAGACTGCGGAAAAGGGAGTTCAAGCTACCGGTATCGCCGCTGCCTCAAGTCAAGCTAATGTGGATGGAGTTCCTCGTGTCAACACGGTCAGATATCCCCGTAGCTCTATCTACTCTGGAAACGCCAATGCCTCGAGCTCCGTTCATGCTGCTGGTGTTGAGTGCCTCCCTACATCTCCAAACATGTCCCACGCAGTCCCAAAGAAGACTATGAAGCACCTCATGACCAGTGCTACATCAGATCCTCGTCTTAGATACGATGTTCAGAAGTAGAACACACAAGGGGCTTGGTTGATGAAGGATTTTGGTTTCTTCAGCAATGCCGTTGGAAAGGGCAAGGCTACACAGAAGGTGGATGGCAATTCCGGTTCGGGGAGCCAATTCAAGCCAAAGGTCACCATGGATCAGGATAATATCAAGCCACGTACCGCACGTACCATTCCAGTGTCTGCTGCTGTGCCGTTTTTCCGGTCTAAGAACGGACCAGATCCTGTAGCATCCGTCAAGGAGCCTTCTAACTGTGTTCAATCTACTGGTGAAGCTCCGCTTTCGATTTATGGTAGTGTTCTTCCTGATGCTGGTCAGTCTTCATTGCCCTATTCTGTTGTGTATCCGCGTGCTGGACTTTCTGGTAGTGCCAATCAACACCCAGTAATATCCCCTACTCAAAACAAGCGCGGGTTAGTTCTCGAGGGAGCTGACAGTCGATTCCACATCTCACCAACTGCCGCCTCTTTCCCCTTGACCATCCCATTCTACGGAAACCTGTATCCTGGCAACGACCCGGTTTTCCAGACTCTTGAAGACCTCGTCAACTGCTTGGCTAAGGTGGTTAATGCTGCCGAATCTCTCGAGTCAACTGTTGAATCTCTCCAAGCCGAGAATGAGCAGCTGCGCAAGTTTCACATGGATACTTTGGTCATGATTGGAAAGATGATCACTAACTACAATGTACTTGGTGCTGGCACTCCTGGTGTAAATCCACACCGCCTTCCGGGTGTCGCAAAGCAACTTGAGATCTCTCAACTCCCCACACAAGTGGTTCCATTTGCACGCATCAATGGTGATGGAGTCATTCCTTACCATGGTGGACGAGGATTTCCTGCTTCTATGCTTTCTAATGGCCAAGATACTGCTCTACCTGGCTCAGTCTCTGCTCATCCGCGTTCTGTTACGGTCATGAAGAACCCCGCTCGCCAAGTTCATGGAGACAGAAACGACCTTAACATGCCATTTAAGATGGGCTCTCAAGTTCCTGCTCACCGTAATGGAGTTCCGCACTATGAACACTTCGTCGCTGAGCCTAATCCCCTCCCTGCTAACGCTAAATTCACTATGCATGGTCCATTGCCGTCTATGGCCTCCACCGGTCCTCGTGCCTCCAACGCCCACCATATGCAGCCAGGTGCCGTTTGTCCCAGTGGTGGCTTCAACTGTCAAGGTTCTCAAGTCAGTGGCCCCAACACCGTCCAAGTCACAGACTTGCGATCTCGTCCCGCTTTTCGTAGTGGTGTCTTCAATCACGATGTCTCTCCAAGCCGCGGTCTAAGAAACGTGTCGGTCGATTCTTTGAACATGCATTCCAGCATCTTACAGCATTGCGTCAATCCCATCATGGCCTCTAAACCTGCTGTGTTCTACCCGCCCAATGGAGTCAATACTTTCTATTCTGGAGGAGGCGCCGGCTTGGGTTCTGTTGGCAACGTCGACACCACTACTGACCTCTTCGAGTTTCATATGGACGCTGTTAATTATGAGGATTCCTTTGATGCAGACCTCTCAACTGGCTGTGACATGGGTAACCATGGCTACGACATGGACCTGGGTCTGCCTACATACTTCGGTCTCTAAATGCAAAGTTCTTTCAATGGATCGTCTACGAGTTGGTAGGATCTTAAGGGGCTTAGGGAGTGCGGTGATAATGGGGTGGCATTCTGATTGTTCATTACAGCGGATTTCATTTTGGCTGTGATGGGAAATGGACGTGGTCGATGAATTGGCATGCGATGGTTATTGAAGCGCACAAGGTCTTTTTCTATGATGGTAACTAGATGGTCTAGGGCTAGCAAGAACCTGCCGTCCTTAAGATAGCAGACAAATAACAACAATGAAAAGACGTTGATCATGAATTACTTCAGAAGTTTGATAACAACACCGACCATGAGAGATCTAGAGCGCTGTGTGACATGCTCTCCTACTGCTCTGCGAGTTCTTCCATAAATCCGAGTATTGGATAATGCACATTGAAACGTACCTAGGTAGGATTTTCCTTTTTGTGAAAGATGCAAACTTCAGTTTGGATAATGGTATGACACTATGGAGATGAAGATTTCTAAAAATAGGCTAACAACAAATGAGATATTCTGACGTAGCTCTGCTTCGCAAGGCTGAAGAGCCCAATACAAAATTTCGCGAATTCTTCTTCAACTCCACACAACACGACAAAGAAGGCAAGAGAAAGTTTCGATCACCGCCGCCATGCGTACTCACGAGAGGCACGTAAAGCACGGCCATCGCGATATCCTTCTGCAAGCTCCGAGAAAGAAGAAAAGCAAAAAGAAGAGCAGAAAGTCGAAGAGCAAAAAGAACAGCAGAAAATTCAAGACCAATGTCGAAGCCATCAAGTCAAAGATCGCTGTCGCCAACAACGCAATCCACCCTCCTCAAGTCCTCAATAATCCAGCACAAGAGCCAAGCAGGAAGAACAAATCACGACCTCTTGACCTCGCCAAGAAGATCGCCAAGTATCTCTTTCCGCAATGGTACACTTGCCATTGGCTGATCAAGCAACTCGATGTACGTCCTGCTACCTTACCTTCAGCGCCTAGAGAAGCAATGCAAGCCCTACCTTGCAGTAGGTCCCCAACAACCTCCTGATCTTCACCATGCTGACTTTTAAAGAATCCGAAGCTCGCTAAATCGAAGAAAGCTCGCAAGGCAGGAATGGACAAGATCATGTCCGAGTTCTAGCTAGCCCAGAAAGAGATGAGATATCTGTTTGGACGGGTTGGCAAATTCGAGACAGAACAACAAACCAGAGTTCACGGGATCCGTGAGTGCTTGAGTGTCACCAATAGCTTGACCATTGAAGGTCTTGATCGTCAATATCGTGTCGTCAATGGCATCATTCCGGCGCCCCTATCATTGGAGCTAGATTGGGAGCATGATGAAGAGGTCATGGACGTGGAGGAAGGTCGAGCTGTCTGTGAAGGCGGATACGGTTTTTATCCCTTATTCGGCTGATTCTGGGAGATTTGCTAACTTGTTGTCTAGAAGCAACCGAACTCACCTCCGAAATCCGATTCCTGAAGAAGCAATTAGTTGTCGAGGCGGCTTTGAGTGGGGCAGTTATGTTGAGATTGGAGAGGTTCGGAGGACATATGGGTTTGGAGGGAGGAGACTTGAGTTGTCGTATTGGGGATACAACAACTAGCAAGTATCTTGCAGAAGTTGAACCTGACTCGAAGCTTGCCGCTGTTGCAGCGAGGAGCTTCTTGGCTGATATTGTGACGGGCGAATTCTTAGCGCTTGATAAAGATCTATCTCCAGAGCCGAAAGACGCTGAGGCTTATTGGCAAACGTCCAATGTAACAAAAGCTATACCAAATCAGTGCACAGCCTGTTCCTACGTTGATTGTAGAGGTTCTGTTTGCGGGGTTGCCAAGACCAAGCAACGACCTCGATACCTTACGAGGTGCAATCAATGTGGGTTCAGTGGCCACATAGATAGTGAATGCAAGAAAGGAATATCCGTCAACATGAACAATCGAAACCATGTAAAGTCGTGTTCTCGTTGCCATAGGACCAGTCATGAGTACTTGCAGTGTTGGGTTGCATTCCCTTCCATGAGACCTATGCGGATGAAGGCTATGGATATCTATCCTAGGCTTTTGACCGCTAAGTTTCGCGAGTCTCTGATGAATCCTTCGTGATACTTCAAGCTGATGCTACTGTTGTGTGTTGGTGAAAGGCATTAGGGAGATAAAGTTCGGCATTGCCCAGTACTCTGAAAACTCCAAGCATGTCTCGTAGATAGATTTGGTGGAGACGCCTGCAACACTGACGTCAAAGCGTAACACATTCCATTAAATGCTGATCTTTAATGGCGAGTTGTGGTATGTGAACATGGAAATGTGGAAGGTCCCGCCCACAATGATAACCTAGATCCAAACCAAACAATGTCGATCGCGATTCGTGCGCATCTCACCGCGGACTATTCAGAAGACCGAGACTGATTTGGTCCAGAGCACGTTTGCTATGACCATATCAGAAGCAGTGAGACTGATAAGGGGCCAGTCCATTTCCAACTTTCGATAATCTATACTCAGGCTTTACCCTAGTCCTCGAGGGGAAATGAAGCTTCGAATATCAGAGTAAGTATTATCTCTACGACTAAATGGGAGGTGAATCATCTCGTAAAATACCTTGCCTTCTATTTTCCAACCAATTTCATACCAGAAGGCACGCTCGATTCGGATCAGAGAACCATGTCTTCCAGCTACGATGACCGGCATAAAGAGGACCAAAGGGCCGGATTCTTGCTTCAGATCATGCTTCATTGAACTTCCTGTCTGAAGAAGAGCGTGAACCTGATACTTGGAATATCAAGAGAGTCTCAGTGAATACGATAGGCAATGAGTAGAGTGGAGTGCAAAGCATGGACAACTAATGACCTTTTATCTCACTATCCCAAGGTGACAGGTGCTTTCTTCCTTCCTTCCGAGAACGGTGTGAACTCGACAAATCTCTGTTCACGTGAATGAATTGTAGCCTGATTTGAACTTTTCCTTTCTCAAAATCCTTAGCGCGCTTGGATTCGTGCCTACAAAACAAACAACACCTCAACTTTTTCCAATCTTTTTTCCTTTCTCTCCACCAACCTTGGCTCTCCCAACCTCCTTCCATCTCCCCGGTACATACACAGATTGCGTGGACCTGCGCGTTGAATTGTGTAACAACATGTAAGTGACAATGTTGTTACAGTCCCCCCAAGGCCGAAAGTTTTGCTGATCTTGGCAACAAAACAGAACCGATAACAACTCTTCAAGCTTGACAACAGGGCCATGGATTCCGATCAAGAGATTCACCCCAGCGGCCGCGCTGAGACACAAACAGTGACCCCGGAAATGGTTGAGCTGTCGGTACAACTCTTCCCAGAGCTGCTCGACTTCATTCGCCTCCGGGATCAGCTGAGTTTCATCCAGTACAGACGTATGGAGCTCCTCGCTACGGAGGTGAGATCCCCATCAAATTCGTCAAATGTCCAAAGCTAATATCATCAGCCTGCAAGCATTGAAGAAGCCAGTAAATCCATGCAAAACGAAATCAAGCAGAGTGCTGAGATTTGTGACGAGATCGCCACTTTCCAACTCCAACGCATCATGTCTGCCAAAGGACTCCGAGAGGAGATTAGTCACGCACATATCGCAATCGAAGACATCGAAGAAGGACAAAAGCAGGCCACTGCCGTGAACGAAGCACAGATCATTCGTGAAGGTGGAATGCTGCCAGCGAAGTCCCATGCAGAGCATTGGGAGGCAGAAACACATGCTGACGACAATGTTCCAAACAATGTTGATCTTGATTGTGGTAAGTGGCGGAACTCTCAGCACAGCAGAGTATACTGACAACGCCACAGCGGTCGAAGAGCTGCGAAACCAAATTGACGGTTTGCGGGCTCGCTTCAACTTTGAGTGCACCTTACATGGCATGATGCAGAAGTTGAAACTCGAGTTCGCAATCAATGCCAATCTTGATGGCGCTGAACTTGACAAATTTGTCTCGAGCACTGACGACGATCAAGAGATGCGGCTTGGCCGATCTTCTCTGCCTAACGCGATGCCTATGATGAACGACTTTGTCAAGGGCGCTCTCAACCCCAAGTTGAAGGACCTTGGTATGGCAATCCTCTCCACCCATTTGAAGGAGGACAAACCCTACACGCTTGAGTATCTAGCCCGATGTGGGTCACCTAAGGCCTGGAACAGCGAGGAACTTAATGACATTTTCAACACCCCCGAAACCGAATCTGCTCCGCCTACTCCAGTAAATGAAGACTGGGCTGAGCCACCTATTCCATGCTTTACATGTGGCCAGACGGGACACGCAGCAAAGGACTGCCGTGTTGTTGATTTCCCTGCTGAGACTGAGGCCCAATACTTGGAAGCCCCAGAGTCGAAGGCTAACAACGAAATGCCAAGCACAAAGTTGTGGGTGGAGAAAGATGTGTATTGCGATAATTGCGGCATGTACGGTCATTCGGAAGACTACTGTAACCATATTTTTCCGGAAGAAGAAAAGCCGAACTATTGCAACCAATGCAAGAAGCACGGTCATATGGAGGACACATGCTGGAGACTGCACCCTTGGCTGAAGGAGCAGTTCTTGAAGGAGCAGTTCTTGAAGGAGCAGTTCTTGAAGGAGAAGGAAGAGAAGGAGAAGAAGACGAGATGCTTGGATTGCGGAAGAGTCGGCCACGAACGCAGATTCTGCTACAAAGTCCACCAATACAAATGAGAATGAAACAAAGATCTGGTATCTCCGCAAGGCCGAATAGATGGGGATATTTGGCTGGGGAGTAGTATGGGAGAGTTTCATATGTCAAAGAAGTACCATGGCGTGCCTGGGAGTTGATTTGACGTATGTATGGAGATGTCCAACCAGTGATAGTGTATTAATTCAGGTAATGTAGAGTAGCATTTGTTAAAATGAGTCTTCTAGCCTTTGCAGCAGGGGACGCTTTTTGAGAATGAGACCGAATGTGTAATTAGAGATCAATCAAAGCAAGCTGTACAAAAGGAGTATGCATTGGGAGTGAATAGTGTTTATGACTGATTATGTATGACATGCTAATTCTGCTCGTGAGCCGACAAATCAAGAGCGAGGCAATTTCGATGTACAAAGCATAACATAAAACGGTCATATCAGGACCTGAAAGAATGGCCGGCTGAGCAAGCCAGAAGAAGGTATAACTTGCCATCGTCTTAAACATTTTGCGGCATCTCTAGTCAATGACTCTAGTGGCCAGCAATGCTAGGCTAGGAACAGACTTGAAGCACAAGAAAAGACCTCGTTTAAGTGAAGCAATTTACTGACTTGACTGGGTCCGTTTGGAATGGTCTACAGAGACCATTTCAAGCCAGACCCCACTTCTAGGCTTATCTCCTAGACCTTTGATTCTCCCTTCAGAGTTGGTGGATTTTTCGGTCCACGAATCCGACCATAGGGTGTTAACTCCTGATTTCCTCCTTCCCCTGTTCCGAAGTCTGGATCTTGCCCATGGCCTTTGTCTTCGGCTTCCGCTGTGTGGGGTATCTATGACCAAACACAGTGTATTCTTCATTAGTCCAACATTCGAACCATGGTCCTCAACCTAAGCTCACACCAACCTCCAAACAACTCGTCCTCCTAACTCTGCTCTCTTCCACAAGTTCTTGTCCCTCTCCATCCGTCCCCTTGTCAACAACATCATCAACAGCCCCCACACTACCAGTCCGAATCCTAACCACAATTCCATTTTGCTCCTGCCACCAGATCGCCAGTCGTAATAGCTTCTCGATTGCCTTGCCAGTAGCTTTCATGACAACTTCCTCGTATCTAGTATTGCTCTTGTTCCTGACACCTGCTTCTATACCACGGAGCAGTTTCTTGTCTCCGCCAGAGATTGAGAGAGGTCCGGCCGCACGGTTTTCGACGTCGGAGAGAAACTTCCGGACTCGCTTTACGATCGCAATGAATGAGGAACGAGCAGATATGTACACGACTTTCTGAGAGGACGCTCCTCGGCGGGGTGCAGTGATCGGGGCATGCAAGAGGGGGCGCTTTTGTATCTTCTGGTCTATAGAGGCATAATTAGCTAGCTGTGGGCTGGATATCAGAGCAAATCCCTACTCGACGGAAGCTTTGGGAGCTTCTTATGTCCTTGCTCTTTGGACTTCCCAGGCACTTCCTTCGCCATATTATCTTAAGGATAGAGGTGACTTGAACTGTTGGAGTTGTAGAATTACCCCACGAATCGATGTGATGATGTTAAGCACAGAACATCGCCAACCGAAGTTCTACCGGTCGACATCATGAGCTTCCCAACACGACAACTTTACTCCATTGTATTCCCCAAATACACCCATGGCGACCTCAGTATGGCCTCCGCTACCTGTAAACGAATTGAAAGCTGCCGAGGATGAATCTACTGTACGCATTCTCCCTTATCTCGTCCGATTGCAAACTCCAAAGCTGGGAGAGCTAACGGACATGCGACTCAGGAGAGAGAGCTTTCCTGGCTGCTTGACAGTCTGCAGGAAACGCTCGCGAGTTTAAAGACTGGACTAGAAGAGTGCTATGCATTATTAGCACCGATAGAGCCGGGTAGCACATTAGTGTTGAGTAGCCCGAGGAGTGAAAGTATCAAAGGACATATCACTAGGATTGGAAGTCGGATTGTGAAAGGCGTACGTCTCTCATCTCCCGTGCCTCTCTACTTCTATTTCGTAGATCTAATATACAACCTCAAGAAATAAGCTAATGCGAGCCGCCACAGACTGTCCACCTAAAACTCAAAACCCATCCTCCCCTCGTCCTCTCCCTCTCCTCCACCGACCCTTTAGTCCTCACCCCGCTCTCCTCTCTTCGTACCCTTCTCAACCAAGCTCTCGACTGCGTAGACATCACCCGCTGGACAGGCGACCGCCACTCCGCGCCCTTCATATCCTCCCAATTACTCCTCCTGCACGGTATCCTTCTCGAAGCCCTCTCTCTACTGAAGGGCAACACATTCCACACACATCCTGCCTCTACCTCTGCGAATAGCTCCAGCACAGAGTCCAGCTCAGGCGTTGACAGGAGTGGAGGCTTGGGATTAGGTGCTTCAGGAGGCAGAGACGAGTGGACCAAAGACCCTCCTTCACCTACATCTTTCACTCCAGCTCTACCCTCTACCCTAGCTCTGAATCTAGATCTCTCAGACTCCTCTCTGCTGCTCACGATTCGAGTCCTGGAACCTACGTCCCAGACACCAAATACGTTTACTCGCTTCGCCGCGTTGACGGGTATGACGAGGCGGTTGGAACATGATGAGATGGATGCAGTGTTTACGTACAGAGGAGAGGAAGTTAGGGTTCGAGAGAAGGTTAGGGTGGAGAGTAGTGCTGATCCTAGTTTGTTGAGTGTCGGGGCTAAGTTGGGGCAGATTGAGAGGGTGGTGGAGAGTTGTAGGGGCGGGCTTGGAGTGGTCATAGGGAAGCCTGAAGGAGAGGAGGATTGAGTGGTCAACCAAGTGTTGAAACATTGATATGGGACTTTAGGATATAGGTGTGGATAGTCACGGGAATTGAGAATGGGAATGAGGCTACGAGGCGTAGTGTGCAGCGTGGGGTTGCATGAGGCTTGCATTGGCTCGAATCTTTATTCATACCTCGACTGTACTTGATGATACCCTCGAAGTTGGAGTAAGGAGCCTTGGATTTTGATAGGTTCACAATGAAAACAGCAGTGACATTGACGGATTGAGGTTCCTGAATGATATAGTATTCTTTCCTCTAACGCCTTCAGAAGGCCACTGTTGATAACCCAACAACCACTAAGAAGAAAGCAACACAAGGAAAGCTTGCTATCGTTGTGGCTGATATCTCCGCCTAACATACACAAACACACTCTTCTCGCCACTGCATATCTCTAGCCGGCTCTGTATCTCGTTCCACATATGTATGCATCTAAGCCACAGGACTCCAAGGCATTGGGATCAGAATACGACTCTTCATGCTCTGGATCAGCGGCACAGTCTTGTGAACAGTGTCTCCCCATCCCTCAACATTCCAGCTCTTCTCTCGTCTGACCTTTCGCTCCTCGAGATCTGCGAATTGCCAGAGATGATGAACAGTGTTAAGCTCTCCAATCTGCACGAACCATGCTCCTACTCCCTCCATGACCTCTCGTCGTGCCTTCAAGCCTCGACGCCAATGTGTCTCCCATTCCAGCAGATTGCCTGGGTGCAGAGTATATGATCGGAGCTCGAAAACACCACCAAGTTGTCTAGGAGCAGTCGTGGGCCAGAAGGAAAATTCTTGCATGAGGGATACTCGTTTAGTGGTGATGAGAGACTTGAGCTTCTTGTCGAAAGCAGGGAATTCGGGATGGTTGGCAATCGAGTGGAGGGAGTCGTGATATCCGTGGTATCGCTGGTATTCCCAAATATGGACTTATTGGTTAGCAATGGCAGATTGAGCAGAAAGAAGGCAAACCAAATGTATCACAGTCTCCAACTTCAGTCCTCCAGCTTCCAACCAGATGGACCTTATTCTCTTCCATTCCAGCCATTCGTGGATACCAGCTGCCAACTAACTCGACATACTCATCGACCTTATCGGGCTTCACTTCGTGGAAGACGATTGAGTGAACATACTTTCCTCTCGCCAATACCTGACTGAACGAGTGTTCAATTTCCCGATCCAGCTCTCTTCCTTCCTTCGTGCCGTAAATCAAACTGCTCAACTTTCCTGTCTTCTTCTCCGATTCATCGGCAGGTTCTGCAGAAGAAGCGCCTTTTAGTTCACCTGCATCGTGTAGATTCAAATCGTCAGAAGCTGCACTCGCATTGCTCACATCTGGAGCAGTGGGAGTTGGGGGAGTGGAAGACAATGCTGGGGATTTGCTCGCGGTCTGGTACTGACTTGTCTCCGCCTTGCTCTTATTCCTCTGCTCTGCTACGTGCTCTCTGAACTCCTTCTGCTTTGCATCGAACGATTTTACACCGGCGGGAGTAATGTCTGCGAGGGCAGGTGTTCGAGATAGAGATGTTGTGCTGGCGAACGTACGGGATACGGCGAGGGAGGGACGGATCGAGCCAGGGCTCTTAAGGAATCGTCGAGCAATCATTTTTGCAGTGAAGCTTGTGTAATGTGTTTGCAGGACGAGAAATGGGCTGTCACTCGAGTTGGTGGTTTTGTGATTGCTTTGGCGAGCTTCAATTCAGCTGAGAATGACGTCGTGGAGGCCGGGGTTGTTGAAGGAATGTAACACAAACGAGTTGAATCGTCACGATAAGAGAGGCGAAGCGGAGAGAGTGAATTGCAATATCGAAGATGCAGAGCAGAGAGGAGGACAGGAGAGGACAGGACAGGCAGAGCAGCAGGTTAAAGCGCACGCGGAAGAACAGGGGATGGTGGCAGTCGAGGGATCAACAAGGTCGCCCGATTGGTGATGGACAGAGTTCGACTGAGCTTCACCCCGCACTTTCTGGTTGGTCGAGAGCCGTTATGCATCGACAGCTGTCAGGCTATGGAATTGCTACTGTACAATTTTGAAAAAGCTTAATAATTCTTGGTAGCCACAAATAATAAGCACCATGTGACTATGGAAAACTTCATCTCTACAGTAATACCTTTACACCCCATCAATCAGAGAACTGGATCAATTCGTATAAACCCAAGACTGGAAAGTTGTTATTTATGATTCGTTTCTAGTCCTCGTCTTCATCCTCATCTTCGTCGTCGTCGTCGTCTTCAAAGATGGGTGCTGCTTGATCTACCATAGCTTGCAACAACGCATCTTGTGTCTCAGCTTGCGCTTCGCTTGTTTCCTCTCCATGCTCTTCTTCAACTTCCCAATCTTGACCTATCTCTTCAATAAACGCTCTTATCATATACTCTGGTACGTATCTTCCTTTCGTCCCCCAAAACTTCTTGTTCATTTCGCCCCGAATCGCCCTACCAGCCAATTGATTGCTCTTCTCGTTCACTTCCCACCACGAGAATCTTAGAATTTGGAGGCAGTAGTGGAAATATAGGTATCTCGCGCGTGGTCTAAACTCGGTCCGAAAGGTCAGCTCCTCACCGTGAAGTTCTCGCCACTTTTTGGTATCTCCCGACAGGGTTGGTTCAATCTCTTTCCCAGCGAGTTTGTGCTCCAAATTCAAGATCCTGATCTTGTATTCTTTAGGCTCCGATTTTTCCCAAGCTTCTACTTCCTCGGGTGATGGCTCGTCGCTAATAGCCGGAACTATTGCCAAGAATCCTTCATCCCAGACATTCTCGAAGACTGTAGAAACCAGCATTCCATTTCGTGGTGAGTTGAGTTCTGGATGTTCCATGGGACCAAAAATAGCATCCATGGCTTGTTGACCATGCTTCCAGGCAAAAAGATGCGCTGCTGTGGATTCTTCTCCTCTGAGGAAAAATCTCTTCAAGATTGGGCACCAAACGTGGGAAGATGTAGAGTCGTACTGGTCTTCGCCGTGGGCTGCTCCATATGCCTTTATCAGGTCTGTTTTGAACGTTGATTGAATATCGCTCTCGGCATTTCGTTTAGATGCTGACGGAACTCTTGGTGGTTGTATGTCCAGTCCCATTCTGCTGGTCGTAAAGCTTCCAACATATGAGCGACCGATGATTCGGTCCTTTTCGCTCACGTTTGCCTTAGTCAGGCGATCAATCTGCTTCTTGGCCAGTGATGCCTCGAGTTGCCAGGCTTTTTGTTCCTCGAAGAGTTCTTTTGCAGCATTACTTTCTTCCCATGACGCTCTAGGACCTTCGAATGATTCGATTGAAATCCTCCTGTGTAGCTCGTTCTTCTCGTGAGTCAAATCTGCGACTTCTTTCTTCGCTGTCCAGAATCTAGATTAAACAAAGTTACTAACCAGATTCAAAAGTATGCTGAAATTTGTACATACTCTATCGAAAAAGACCCCTTGACCTTGAGTTTCTTTTTCGCGATCTTGATGCTCTCCTCGAGATCTTTTCTTCCCCGTTTCAACGAATCCATATCCGATATCTGCAAGGTGTCGAATCCTACGAGAGTAGCCGAAGAGGTCGAACCTCGCGATGACGCATTTGTTGCTCGTTTGCTTGACGTTCGTTCTGGGATCTTTGGTGCATCCATTGCGTTCGTTGTCTGCGGTGTCGAATGATGTGTGTTGTCTGTGGTGTCTGTGGTGTCGAATAGTTGTCTGTGGTGTCGAATGGTGTGGAAATGAAATGCGAAGAAACTTGCCTCGACATATATGTTGGTGTAGCGAGTGACTCATTCATAGATTTCTTAAAATTACTCCATTGTGCCAACTAATAGGGTAGGTACCATGGTACTGAAGACTACCTACCTAAGTAGGTACTTGTGTGTTACGAAGTTAGTGCTCGCAAAAGTGGATCATCCGGCGTCAATACAGTTAATATTACTCAAACACGATAATTTTTCAGAAATTTTAGATGATAAATAGAAATATTTGGATCTACTAAGTTTCGGATTGTATTAGCGTTTGTTCATAGGTCCAATTAGAATATTTTCCTATCTCTGGCCTCGGAGGTTCGACTAGGACGGGAAACAGAGCTCTCTATCTATGAAATTCCTAGCCGATTTTGGTACTCGAAAACACTAAAATATCTTAAACTAACTCTAATATTACACACCACTATATAGTTCATTTTTAATTAGACTTAAGTTTTAATCTATCGAAAAACCATTCTACGTTCTTATTACAAAATATTAGGTATAAACTTAGTATGTTATACGCAATACTCTACATTTTGTGAATTTGGGCCCTATCGCAAAATCGGCCACGAATTTCACCGATGGAGAGGCAGACACAAGTCCGCCAAAGCGATACCGCCCAACAAGCTTGAAAAGGCTTGGAAAGCATTTCATCGCGGGTCCTACATAGCTCTTGCAAGCAGATCCGACTAAGCTATCGACTACCCCCGACGTTTTTACATTCTGCGAAGAGCTGATTGATTCTTCCCTACAACGAGAGGCCTTTTCTCCAAGACGCATGATATGCACAGCGGATGCAAGGTCACGTTCGTGGTAATGGGACCGATTGGCAAGGGAGATGTACCCTGACGTGATATTGAGTACAAGTAACAGTTGCTGCCAACAATCTGTCGGCCGACTCTTCACGGGACTGAAATGCCGTGGACATAACCTACAGATGGGACTTTTTGGAGACCATACCTTCTACCTGGTTCCCATCCATGTCCATTCAGCGCTCGTGCCTATCATGGACGGCTAGAGCAATTGAGGTATCGTTGGTAAGATGCGTAGGTACCCCGATCATACTCGCTCGAATTCATACCGAATGTCCGGTAACGCAGACTCGACTTGGTCTCTACAGTAGTGACTTCCTTTCACTCTGCATCTCCGTTGTTGCATGTGTCCGATTACGAGCTAGCCTCAGATGCTCAAGCCACCAAAGAAGACACTTTTCTCAGCACTGTTGTTTCCTGAGGTGAGGAATGCTCAAAGAGGACTCTCCTTCTCCGTCGACACTGCTCCCGGTAGAAAAGTTCTCTCTCATATACTCGGCCTCTTTGCCTTCGAAAAGCTAGTTCGCGTCTCATCGCGCTGGAAGACATCCCAAACTTCGTGGTGCGACACAGACAAGCCTTGCATCTCATGATGTAGTGATAATGTCATCAAGGCCCATCATTCACAGAGCAACCCTGGACGCGTGTCAGCTCTGCTGCTGGTTAACCGTTTTGGTGCCCGTCGAAGGCCGAGAACATGGATTGACACACCCGGCACTACTTGTATCTCCGTGTGCTAGTGGCACTCGAAGTCATACAACTCTCGTAAGTTGGTTTAATCTCAGCGCATTTCGATAGAAGTGGTACAGATGAGCACGAAAGATGAGTACTACTTTATCATTATTGTTCTTTTCCTTCTTTTTTCCTTTCGGTATTTTTCGTCTTCTCATAGAAATCATTTCTCATCGTTATCTCAAAAGATAAGCTTCCAGTCGGGGAGGTCTTTTTTCACCCCTGTCATACCCCGCATATCATTCCAGAGAAGAAGTGCGGGGATTCGTTAGCAGATCCATCCTCACGGAAGTAGACACCCTGCACGCTGCAACCTTGATTTCTTAAAAGATAGCTTCCAGCAACCACAAACCGTCGACGGACATCGAATTTTCCTGTTGGAGTCGACCGTATTTTCCATCACAATGTCGGAATACCCATCAGCATCTGAGAAAGTTCACGAGATCCCGAGGGCAGAGGATCCGCCCTCATCTCTAGACGATGAGAAGGTCGAGCAGGAAAGAGTTGAAGATGTCGGAGAAAAGAGATTGCCAGGAGATGGCGAAGCTCGACTCCCGCGCTTCACACAGGAGGAGGAAGAAGCTGTTATCCGGAAACTCGATTGGCATTTAATGCCGCTGATCTTTGTTCTCTATTCCCTCAGCGTACTCGATCGCTCGAATCTTGGCAATGCGAAAGTCGCTGGTATGCAGGATGATATTGACATCGCCGGTAATCGATACAATTGGCTAGGCACAATTTTTTACATCTCTTGTACGTCAACATATCCCACATCCAGCACCCTTTTCTAACAAGTCCGAGATATCCTATTTCAATGGACTCAGATGGGATTCAAAATCTTTCCACCTCATCGCTGGGCTGCATGCGCTGTACTTGCATGGGGAATCATTTCAAGTGCTCAAGCTGCAACGACCACCTGGGCTGGGCTGATGGTCTGCCGGTTTCTCCTCGCCATACCTGAAGCAATGTATGGGCCTGCAGTACCTCTTTACCTATCATTTTTCTATCCTCGCGAACGACTTGGATTGCGAACTGGCATATTTCTATCTGGCTCTGCATTAGCAAATGCATATGGTGGCGCCTTGGCATATGGCATCTCACAGGCGAAGGGATCGATCGCTTCATGGAGAATTTTGTTCTTAGTGGAAGGTAAGAACCCGCTCAGAGTTCTTCAAACCAAGTTTCTAATCGAGTACAGGCCTTCCAACCATTGTTCTGGCATTTGTCGCTTGGTTCTGGCTTCCAGATAGTCCAGCCAAAGCTCGCTTCCTTAGTGAACGCGATCGTGAGGTTGCAATCGAACTCTCACAACGCCAGCCAGGAGATCGCAACAACGATAAATTCCAATGGAAACAGGCCGTTGGCGCACTTCTTGACTACCGCTCCTATATTCCTCCTCTGATCTACTTTGGCTGCAATGTCTGTTTCGCTTCACTGCCTCTTTTCGTCCCAACCATCATTTCTCAGATGGGAGCGTTCACAACGATTCAGTCGAATGGCCTCTCAGCTCCACCATACGTGCTTTGCTTTATCAGCATCGTGGCATGCGCCTTCATCTCTGACCGTGTCGGGGTCAGAGGGCCATTCGTTGCTGGTGCGGGGTTGGTAGCTGCGATTGGATACATTCTTCTTGCGACCCAGACTACTGTTGCAGTCAGATATTTCGGGCTCTTCCTTGCTACGATCATCTTTACCTCTGTCGCTCTGGTTCTATCGTGGGTGGCTAACACACACGCAACGGACTCCAAACGAGCTGCTGGCCTGGCCATCCTGGCTACTGGCGGACAGTGTGGGCCGATTCTAGGAACGAATATCTTTCCAGCTGGAGATAAACCTTACTACCGGAAAGGAATGTGGATCAGTTGTGGAGCGTGTCTCTTGGTGTTTTTCCTGGCGAGCTTGCAGAGTTTCTTGCTTTGGAGAGAGAACAAGCAGAGGGATAAGAAGTATGGAAAGGTCAGGGACACAGAGCACACGAATGTGCAAAGCGAATTTGGTGATGATGCGAATTTCAGATATATCATTTGAGATGGGTTGACTAGTAGGAAGAGCAAAGTCTTCGAGCCGTGTCTATTTATACCCAGATCCGAGAGAATGAGAACCATCTGTTTGTCACTCTTCATTGGAATCTTTGATGCCACGAATTGCTTCTCACTTCGACCACTACCAATTGTCCCAGACGTCCCTTGTTCACCCCATTTATGATTTCACTTTGCTCTGCTTCTTGGGGAAGATTATGCATTAAGACGAGAAGATCAAAGAGAGCCCATTTCGCTGAGCTTCGAAATCCTCGTTGCCGTCACGCTGGTCCGGGCTCAATCACCATACCCGTGGAATTATCAGTGTGCGTCCGCGGTCCAGATCGATTTTCTAGGCAGCTGTTTTGTGCTTGAGTCCCACACGTAGAGCTATCTATTGTGGGCCCTCCACCAGAGGTTACACCGTTAGGGGTGAGCACGGGGAGACTTTTGTCCGCTGCAACAACACTTCGTCGACTGCATTCAAAAATCAAGTAATCATCAACAAACAGAATGTTACAAGTACGGTTTCTTTTATTCTCAGTTACTCTGTTACTCACAAACATCGCCGAGGCAACGTACAGAACAATAAAGCATCCGCACAACTCAAACTATGAGATCCGAGTCAAAGAACATGCAGACGGCGTGCTCTGCAATGGAGGAGGGAAGCATTTCACGGGATGGGCTGATATAGGAGATAGACATCTATTCTATTGTCAGTTACTGCCCAATCTCCATGATATTTTGAACGTCTCACTGAAAGTAAATAGGGTATCACCCAGCTCGTCATGTGCCAGCTAAAGACGCCCCTTTGCTCGTCTGGCTCGACGGTGGACCCGGCGCATCCTCCACGATAGGAATGCTGATGCTTCACGGTCCATGTCTTCTCGATATGAAAAACCAAACAACAAGATTCAATCCAGATTCATGGACCGAATTCTTCAATGTCATATACTTGGATCAGCCAGCTGGAACTGGGTTTTCGTACGTCGAAGAGTCGGAAAACCCAGAAGCCTATCCCAGACGCAGTGAGGAATCAGCATTGGATTTCATTGTAGCTTTAGAGCTATTTCGCGTGGGTTTTGAGGGTCTTGAGCATGCTCCGCTGTATGTTGCGGGTGAGTCTTGGGCCGGTCAGTACGTGCCTACATATGGGGCTGCGATCTTGGATTACAACACACGAGTCTCAGCAAGAGAACGAATACCTTTAGTTTCTGTCATTATTGGAAATGGATGGGTTTCTCCAGCTGCGCAGTTCCCGGCCTTGTACGACATTAGCTGTTTTGAATACAACGGGATTCCTCCAGTATTGAACGAAACCGAGTGTGCGAAAATGGCTCCTATTGCAGCTCGTTGCGAATATCTGGCAAACGCATGTGCTACCTTCCCAGATGATATTGTATGTAGTGCTGTTGGTGATTATTGCGAGCCGACCCTGAAAGCCGCTGTGGGGAGATTAGAAAAGGGTCATCCCTGGGACCGTACCTTGGTCTGCAATGCGCCTACCCCAGATGCTTGCTACCCAGAGCTCAAAGGCATCACGGAACTGTTCGCTGTACCCGAGGTCCTTGATCAGTTGGAAGCCGTACAACAAACTCAAGGGAAAGCAGTTCCATTCGAAGTGGTATCAAGCATCATTGAGGAGCGATACTCGAAGTCAGGCGGCGACGCTTTAACTTCAGTTCCAGCGTTGACGAGATTGATTGACGATGCGGACATTAATGTTTTGATTTATGTTGGTACGCAAGATTGGATTGTCAACCCTGTTGGCGTGAGGAGATGCCTGGATGAGATGCGTTTTGAAGATTATCTTCACTTTCGAAATCAAGGTAGAGAGGAGTTGGCGTGGAAGACGAAAGAGGGCAGATCTGCAGGTACGGTGAAGAAGATTGATGGATTATGGCATGTTGAACTTGCGGGTGCTGGACACATGGTAAGCAAACGTTCTTCAATATATTTCCTAGTGATTAACGGAGGGTAGGCACCGTATAACCAGCCGCATTCTTCACTGAAGCTGATGGAGGCTTGGCTTGTGGAAGTTGAATCGAGGAAACTTGAAAGTGGGGCATCATTGGGAAATTCTCGCGAGAGCGAAGGGGATATGAGGACGCAACGATATCTAAGTCGTGTAGATCTATAGCTTACATTCTCAACTCATTACCTCTGGCATCAGAAGAATAATGCTATTGGTTCACGCTGTGTCGAAAAGTTTGTCTTGCATGTTGTGTACAATTTCACCTGCAGCTTGAGCAATACCTTGAAATGTAAACAGGTTAGGAAGTGATTGTTGGGACGAAGGCATTGAATCCTGGTGCTGAAACAACATCAAAGCACACCGGCACTTAAAGCAACGGGAAGTATACTCATGTGATCTCGAATGCACACTGAAGTCCAACACGATGCTGCAATATTACGAAGTGCAATTCCTGCATTCCAGCAGTCACATCACAGAACATCATGTCCGGGCACTGCCGAATTCGAACATCCGAAATACAGCGGCTAAACCCCACCTTCAATTCGTGCATTCAGGGACGTGACAAGCCCCGCACAGGCTACTGGTCACCACCGCATCGGCCTAACCATTGCGCTGGTTCAGCACATCATCATCGCGGGGTCGCATCACACAATCCTATCCAATAATGTCAGTTGAAAAGCTCTGCATCAAAGCCGCATATTCAGGGGCATCCCGATGCCATAGTACTTTATGCGCGTGATGTGATGCTGATCCTTCGCTCCGCAGGGAAACGTTGGGCCCCTTTTTGGGGGCTTCGCTTAGGGGCCAGGTCTTGGCGTTGATGAGGGAGTTGATTCGTTACATCGGAATGGAAACGCACTCGTTTCTGCTTTGAGATCCAACGACTTCTTGTCAAGTGGTTATCGTATGGTCCTTCTTCGGTTCCATGGTTTTGGTATGAAAGAAAGCATTTGGTTGCCCAGCTTTTGTATTTGAGGGCCGGTTGCACCTGTTGTGCCTCTGACTGGTAGCTTTGGTATAACGTCAGATTCGCTGGGAACGATTGCAATTGGTGTTATCCAGTTCTAAAAGTCTGGATAAGTAGATGCTATTGAGGCAAGGTACATCATGTGCTCGTCTTGATCTGGGACAAAGAACTATTGAAGTTGGATTATAAATTGATTTTGAACTTGAGAGTTTGGACCGACGGAAGCTTCGGGTTCGGGGAAGAAATCAGCTCATCCGAAAGAGTGAACCTTTGGGGATAACTACAGTAAGTCGAACCGATACTTATACACCACGCTGTTTCTCCTCAGTCTTGACCTTCTTCCTGACACAACTTACAGGACGACCATCAACAAACTCATTAAATCCTTCTCCTCAACACAATCTTCAAGATGTACGCATTTAACAAAGTCATGAAGCTCTTAATCTCCATCGCCATCGCCATGGTTCTCCTCACCCTCAACTCCGTCTCTGCACTTCCCACCTCCGAGGTCGCCGAGATCGAAACTCGAAGTGCCCTCCATCCATGCTCCGTCTTCATTCAACGATGGTGCCAAGATTGTGAAGAACGCTTCGACGTTGCCTAGTAAGTACTCTATTCCATTCGATCCTCCGCATACTTCAGCATCCAGCCCTTCTCCTCAGACCTTTCAGAAACCTAGACTGACATAATTCCAGCTACAATGTCACATGGACCACTCCTTGGAATTGGCCAATTGCTGCCTTCGTAAGTCTAGACAGACATCACTTCCTCCGGCCACCTGAAGCACCAGCTAATCCCTCTCAGTGGAACCAAGAATCCGACGAAGTCAACGTCCCAACGGTTGGCTCTGAACTTGTCGCCGTCCAAGTCGGTTCCAACATTCTCCACATCATCGATACCGCCGACCCAGCTCCAGGCGATAACAACGATCCTGGCAAGTTGAGCTTCGTGTGGGGAACTGATACGTGGGACTCGTTCAGTCCGGGTTCACCTTGTGATGTGGGTCCCGTGGGCACGAATGCACAGTATGGGGGTAGCACGAATTATGAGTGCGAGTGGTTGTGTGATAACTGAGGTGGTGATGGGCGATTTCGAACTGCTCGGTTGTGGTAGGAATGAATGCTGGGAATTGTGATTTACTGGCATTGGATTCTAGCTTGCTCTTCTACCAACGACTAGCTGGCCAGACACTGCAGATAAATTCACGGTACTGCGCACCATTTGGTGTATCGTCTCTTGATTGGTGTTTGTGTTCTTTCTTTACTGTGACATGACTCGAGATTTGCTGTAGCCGAGTTCAAGTACGATTCCGTGAATTTGAAGTACACCTGCGGAAAAAGGTGCAAAAAGCAAACAACTTCAGTCCGCTCCTTTCCAGTAAGTGAATCAGAATGAGGCTGATGAGGTATAACTGCGTGGGGTTCAAGCACACTCGGCACCCCCATTGAAGTTGCGTTAAGGGGTTCTGCAGAGCTATATATTGCTCCTACAGTTGCCATTGGCAGGCTTGATCGATATTCCAAAAAGAAGAAGAAGAAGAAGAAGAAGAAGAACAAGATGGTAGGAATTGTCAAACATCCTCAATGGTAACGTGAAGATGCGGATCACAAGATAGTTTCTGCTTCGCCTTCACATTCTGAGAGATTTAAAAGTCACATCTAAGGGGAGTAATAACTTGATGACAACAGCGAAGAATTGATAGCAGCCTATGACTATACCCCCACAAAAAGAGTTCCCGTAGGAATTGATGTCACAATTACACTCGAGAATTATTCCAAGTTGGGTTTTTCTCATACAATCTTCTTTTCCGATTGCCAACTTTAAATTTTTTGGATATTTATTGTCAGAGCCAGAACTGTTGCCATTTGTGGTTTTGTCTGATGAACAGAGTCTCCAGCAACCACGAGAGCCAAGTTTCTGACCTTAGAGACTCGACACTGTAGGGAGTCAGTTGTTTCTGCAAGAATCCCTGGTAGAGGCCATGCTACCGATTTAGAGAGCTCTCCTTCGACATTGGTTGATTAGCTTGGTTTCGTTGATGTTTTGAGAGACAGTGCAGGAGAAGTTATTAAATAGTCTGTGTTCTGCTAATTGTGGTCAGCATACTCGAACTTCATCTAAAGTCGCAAGTGAATGTGAGTTACCAGACAGGCGTAAAGGATCCTCTGAAGACAGAATTATTCAGAGGCAGAGAAGTTAATACAAGTCCAAATACTTGTAATAGAGCTCAAAATCGGTTTCTAGTGCTGATTGCAGTATATAAACAAGCCATCTCTGGCTAAGAATGAAGGTTACGGGCTCCGATATGAAGTTTTGGATCCCCTCATGATCTGTGATTCCCTGGAGCATCACGACTTTGACTCGTATTTTGTCGACATACCTGGAGCATCTCGAACACTTTCTTTCATATTGTATCAAACGATCTGGCTTTCCTCCATGTGTAGATTTACTCGCTTAATTCTTGGCAAATTGACAGCAACATGAGTTTGACAGCAGTGTTGGTGACATCAGAGGAAGAATATCATATAGAAAAGATAGAGTCAGGAGCCAAAGATACCGTACTCATGTGGCACCCGTCCATGCAGAGAACCCGAACGGCAAAAATGGGAAACCTTTGGTTCTCCAAGGAACCTTCTGAATGCTCTTCCAGTTGGAAGTGCTCGACATCGTAATATATAGTATTTTCTATTTCAGTTTGTCTCAGTAATGCCAGAAAGATTGAATTCACTTCTTCCAGGTCAGAATACTAACTAGAGATTGTGCTCAACCTAGCTGCATGATCTTACATTCACTTCCTAGTCTGCCCTCTGTTTTGTCAATCCGCTTCATCGAGCGAAGTATATAAACACCGCCGCGCTTACAACCCAACGCCAGAACAGTGATATTCTGAGCCCGAAGGCGTGCAATATCAGTAGGATCCAGATCAGTAGAAATCAGCTTATCTAAACTATTTCCCCAAATCGCACTTTGACGCTTTTTGAATATATATTGAAGTCGAAAATGACAGCAAAATAGGTATTGACAACGACAATGAGTCCATGCAATCTGAGCTGAAGAGCAAAGCAGATAAATTGTGACCGTTGAAGATCAAAAGCTAAAGAGAAAATGTCCCACGTGACAGACGTGATACCCCAGTACGTGCGTGTCGCGGGACGATGCATTCCACCAACAGCTCTTGTATGTGCTTGAAGCTCTTTTTGCCCTTAGGAGTTGGGAGTATTTAGAGTGCTGTCCATAGCATGACTCATCGCTATGCTTTGTGTTGATTTGACATGAGAAACTGAGTTTTCAAGCTGTAGCTTGATCATTATTTCGTGGTCTGAACCTATTCGGAGTGAATCGATATGGTTGTAGCCAATATATCACACAACTTGGTTAGGGCTGGGTGGAGAGATCACAACCCCATAGTAAGGCAATAGCTGTAAGAGTGAATACAGTATATTATACCCAACTGCATACGCAGCTTTGTAAGTGCTTGGGGGGGGGAGAGACGCACGCTTTTGTCGCAAGGCACATGGTTGTAGCTACATAAGAGTGAATACAGAATATTCTGGCCGACCGCCGACACAGCCTGGTCGGGGTTCCGGAGAGATAGCAAGCCGATGAGGCGCCAAGGTATAAATCATCTTGCCCGGCCCTTCCTTTTCCCTTTCCATCCAACCCTTTGACTATCTTGACCTTGCTTTCGATCTGGTTCGTTCGCTCGGCTCCTGCCAAGGTCTTTTCTACCCGTTTTACCCAAAAGAAGTCTTCTCATTACTGAGGTAAGAGTAAATTATTAAATTATGAAAGCTTACTAATGTCAGGGTTTGCTTTTCTATTTGGAAGAAAATCCGCAGTGACTAACAATTTTCGTGACAGCAAAAAGCTCAAACTGTTGACAACAGACGTAGAATGTCAACGATTGAAACTTTGACAGTAGCATGAGGACATGGTTTGAATCCAATTTAAGCAACTCACAGGACATAACTTCTGAAATACTCAGACGAAGCATGACCTAACAGACGGGACACGTTCCGTTCTCATCTCCACCCATGCAAATCGTTCACCAAGGTTCTTGTCGGTTGTGGAATCTGAGATTTGTGGGGGGGGAGAGGTCTTTATATAGATATTAATCTTTACATTAGAGCGGGCGGAAAGAAGCAAACTCCGCCCCGACGAGGCTGTTAAATGGAGTGAATGTAAACATTTAGTCTGAAAAGGGCGAGAAGAATGATCATGAAAAGTGAATGACTACCAGAACACGTGAGAAAGCCGTTAATTTCAGGGTTCAAATAATTGACCCTCCACATGCAACGCTGATCCCAAGCCATCGATATCTTAACAAACACCCACGCCGCATTAGCCACTTGACGGGCGATTTACTATCATGGTTCCATGACACTGTCCCGGCGATCTTCACAATGCACTACCTTGTCATTGGTAGTCCTAATTCAAAATCTTGTAGAGAGCACACTAGACCTTTGAAGGGGGCTCAAAGCAGAAAGTGCAGTTGAGGCTTGACACCACTGTTATATTTGACAGCAGATTTTAGATCCGATAGATAATTCTCAGCAACACAATATTCATTTCCCTTAAAGCGTTCAAGACATATCGGCACCCATGAAACCGAATCTAGAAAAGGTTGGCCCGCAGTAAATGTATTGGGGTAAATCAAAGAACTACGTCTGCCTCTCAATATTGATGGTCTTACAGGTAAACATGTGCGCTACGTAGTTCTTGATGAAGAAGGTAAACGAAACGTGAGTGTGAGATAAAGAAGAAGAAAATGAAACAGGGAGCAGGAGGCTTGGTCTATATATACTATATTACACAGTCGCTACAGAGACAGCAAATTATCATGTCTTCGTGCTCATTGAGTGAATCCAATCTTCAAGCAGGAGAAAATGCAGATTCCATGACGAGAACACGTGAATTTCAACTATAAATATCTTGATCCTGCTCCCGATTTCCTTGTGCTAATGCTCGAGTGTCCACACTGCAAGAAAGCATATTCTGGGCTTCGTCTCCAAGCATCCCGTGAACACATATCCCCAGAACCTCTTTTTTTTCAGGTCTCATTTGGAAGACAAGTCTAGTCGCAGCTGATGTCCCGGCCGGTATTCATGAAGATGATGTTTTTAAAACTGACAGCAACACTGAACTTGACAACGACAATGCCAAAAAGTCCCACTTTCGTAGCAAACTAACACGGCATTCTTTCAGAACACACGTTAACATTAAAATCAGTTATGTTTAATCATGACATACTGCTTGGCTGTTAGAAAGGTTCGAGAATTGGGTTACTAAGTTTGCACTTCTATGTTGTTTAAGGGATGGTGCATGATTGATTAATGGAGAGCAAATTAATGCCAGCAAGGATTATATATATTCTGGAACAATATCAAAGGACAATAAAGTAGATCATGATTCTTTTTGAGTTCTCAAAGCGCGAGGTGAATATAGCGTAGATTTTCAGATTCTCAACGAATTTCCGTGCTTTTCCGCACTACATACTTTTAAGTGAAAGCCGTGACTGTATTCTCCATTCACTAGTTTGGACGACATCATACTTTTCTCGCACAAAGTGGGGCAGCTCTACGTATAAAGTCCGGGACTCCTTGACTATTTTCTGTTCTTTTTGAGAATAGAGTTACAACTGAGAAAGTTCATCTTATCGCTGATTATGCATGTGTCCAAGACATGTGCTTACAGGTTCAATTCGATTGTTAGTAGAGAGAAAAATCATGAGGCTCAGATAGGATGAAAAGATTCGAGGCTAGATATCTCGTTGCCAATGATTAAGGTTTATTATTGGCAACAACAGGAAAGTTGGTAGCGGTGTTAAATTCTTTCTGCATATTTGCCAGGGAAGAAGTATCAAGCATTCCCATGACTAAATTTCCGGGGCAGGAAAAAAAATAGAAAGCAAAACCTTGATCCAGGCCGCAGACACTTCTAATAATTGCAGCCACTTCCATTCATCGCAGCCACTTCCACTCACCGCAGCCCACTTGCATCATAGTTTGTAGCACTACCTAATCTGTCTGCCTATGGAGAAGGATTAGTGGTTTATATAATTTTCGCTCAAAGCCGGAATTCGGCGAAAAACAGGAATAGAATTGGTGAATATTTCTATCTCCTTGCTTAAAGTAGGAA